TAGTTTTGAATCCAGTGCATCCTTCAGCCTCTCCAGGATGATGCGGCTTAATAGTTTGCTTGCTTAGGGTAGACAGGAGGGTGATTCCGCGCCAGTTCTTGCAAACACTGAGGTCTCCCTTCTTCGGCAGTTTGACAAGGTAACCTTTCTTCCAATCAGTGGCCAGCTACCTTCTCTTCCTTCCACATCTTCTGCAATAGTGGTGTGAGCATGTCCGCTGTCGTCGTCTGTTTTCAGTGCTTCTGGCGGGATCTCATCTGGTCCTGCTGCTTTCCTACATTTCAGTAGCTTTATGGCGTTCAGGACTTCCATTTTCGTTGGGGGATTTATGTTCACTTGTAGTTCATCGGCTGGGGGTGGTATTTCTGGACGAAGTGCAGGTGGTGGTCGATTCAAGGGCTCATCGTAGTGTCTACCTACTGCTTCCTCTGTTTCTCTTCTTTCGTGATTAAATTTCCATCATCAGCTTTTATTGGTTTCATCTGTGTTGATCTCTTCCCTGATAGCAACCTGGTTATTTGATACAATGTCGTCAGGTCTCTCTTACCTGCAGCCTGTTCTGCTTCACTTGCCAGTGTTTCGTAGAAGTGTTTTTGTCTTTGCGTGCACTCTTCTTCACTTCTTTATCCACTGTTTTATACATTGTACTCAGTTTCTCTTGTCGTTGAGCATCCTTGCACTGGTTTATCTTCTGCTTCACCATCCTCCTCTCCTCTGTCAGCTTCCAGGTATCCGTCGAGATCCATTCCTTGTCTTCTTTCTTCTTCCTTCCTAATACGGTTGTGCAGGTTTTTTTCCACATGGCCTTCAAAGACTTCCAGCGTTCTTCCACACAGGTTTCTTCAGGGATGTTGCTCGATATCTCCCATTTTGTCTTGATGGCTGCCTTGAAGATCTCTTTTGTAGTTTCATCCTTCAGTTTCCGAGTGTTGTACTTGAATTGAGGTCTATCACCAGCTTCCTTGAAGGCTTTTAACTTGATTTGGAAGGGTCCTCGCGTTACATGGTGGTCTGAACCTACATCTGCTCCTCTTCTTGCCCTTGTGTTAAGTAGACTGCGTCTCCATTTTCTTGAGATTGAGATAAAGTCGATTTGATTTTTAGTGTGTCCATCTGGTGAAATCAAATACATGTCGCTTTGTGGATATCCTTGTGCTTGAACACAATGCCTCACTGCAATCACCAAATCGTTGAATGCACAGAATTCTGCAAACAATTCTCCATTCTCGTTCATCACCTGACCGAGCGCCTTTCGACCCATGGTTAGTTCTCTTCCTATGTTGTCGTCTCCCACCTTGGCATTCAGATTAAATGTCGACAAACTAAAAACAGTACAAACATGGGAGCAGGCTAACAAGATGTTGGGGTAGCAGATGTGGTGGTGGGGACTTATAAAAATCACCCTTCTCTGAGGTCATCAAACCTGCACTGGTAATGAAAAAGCCTTTGAGAATGGCGTCAAGCACCCCGTAGACGGTGTTACACGCTTAAATTCACCGAAATATTGCCCACGGTTTCAACAAAACCATGATGCCAGTCCATAAAAGACGAACAAATAATGATAAAGACAAACCTTATATCAAAAAACAAGCCCTTTAAACCCCCCACGATACGCTCCACGTCTCTCGTGATTACAGCAACTGTCCCTCCCCCTCTTTTCCCCTGCCCTAAATGTGCACATCAAAGCTCGTACGGGTTCTCAAATGAAAAACGAAGGTTACCATCTGCATTTTTATTACAGCTCAAGCTCAGATGTGAGAAACGCACCATACAAAACTCAAGGGGATTCCATAAGTGTGGTAATGAACCAGCACCTTATTCCCCGTATCTCCCCTGCACGCTTTGGCCGATAATACTGATCCCTAAATTCTAAGTCAACCAACTAACCTCTCATGCCCCTATGTTCCTCCTTACCATGAGCCGATTATGACCACGGATCATGGTAACGCGCACCAAGCATTAAAATAAACTTCGAACTTCTATTCAAGATCTGCAAACCATCGTTCCTCACCACCTAGAGGTGAAGGGAGGAAAAGACAGTTCAATCTAGACTGCAAGTCCTCCGAAGTTCATGGATGTAATTAGAACTGCGTCTACAACTGTTGGCAATAAACACTGTCTATAGCCAGACGTGCAGGTTCCTGGAGTTTTGACAACCGCTCATCTAGTAACAAAGCGAGTAGAAACTGACATCATGGGAAGCGCTGACCTTGAAAGCATATTGAATGGTTTAATGACGAAGCCTCATGTATAATCAACCGTAATGCGAAAACAGTTTCTGGGTTGAGTTAAATCTTCGCCTTACATCATTCCTTTGGCCATGTCTTCAGCAACATGGGCCTACAGAGCCACTAAACCCTTCATGATGCAATACAAACCAGTCCCGAATTTCCACTTCACTCAACCCAGTGCTTGAATCTAGTTTCGTACGCTATCGGCATTACGTGTTCACACGTTATCAGCTTCATTTAGGTTGAGCACTTGATAGTTTGTATACTTTAATCGATTGTGCGACCCATTATTGCCAAGTTACTGCCCACACTAAGTGATGATACCCGCAGTACGTTCTACTGTCTTTGTGTAGGGAAATGGCCCCAATTTAATATTTGGAACCGGTAACATCCAAACAACTTCATACTGCGAGAGGCTATATATGGAGCGATAATTTACTCATTTCAAACTCTCTCAGCTTCACTGAGATCAGTAACATCCGGATATTGGCTGTGCATTTGGTACGTGTCCTTATAATTCACTATTCAGGGTGCATTTTCATTATTGACATTACCTTTAGAAGCTCGATCATTTCAAAACTGATCACCGGCGAACATCGCTTTTTTGCTGCTCTCCTCGTGTTCTCTGTCACTTCTGGAGAAAAACACTGTTTATATAGGCTCATCGCCCCTAACATCCGATGATAACCAAGGTTTTATCAGAATCAGTTTTGTCGGAGCAAGGTGCCAACGTAGGGATCGTCGCTCTAGTGGCTTGCCCTTAACTCTACGCACACCACTGTAGAGACACTTGGTTATGTTTCTCATGACTTCAGGTGTAATACGGTTGTGGTACGTGGTTGTGTATACGGCTTTGAAATGGTGGGGAATATTTGTAGCTCAGGTGGATGGCCTTGTTTGCATTGTGTTCTCTGAGGCGGGTTGTTTAATTGTGAAGCTTTCATCGTGCTTTTAGACGACATGATCAGCACCCAATTCAGTATGAAGTGAGCTGTCAATACTTTCCCGTGAGTGATTCAGTAGCTTGCTTCGACGAAGCGGTCTATGACTGGTTATCAACTTTGATTGTTGTGTCACTGACTCCATAGATTTTCCAGTTGGCTGACCCTATGCTTGACCTCTGAGCTTTCTGTCGTTTATACAGTTGTTTGCAGTATAGTCTTTACTGTACAACTAGTCCCTGTGTAACCGGCCCGGCCAGGATTTTTCCCAAATGATTTCTGTAGTCATTACCTAATCGGTGTGCAGTATGGTCCTCATTGTGTCGATATACAGTGATGGTGGTTGGAGTTGTTGCATTGTTAAAAACCAGCTTCGTGGCGGCTACATTCGCACCGAAGATGTCCTTAACACCACAGTAAATAACTACTGGAGTTTCAACTTAGCAGCCATCAGTCTAGGCGGAAGTACCGCCGACAGATGCCCAGAGGAAGGGATCTGCGGGTTGCATCATGTACTATTTCGTTCACCCATATCCTTGCTTATAGCCATGGCCATTGCAGAACTTCAAGGGTATCTTCTTACTTCGTGGTTCAGTTTTCAGCTCCGGTACATCACAGGTGACCATGGTTGTTGATCCTTGCGCAGTAAGCACATCTATCACCTTTAAACGTAGCGTGGCGACCTGGAAATGCATTGATATAGACATACACGTGGGCTATATGAGTGTGGATACCTAACTGATATAACAGATTGCACAAAAAAGTGTCTTCAGATTAGCAAAGGCAAAAACTGAAGATCATAGTAGAGAATACAATGTAATATTACTAATAAGCAAACCATGCGTATAGACTGTGCACCGTCGATATTGATAGACGAAACTGTCCGTGTGATGGGCAATGAAAATCCATGCCCGTCTCATGAACTTCAGCAAATTTTAATCAGATTATGCACACTAATGACTTGATATGAATACCAGTTAGCAAACTTTCAAAAAGTATGTGTTTGACGGTGCTTGTGGACTGGTATCCCTCATGTTAAACCCATTATACGGGGATAATGTTTATTATTATCCAAACTTCAACGCTGCTTATACGCTGTCAAGTAATATAGCCTTGTTCGATCCATAAATAGCTGGACCTTTGTCTGTTCTTAATAGGGTTTAATGACATTCCGTCTGCACCACTCAGGACTCGCAAAATCTTTTAGATATTTTGAAATGTATCGACGTGATGAAGCCTGTAAACTGGCTTCTCTCATTCTCACATTAAAAAGGTTTAATACAAGACATTTATTTATTTATAGGGTGTTTCCCTCGGCTACAGTGACCAACCTCGTTTAGCCCTTATGGTGCATGGCCGGCTGGTGATCAGTGGGCATGAAACCTAGAAGGATCTTCTGAACTTCTTAATCGAACTCCGAGCCATTCTCGTCAGCGGAGGCTGGCGTGGAGGTGAATGACTACTTTTTCACCCTACTTTCACCCTACTTTTTCACACTTTCCACTGCAGCCTAGCTTATCGCCACTTCTAAACTCCCGGACGCAAGTGTAGACGGAGTATCAGGAGATATTATTATCATTCCAGCAGTGCCGGAGCTTCTTAGCCCATTCAACCTCCAAATTGCCATAACTACTTTTGATATGGCCATCCTGCAGTTTACGGATCCACACAAAAAACTGTAAAAGAATCTTATTTCTGTCAAAATATTTAAGTAAAGTAGATAGACCAAGGCCTCAAAATGTAAACTCGAAAGTTCTTCAGCCTCTGGCTTCCCATGATGAACGACCAATATTGGATATTGGGCAGCTTAAGAAGGAAATTTGACTATCAGGGTCATACGGTATCTCAAGGTCAGGCTGTGCTTGGTCAATTGAATTTTGGTTAAAGCCACGTATTTGATGGTTTACTACCTGTGATGGAAATATCAGATCGAGTAAATCTTTTGTGTACAGATGTTTATTTTTAAACTGTGCTATGCATTATAGTCTTCTTGGAGGTCATTCCAACTTGGATGTATGGGTGGAGCAATCAGCACAGTACTCTGTCAGCCATTGGATGTGATAAAAACGCGTTTACAGACCAAAGTTGTTCTTGGGTAATCCAACGATTTAGATTTAATGCATGATTCTTGCCCCAGTATCTCGATGTAAAAGTCCGGACCTTTTAACTGTGGATCTGGAATGACATCTAACATCAATAGTGGGAGCTCCCACTATGCTGGCATTGAAAACTGATAGTCTTGATAATTTGCGTCTGGTTCTTGGGGTTTCTAAGCTCGGCTCTGTAGTTGACAAGGAAATCTATGCGTTCCGGCTTCTACCAGGGTTGGATGAGAGCTTCGTATGGGTTGGCATTTAAATGCCAAGTTGCAATTGCAACTTATTGGTTGACTTGGTAAGGAAGCTACGAGTTACTGCAAAGATTCAGGATTTTTTATGACCCGTGTCTGTATAGTGCGCGATTAAAGGTAGCGGGATAGTGGGACGTCCCCGTATGGTAAAAGTAGAAAGCGTGAGTCTATTTACTGAAATGAGTTAGAAGAGAATGCGCTTCCCGGTTAAAATCTTCGCGAGGCGGAAAAACAGGGCAGTTTGCGATTTAAACTCAGGGCAAGACGCTCACTTTCGCGACATCTCCCTGGTTTTCGCGACCCCTGTTTTCCCGTGAAATGCCCTGTGTTTTTCCGAGTTGCCTCGTGTTTTACCCCCAAATGGCACGCTTTTTTCGGCTTTGCCCTACGTTTCGATTCATTTAGCCTCTTGATTTTGCTATGCTTCCCCACTTATGTAACGGTTTGCCCTACAATTCACTACTCCAGGTCTATTTGCTATTGCCCCGTATGCAAAATTACCAGGGAAAAATTGCATGTCCTTCAGTTAGCCACATCCCACGCGAATATATTGGTGTCACTAATGCAAGGAAGCAGAATTTTATACTAAGTATACATTGATTATACAACTATAATTTTCGTACAGTTTGTCACTACAAGGATTCAGTCATTTCTTCCAAACTGCTTCTTTCAGTGACATTGGATATCAGAACCTGACGCAAATAACTGTCTTGGTTTTCCTCGCTCTAAAAGAGTGTAACTGTAATAGTTAGTCGAGCTTATCTTGGTAGATAGTCGTCTCCTTATTCTTCCACTTTCCTGGCCTCAGGCTGTGGAACCAATCTTTCATAGGTTTGCGGTAGTCGCTGTCGAAGTTGCCTGTACCTTCCGGTTGCGTTAGCTGGAAATTCTTAATAACTCCTAAAAAATATAAATTGTGTATGCCAATGACAACTTAATACAAGCAGCCATTTCTATCTGTGTGTATTTGATACCTTAAACTTCGTGCCAGCTCAAGACAGTTAGTGAGTAAATTCCATTTTAAATACTTGACACTTCATATTATCGGAATTTAGGTTGTGTAATCCCACATACTACGTAGGTTGGGTTGTATATTAGCATGACTTACAAAGGTATTACGGAAATCTGAAGCCAGTTTCATTTCCAGTGTTTTCAGTCTCTCAACGGATGTTATGGATAGACCAGTACCAACGGGGATAACTTCAGGCATTGAGGCCTTTTGGTGCCCTAACAAATGGATAATGACTTGTATCTGAATCTTTTTCAGGTAGCCTGTAAGCGTTGTCCAAAAAGTTGAACTTACTGATTATAGCTTCTGAGCCTGCTTTATTGAACCCAGTTTCTTCTGAAGGGTTGCAGTAAGGGCTGTAAGGTGAAGTTTATTTACAGTTAACCAATGGTTTGCGAAGTTGATTGTTCCTCAGAATTCACCTTCTTTAAGGATGTAACAGGTGACCTGAGGTATAACGTTAACTAGTTAGTTAGGAAAATTTACGATATAGGTGTACTGCTGATAGCTCACATTATTCACTTGCTAGCTTTTAAAGTGCATGATAGTTTGACACTTACACGTTCAATGCATCTATCAACTTCTAGTAGTCAGGATTTCTGAATTGGAAGTTGGTGTTCTCAATAAGTGAAGAAGGGTATTCGTCGAATATACAGTTTTCCGAATTCGCAGTTTGTTTAAGGAAAGTCGATTACAAGTTCACTTGTAAGGGATATACCTCTTCCTTAATACTTCTGACAGGTGCTGTTCTAGTGGAAGCAAAAGATGCAGATGCCGAAGTAAATTGTGCTACTTCATTGCACATGGTCATAGCTTCCGCAGTCGAGGTATATGTATCTGAGGGTGCGATGCGTTAGTATCTAGTTGTAACCTTAATGCTCTACACATACATATTAATGAAGGTCGGGCCATCTGAAGGTACACTGTGCTTCTGTATATCAACTAGGACAAGGTCGTTCCGATAGGGATATATTTCGTTTCGAAAGGTAGTTTGAGCTAACGACGGCAAACTTCTCCTTACACTTCAAGTATACCACCATAAACTTTTTACCTTCTATCTGATAAGAGGAACTCGATTATTATGATGTTACAACGTCAAATGAAGAAAATGGAGACCGTCAGAACATTATATTTGTAAGTATACAAATAACACAGAATTTGTCGACATAAAATCAAAAATTGTTAAGTACGATCTCACTGGTACCTCATGTCTTTGGAACCATGCGGTAACGAAGACCGTCATTATACAATTTCATTTTGGAAGTTACGAGAAGAAATGTAAAGGCATACTGCAATCCGTATTAGCGTCTGACCGCAGTTTCTTAATGTATTCGACAGACCTATGAGGCTTGCCTCCAGTTGAAGCCCTCAAGACCCCTTCCGAAATTATGCCATGCGTCGAACGTAAGATATCCTTCACAATGTCGTCCTCCACTTTCCTACGAGTACCTTAGAAACAGAATGTGGTTTCTTCTTTAAAAAATCAGCACTAATTGAGTGCCGATACCGTTGGGAGTGTTGTCACAAGTGATATTTCCCCTCCTAGTGCGGGATCTCGTTATCCATGTCAGTACCTTAAATCTACAGTTTTGGTCAAGCATGCGAGTATTATAAGAATTTGTATAACGGTGATGGAGCAATCAAATATCTTGAATGGAGTGAAAAAACAGAACGTAGAAAGAAGAACAATTTTATTTTGGCTTACGTTCTGACACTTGTCATGTGGTTTTTCGTACTTGGCTAAGGAGTTAAACCGTGAGCTTCAAATGTGTATATGAAACCAGGGAAGATGTTTCCTGCGGAATGACCTCCATAGAGAACCAACATCTAAAGCAGTTGTACTAGGGAATTAACCGATTTCTTATCACAGTGGCTGAACCTGGTTTGTGGTATCTGATTGACGTACAAAATTTAGGAGTTTTTCAAACACACTATGGCTTTTTGTATAGCATACCTAAGGTTGAGTTAAATAGTTCGTCTTCCTACACGTAATGTATTCCATGTCACCTGCTCGTGTTGTTTTCCACTTGCTGCTATTTCAGCATTTAGACTTTTCTGTTTCTCCAATTTATGGTACGGTTTTGACATTTGGGTGCATAAACTGCAGATCTCTGTAGTTCACTAAGGTTTATTAACGCTAGGCATCACCTCATCATGGACTTAAAATTAGTACTAAGTAGAAGCTTTTTTGTTAGCATAAGAAAACTTTATTCGGGCGATACACTGCTAAAATTTACGGACCCTTTCTTTTGTTCTGCAAAAGTGTTTGCCTAGAAATATGAAAAAAGTATTTTTTACATTATTTTAGCGAAGCTAGAATAAAAGGTCTAGCGGAATACGATGAGTGCATCATATTTCACTATTTTCTGTTCAACTGCATACAGGCTATAAACTCATTATATATATAATGAGTTAATAATGTGGATATAGGTTCAAAATGTTTTGCATGGGATGAGGTCGAGTCACTCTGGGGTCAAGTAGTAAACTAGTGAAGATGAAATAGTAATTGACTGTGAATTTGGTTGTAAAAGGCGATAAAAATACAGAATTGTGTAAGAAGTTATGCTGAATGACAAAAAAATCAATGGCTACCATGGAAATTGGAAACTAACAACTGCCTCATTTTAGGTGCTTATTATTATTATTTTTCCCTTGGGTTCCTAGTGAAGCATAGGCTTCAGTAACACGCTTCTGTTGCACTCTGTTCTCTGCAGTCTTTTCAATCTCGCTTCATTTCATTTCTTCCTCACATCATCTCCTCCATGTCACCCTCGACTTAGACGCCCAACTCATCGTTTCCCCTTTGGATTCCACTCGGGGTCCTGGCCTGGCTCGTGATGTCCACAGTCAGCCTTCTTAGTTTATGCCCAATCCACCTCCACTTTCTTCTGCATATTTGCTGGGTGATAGGTTCGTGATCAGTTCGTTGTCAGCCAGCCAGAGTTCCTTGTTACTTATTCTTTCTGGCCATCTGATCTTCAACATGGAGTGAGCGTAAGGGCAGCTATTGATGAATGTGTGTAGTTTGTTGGAAGTGCTTTCGTGACGCCAAGTTCTGAACCATGTAGCAGCTCTGACTTGACTGAATTGGTGTTAAAACCCCGATCTTGTTCTTTATGCTTAGTGCAGTAGATCTGCACACTGATTTCAGATTAACGAAGCCTGTCTTGCTTGCTTTTCTGATCCTGTCTGGTTTTGACATCCTCTTCTGTGCCACCACCACCTGTAGTGGAAACTATGCTGCCTGCCTAGGTGGGTAGTGAAAGAGACCACTTTCTTTAGGTTTCTCCCGTTAATGGTGATTGGTGCCTCTAGTTGTTTATGCTGTTGTTGGTTGGGTATCTTCATCACCTCTGTCTTCTCTACATTCACTTGAAGAAGTCCCGTCTTCCATGACTCGCCTGTTCTGTCAGCTTGTTGTTTTTTGCCTGTAGATCTTCGAGTTGGTGCGACAAGACATTAGACGTAAATCGTCATCGTCGAAATCCAAATCTTTTAGGCTCTTTTCATCGGTCCAGTTTATGCTCACCTTCTTGCTCCTCACGGTTTGCTGCTGCGTGATCCAGTCGACCACAGTCAGGAAGGTCATGGATGGTAGTAGGTAGCCTTGTATTCCTCCTGTCTTCACTTCACAGGCATCACTGAGCTTTCCATTGTGAATCACTTGGCATATGGCGTCTTCATATAGCTGTTGAACGAGATTGATAAAGGTTTGTGGCACCAAATCCGTAGTGTTGAAGCAGCTGCCTGTCAAATCACTTCTCAGTCGACGCTGTCGAAAGCCTTTTCGAAATCGATGAAGTTGGGGTAGAGTTGAGTTGACTGCCATTCTATACTCTGTTCTATGATGATGCGTAGCGTTGCAATTTGATCCGCACATGATTGTACTTCGTGAGTCCAGCTGTTCCGGTCGTAGTATTGAATCCAGTGCATCGTTTAGTCTCTCCAGGTTATGCGGGTTAATATTTTACTTGGGGTGGATAGAAGCATGATTCCGCGCCAGTTCCTGCGGAGAATTAGGTCGCTCTTCTTCGGTCGTTTCACAAGGTAGCCCTTCTTTCAATCAATAGGCAGGTACCTTTCCTTCCTTCCAAATCTTCTGCAGCAGTGGTGTGAGCATGTTCACTGTTGTCTCTGCGTCTGTTTTCAGTGATCTGCTTTCCCGCATTTCAGCAGTTTTATGGCATTCAGGACTTCTGCTTTTGTCAGAGGGCGTGTGTTCACTGATAGTTCTGCCGTTGCTGGTGGTATTTCTGGACTAGTTGCAGGTAGTGGTCGATCCAAGAGCTTTTTGAAGTGGTTAGCTCATCGTTTCGTTTGTTTTTCCTCTTTGGCAACTAGGTTTCCTTCACTATCTGTCATTGGTTTCGTCTGAGTTGATCTCTTCCTGGTTATTTGGTATAATGTTGTCAGGTCTCTCCTAACTGCAGCTGTTCTGCTTCACTTGCCAGTGTATCGTAGAAGTGTCTTTTGTCTTTGCGTGCACTCTTCTTCACTTCTTTGTCCAGTTAAGTGTTTTATACGTTGTACTCAGTTCTTTTCGTTGTGCATCCTTGCACTGGTTCATCTTCTATTCACGATCTTCCTCTCCTCTATCAGCTTCCATGTGTCCGTCGAGATCCATTCCTTGTCTTGTTCCTCTTCCTTCCTAATGCGGTTACGCAGGTTTCTTTCCACATAGCTTTCAAAGAGTTCTAGTGTTCTTCCACTCAGGTTCTTTCAGTGATGTTGCTCAATGTCTCCCATTTTGTTCTGATGGCTGACGTGAAGATGTCCTTTGTAGTTTTGTCCTTCAGCTTCTGTTCTGGGTGTTGAACTTAAACTGTAGTCTATCACCAACTTCTTTTAAGGCTTTCAACTTGATTTGGAAGGTTCCTTGCACTAGATAGGTGCTTAAGTTCGGTTTAATTCTCCATCGTATCCTGCTAAACTTGTAGTTCTAGCTTTTCTAAAAATTTTGAAGTTAATCAACTGTATGAAAATTTTCTCATTGTTTCAGTAGGTTAGTGTGATTTATTTTTGTTGCAATCAGTAGTCACTGCTGAGTTATGTGTATGATTTTTAATATTTAGGTTTGGAATCGCCGACAGTTGTGTTAGTTAGAGTGTTAATTATCGGATGACACTACACCTATTCTATTTCATAAGGTAACTAAGCAGATATAATTTGAGGTTAGTTAACAGTACTGGCCACTGACTGACAAAATCGCGTAGAATCTTGCACAAAAATGCATCGGTTCAGTTGCTGCACTTCACAGCAGTACAGAAGCAACGGGTGAATAGAAGAAAAGCGATATAAAAGTGGTTAAAGTAGTGTGAGAGAATAAACAATCTGAAGATGATGGTTAGTGCAAATCTTCAACCTTTAGAAGATATCAAGGTGTGAATGCATCTGCGCCATTGTGACTAGTTTTCAGCCATGTCACTAACAGTCCTCAAGCCCTGATTCCTATCGTATCGAGAACCGAAACCAGGCAGTCTACCTCTCCCTGCATGGCTCAGGCCAACAGCAAGAGGCTTGGTCTTGGTCTGGCCATCTTAAACTCTCTCCAACTAAATCCAACATCTGGCATTACACATCGAGATAAGCAGTGACCAGGCATGCTCAGTACATGTTCAAGCCAGCTCAGTTGACTAAGGTTCACAACCTCTTAAATCAACTTGCCTGTCTTGTACCTTCCGCCTGATTTCAATATCACTTGTACAGTGATTCCACCAAACGCAAGCAATGCTACAAAGACACTTATGATAGAAAAACTAACTATTTCATGTCTTCTACTTTCAGCAGCCATGTATCACATGCGTATAACAGGAAAGAACAGACTGCAGTGCAGTATACTTATCTTTTAATAGATAGTCGAATATCTTGCCAGTTGGTACCACAGGTGAATTAAGTTGGTGAATGCCAAACGGGCTTTCTGTATCCGAGTTGAGATTCCATCGGCAGCCCGTTAGCGCTGATGCAACTCTCCAAGCAAGTGAAGTGGTAGACAGATTTCATCGCTTTATTCCATATCATTAAACTGGGAGTACTTGCATCAGTTCGGTCCAAAAGCACCATCTAATATTTGACAGGTTCGAAATGGATGCCAAACGCAGTCAAATTTCTGCTCAACGCGTTCAGCGTCTTCACCTAACAAGACAATATCGTCTGCATACATCAAGTCAACTAGATGACCTCCAAGGAGTAGATCAATCCCGTTAAGTCAGAAATACATAGAGTTATGTCCATTATTATGTCTATGACAAAGTCAAACAGAAACGGTGATAGTGGGCATATTTGCCCAGCACCACTAGTTGTCGTCAGTTTTGATGACAACTCTCCACAAGCCCTTACGCGGCTGCAAAAGTTAGAGTAGAGAGCTTTGACTAGAGTTGTATACTTTATCAGTACTCTCTTCACAGTCAGACACTGCCACAACACCTCATGGTCGAAAGAGTCAAATGCCGCCCTCAGGTCAAGAAATATGACAAGCGTCATTCGTCGGTAGGTATGTATGTATTCCAGGACCTTCTTCCAGATGTCTGAAACTACCCGGTTTTCTCAAGTCTACTCTTCTCGAGCTCCAGTTAGGCATCGGATAACTATAGATGATAGGATCTTGGACACAATATTAGTCAAATTAGTCCCCCTATGGTTGTCATAAGATTCCTCTCCTTTATAGATTGGGATAATCAGTGAAGTATATCAGTCTGATGGTGTGACTTCTAGCTCCCATACACTACCTAGTATGTCTGTCATATTAATTAGCGATTTCCTACCCCCATACTTGAAAACTTCAGATGGCAAGCTGTCAGGTCCTGCTGCTTTGCTTTGTTTTAGGTCCGACACAACCTTCTCAGCTTCAAGGAGAGCTGGACGATTACTGTTAAGTTTGATGAAAAATTCTACTGGGATTTATTCGTGTGTATTTCACTCTGGAGTCTGATAGGAATTACTAGCCAAACTATTGTTGCTTTGTGATAGTGTATACAAACAAACGGATAGACAATATCAACATAGCACCTGACATTACTGCTGAGTAGTTGAAGTTACTGCATATGTCAGCACTTCGAGTGAAAATACACTAAGATGAAATCAAGAAGGAAGTCGTTAAAAAAGGTGGAGTTAGTAAATACTGAAATTCACTATGACGATTGAAGGAAGATAATGTTTAGATACATCAGTGCCACTGAAATTGACTCACAATCATATCCCCCAATGTCTCCAACCACTGGTTTCTGTCGTCATACCGACCTCAACAGCAAATTTTTCATTTCTGTTCACAGCTAAGATTAACAGCTGCATTCACCACAACGAAAGCTTATACAAGTGCTAAGTTTCACAAAATTGAGACGGTGCTTATTTCTACTGAAATTTTAAGGTAGGCGATAAGTCGGGATGCACAACACATGTCCAAGCCCCCTTAGCTAATAAAGGTTCACAACTATACCGACCAACTTGCCTGTCTTAATTAGGCATATTTGTTCAGAAAGTTCAAAGATGCACATGTTTAGTTAGGTATTAATGACAGATGACATGAAGACAAGTGAAAGATCTTTTGGCAGTGTTTCTAAAATTTCAACCCAGTGTATTGATAATATCTATTCGATGCTGTAATTGCATCTCAGCAAACAGAGCTGTTTATCAGTTGGTACTAACTGTAAACACAGAAGTGCCATCTGTAAGTCTGTACACTTCCAAGATTTGTGGGGCACGAGATTTTGTGTTGTTTCCACCATCTTTTACTATCACCTTTCAAGGGAGTTGTGTTTTCTTGAGTTTTTACTCCTGACTTAGCAACTAAAAAGTACTTGATAGCATAACATTTTGGCTGGGAAGTTTTTGATAACAATATCACCCTATGGATATGCTCCCTCACATTATTTTACAACTTCTGAATACGGGGACTCGTTTACATCTAGATTTATTCTGCATACTACTTTAGCTACAGAGAATAGATGACTACTTTATGCCACAGGAAATATTGCCTCTGAAAAACTCATCTTTGTTTATTGAATAAAATGAATTGAGTTTTTATTTCCATAATTCTATCCAATTTATTATTTCTCTTCTCTCTTCATACATTAAGCCTACCTCCTTTAGGAGTTCGACAAGCTATAAGTCAAATTTACACGAATGATCTTGCAATTGGCGGTAGAATTACTTCTGTATCACATGTTTTGGAAGTTTGTGGACGATTAAGAAATTTTTGGACTGGAACTTATCCATCATTATGGCGTTGTGTTCCTGGAATTGGTGGTTATTTTATGTGCCTTGATATCTTACAAGATGTAACAACGAGGTTAGTGTATATTCATGTTTGATACACTACTGATTTGTGTGTTTTTTAAGATTTAAACTATGTGTACTCAAAATTGATAACTCAGTTGGTCAACACTATTGATTGAACAGTGTCATATAAAGGCAAGAATTCATCTGAGACATTGATGAAACTTGATGCAAAAATGACGATTGACGTACTTGGTAACTGTAGATAGTTTTAAACCATAGAGATCAACAAAAGAGTGGGCGATACGGCTTCAAATTTATCACAGTTTAACAGGTTAATCTGCACCTTCCCCCTCTTGGTCTCCAAAAGCTCCTTCTTATCCTTTTTATTGATTTCTTCTAAATTTCCCTTATCCTTACTAGTGCTCTACTAATAATTTTAGTTCATTGTGTTGATGTGAAGTCTAGAAGCTTAAATCTACGCTACCGATGTCTGTTTTTGCGTTAAAATATGTTATTTCTCTTGTGTTACATCACTTCAGTCTTCAATTAAACTTAGCTATCCATTTAATTGATTTCCCTATTTTATTATTATTGGTTAGATGGGATTTCCTGACCACTACCACATACACACCGACAACGGCAGTAAGATCATTCCTCCTAGCTTTTACAGCTCGTGGTATTGTCGCCTTTTGCTTAGATCCATTCGTTGTAATTAAAACTCAACTCGAATCAGGTCTGTATGCCGAAGATCGTAGAAGTATGTTGAGAACATTCCGAAGGGTTTATTCCTCGGCAAAATGGAAAGGTATGTTTATTAGTAAGACTATATATATATATATTTAATTTTTTAGTTTTGTTTGGAATATTATTTAACAGTATACAGACTTCTATTCGGAAGGTTTGTTAGGCAGTATCACTCTTTCCCGAAAATTTAATGTGATATGCCAAAAATGTAAACATTTTCAATCATGTCATTTCGTGAAATTTGAAGTTCCCATTGGTGCTATGGTTCATTAATTTAGGGATTCAGCTTCCAACTAAATGAGTCACTGGTTCGAAGCCTACTCCACCTACCAGTCAGGTTGTATCATTAGCCCTCATACAATTAGTGTAACCTATTTCCTACTGAACGAAGTGCACCTAATTGCATATTAGGTCTATAGAAGTCCCCAGAAATGATAAATCTACCTCTATAAACTCGTTTCATGAGTGATTAGTCAAAACCAGATGAAAAACCATTTATTTATATGCTCCACAGGAGCATGTGCATTTGTAGATAAACATGGATGTAGGAATAAGTGGTAGCCTATCCTTAACACATGGTCGAATCAGATGGCGGCTGGAGAAAATCAATCTCAGTCTAGCAGCATAAAAGCTACTATTGATGCACTTTGATAAACGGTTTCTCAGCACTTCGGCTGTGGTGTCTCCTTTGAATTCCAGCTTCATGCTCATCTACAAATGCACATGCTCCTGTGGAGCTGACTTTATTCAAAGTTGCAAGTGGACCCTCTGAAAACGTGTTGCTGAGCATTACCTGGTTTGGCTTACCAAAGGTGAACGAAGAAAAAGCAATTTCATCCATATGGGAACACCTGGTAGAGTTAGGTCATTCAGCTCATCGAGATTCATCCTTTTAAGTAATTTACAAAGTTAAATTGAACTACTCCAAAGGTCTACGTTTCCACCACCTATGCATAGCTGAAGCATTAGCTTCTATACATGAACAAACACTGAAACTTTGTATTCAAAAACCTTTTGTGAAACTACTTTCTCTACCTTGGCCCTAACAATTCATTTTGTTGATTTTATCAATTTCATTTCACTTCACTTTGGTATACTTCTCTTTTATTATCATCAATTTTCACTTCACTTACAGCACTCAACCCATATTTCATTAGTTAATATCAATTCGTTCCTTATTCATTGACTCACTTCGTATGTTTCAGTTAAATTATCATTGTTTTACAATCCGTTAACAGCACGCATCCCTTATCTCACCACTTGTTATCATTTCGTTCCTATTTCTTGTTAAACTTGAATAAATCCTACCGCCAACATCTATTGTATATTTTGCATATTGACGTGGTAACTTTGTACTGCAATTATTTGTCATTTTATCGATTATAAATACGACTTTACAGCTCGACAATAAGGTCGTTGGAGGGAAATATTTCTTCGCTGATATATGTCTTGTTCTTATTCATGAATAAATGGGTATATTTCGTCAGAAGATAAAGAAAAGGATCAGATTTTTTGTTAACAATAATGATTATTTACACTTTCAATAAATACATGTAAGGGTAGAGGACTATCTAGGTTTCAGCACGGATCCAATAGCTGTCGAAAGTACCATCTACAAATCTTGATGATTGATTTCAACCTTCATAAAAGATGTGTAGAATTCATCAAGTATTATGAATTTGCTTATGCGTCTGAACTTTTCGGAGGAGTAGTAGCAGCTTTTAGTTGTATTAGTATTCGACGTTGTTTAGACTGCAACCAGTAAATAAACAAATAAAATATCGATGTGGATCGCAGTTCCTCGAATGAAAGCATTTCACTGGACAACATACTTGAAAACATCTACCGATGTGCAGTTGAAAAGCATGTTTCCTATCTTTACCCTTAACGGTAGTCTTACATTTACTTAAGACTGACTGTTGGTTCGGTATCCCCCTACCTACATGAGTTTTCAGATGGAATTCAGTAGGTGGATTGCTACAGTCTAAGTCTATCATTCATATTTGTGTGAATATAGTAGATCACTGTGACGTTAAAATTTCTATTTTACCATTTATCAGAGAGGCTGATAGTAAGTCAGTCATAGTTTCCCCAAGTAATATGATCATAAAGTAACGGACGTCAGCTCCGGCTTGGAGTAAACTAATTAACTTGTATTTAACAAACATGAATGTCATATTTATTGTGCCATAAATCATATATAATCTTCTACTTTTATGAAAGATTTTTTGTAGGAAATCAGAATTTTATGAATCTTATCTGGTCACTTACAATTTAGTAATTTAGACACTGAAATTTCAGTTTTTAAGTCATAAATTTGAAGTACACTCTGTCTACTAATCTTTAGACAGTCAAATTGAAATGTCACCTTTTCCGCATACCACGGCTTGAGTAATATAACCAATCTAGTAAAGGAATGTGTAGATGACTGACTGTAGAGTTGACTCATAATAATAATGATAGCAACAATAATAATAATAATAATAATAATAATAATCGCTTTATTCTAAACAGTATGTATGATACAGTATGGGATTCTCAGTATATAATTTTTCAACAAAGACACCCTCAGAACAGTATTTACAAACGAATCATTCGGCCAGTAATAGAATTTGCAACTCAAGCTACGTATCCGAAGGATAGGAATATGATGTACCTCTGTGCACTGAAGAGCCCACTTCCATATAAACGTGACATTTTGTCTCTGTTCTACTAATAACTCGAGAAACGGCGAGTTGAAAGCGTTTTAAAAATGTGCAAGAGTACATAATACTTTCAGAGGATATATTGTAATGATTAAAGCAAATTTGAAGGAAATGCTCAGAGGAAAATTTTGGTGGCCCAAGGTTTAAGGAGGCTGTTGATGCGATAATTGTTTGGTAAAGATTAACTCCCTATAATTCTGTCATCAGATTGTTTGGGATTTTTTTATTTGATCGTCTTCCTAGGTCTATACAGTGGTGTTTGGGCATCAATCATGCGAGACTGTCCATATTCTGGCTTATATTTAGCCACATATACTAGTTTACTTCACTACACTGGTCTTTATTCACCATTCCAGAAAAATACTGGTATGTTCTGAAAATAACTTACGTTAATATCGTTATTTATCGTGTCTTTCACATTAAAATCTAATTTCTATCTGAAGAATAGTTTTTACGCTTGTATAAATAAATTGTTTTATGTATATCGTTTAAGGAGCGAGAAGGTGGGTATTCGCTGTTTGGCCGATGAAAAGACCCTAGAAGATTTGGATTTCACCGATGATGATGATGATATGATGATGATTTATGTCTAGTGTCTAATGTCGCACAAACTCGAAGATCTACAAGCGAAAACGAACAAGTTGGCGGAAGAGGCGAGGCAGTGAAGACGAGACTTTCATCAGGTGAACGTAGAGAAGACAGGTGATAAAGATACCCAACCACCAACAACGACAATAACAAGCACCAATCACCATGAACGGGATAAATCGAAAGAAGTTGTCTCTTTCACCTACCTACCTAGACAGCATCTTCCGAACTACAGGAGGCACAGATGAGGATGTGAAAGCCAGCATCAGAAAGACAGAAAGATAGGCCTTCATTAATCTGAAATCAGTGTGGACATCTACTGCACTCAGTATAAAAACAAGATGCGGATTTTCAACGCCGATTCAGTCAAGTCAGTGCTTCTATGTGATGGTTGAGAGACTTGACGCGTTATGAGAAGCATTTCCAACAAACTACAGACAGACATCAACAGCTGCCGCCTACGCTTAGTTGATACTGAAATCCAATCAGATGGCCATAAAGAATAGGCAACAAGGGACTCTGGTCTAGCAACTAACCAACCAGGAACTTATCGTTCAAAAAATATGCAGAAGAAAAAATTGGAGATGGATTCGACTGGACATACACTGAGAAGATGGTTTTGGGACATCACACGTCAGGCCAGGCCCTCAAATAGACCCGAATGGAAAACGAAGAGTTGCGCGTCTGAGGCGAGGAGATCATCTGAGGAGAAAAATGAAAGCTTATGGGCAGTCATGGAGCCAGGTTAAAAAGACTTCAGAGAACAGAGCGAAATAGTGACGTGCTACTGAATTCCCTATGTTCCACTAGGAACCCAAGGGGCAGGTAATAAAATATCATTTAACTCAGGTGTTTGAATTCAGAATTTAGGCGTGAAGTATTGAGTAAAAGCAAGTCAATGGATAAAGGTACACCTATTGAGATGATGGTTTGAACATGTGCCATACATCGCAACCCACCGGATTCACTGATGAGCGAGCAATTTTAAGGTATTGAAGTGGACGAACCAGGTTGGAAGTGACTGAACCAAGATATGGAAGTGATGTATGAAATCTGACTGTTTGTTTAGGCTACTTAGGAATTATAGACTGTCTACTTGTGATGTTAGGAATCAACAGTCAAGGTCTATGAATAATATGCATCGCAACTCACACGCGTCTACTATTTATCATCTTCAAACTTTTTGAATTTTTCTCTTTCACCATGGCCTTTCTGATTAGATTAATAGCATTGTATCTCTATCCAAACCCTTTTTCTGTCTTGTCACGACCGTATACACTTGTGTTCAAGATTCTACGACTATTTATTATTTCTGCCTATATCCATCATACTTTAGAAAGTGACTAGAATCGATTGTCAACTTTCGATCGTTCAACTGACTCAAAGTCAACATTCTCGTGAACTATGATGAAAAGAAAGGCACTAAGGTCTAAGTAGTCTTGCTCATCGGCCACAAGGATAATAGATTATTACGGATAGTCAAATACTACCTAGTTCATGGGCCCTGAGCCTTGGTTTTATGTTTGTCCTAAAGCAGCTTCATATGAGATTGTAAACTCATCATACATTAAATGCTTTACTGTGACACTTCATCATTTAGATTAATGATCGGAATGTATATTCTTTGTTTAGTGTCTGGTCATCAATTCATGTTTATAGTTGCTTACCTTAAACTCTGTTACTTTTCACACCAGTGGAACTAAATACTTTGATGCATTTTTTTGTTTGTTTGTATGTTTAGTTGTCGTATAAAATTGACTAACCTTTTGTTAAATTCTTTTTTCACTTTTCTTTGAATCTGAAGATAAGTCTTTTCTTTGTATATCTGGATGTGCTGCATTAGCTGCGTGTTTTGCAACTACTATTACTCATCCAGCTGATCTTATACGTGCTCATCGTCAACTTCTTATCAGAGAAATATTCTATGAAAAGTTAACTAATCAAAATTCAATTTATCAAAATAAAAATTTCAATAAACCAACACTATTTCATGTATTAGAAAGTACTTATCAAAATTATGGTATAAAAGGATTATGTCAAGGTTTAAGTTTAAGGCTACTTAGACGTACAACATTTGGAGTAGTTTCTTGGACATTGTATGAATTTTTTGTTTAGGCTTTTTTATTAATCATTTAATGAATGAAGAGATATGTGTAGACTCTGTGATAACCAACACAAAACTATCAAGTATTTTCTGTTTTTTTGTATCATTGTTTTTCGTTATATTTTTAGGATCATTTACAAGTTAATGTTTGCATTTATAAGTAATTCTTTTTGTACAGTTTACTTTGATCAACCACTCAACTAATCGATTGTGTTGCAATTTACCCCAGTTTATTTTGTTTCATAAACTATTCTGGATACAAAAAGTGTAAATGAATGATAGTGACCTGGAGTTAGCAATCATAGTAGTTTTACTAGTTATTATTTTTCCCTTGGGTTCCTAGTACAACAATAGGGCTTCAGTAGCACGCCTCCATTGCACTCTGTTCTCTGCAGTCTTTTCAACCTCGCTTCACGACTGCCCACAAGTTTTAATTTCTTCCTTATATAATCTCTTCCATGTCACCCTCGACTCAGACGCCCAACTCGTCGTTTCCCCTTTGGATTCCACTCAAGGGCCTGGCACTTAATGTCCACAGTCAGCCTTCTTAGTTTATGCCCAATCCACCTCGACTTTCTTCTGCATATTTGTTAGGTGATACATTTTTGGTTGGTCATCTGATCTTCAGTATGGAGTGAGCGTAGGTGGCAGTTGTTGGTGAATGTGTGTAGTTTGTTGGAAGTGCTTTTCGTGACATTCGAAGTCTCTCAACCATCGCATAGAAGCACTGAATTGACGTTGGTGTTGAAAATCCGGATCTTGTTCTTTGTGCTGAGCGCAGTAGATGTCCACACTGAATTCAGATTAATAAAAAGTTTTACTAGTTATCCAAGTAATATTAGTGGCCTTTTATTCTTTCTATCTGGAGATTTATTAATTGATTTTAAGTTAGAATTCAATATGAACTGATATCAGTTAGAGAAATGTTGAAAACTTTGAAGTACTGGATGGCCACGAAACCTAAAGGCCATGGGTTCGACCCGTGGTAGGGTCATGAGTGCGCCATTTTTATTAGAAGAGTCCTATTTTTGTCATCTAAAGTCCATATTTTCGTATTATCGTAAAGATATGGGATTTAAGAAGTGTATTGTTTAAAATACTTTTGCAAAGTAAGATCATCATTCCTATTGGAATGAAGATGAATTTTTCCTCCTAGTTATAGGATATGAGAGATATTATTAGATTCAGCTGGTAACTATTATACTGACTTTCTTGTGTCTTTCCATATTAGATTTGTTTATTTGATATGTAGCTCACAGTGATACAGTATCATTTACTTGCTGATCACGTTTCAAGCATAAATTATCATTATTCATAATCATATCAATGTAATCATACTCCACTTTCGACGCCTGATTTTTATAGTCCTGTCACCTGATATTATTTGTTCTTATTGGTAGTAAAGGTTTCCATATCACTGGCATGGGTGTTGCATCATTCGTATTATATATGTGTTGCGTGGTGTAGATTCGATGAACAAAACTTCAGTAATCAATCTCTCCACCTAATTATCCCATCCTATTGTGCGGTTGTGTTAATGAATGGATTGCAATAACCCAGCGTTTTTCTAAATTATTGATCTTATTGAGGTCTCAAATTAGTAAAGACCCCCATAAAATTTATAAAAAGCAACAATCTTAAGAGTGAAGAATATTATCGCAGGACTTTCATGGTATATGTGTAAACTGATCAGTCATCGGCTAAAAACGTACGAAAACTACGACCGGTTCTTTTCCGTAAATATCAAATTTAACAAAATATTTCTCCTAATGATATGTATCACTAGTCAGATTCTACGCTTAAAGATCACACCAAAATAAAGCGTAATAAGAACTTTCGAATGTTGATTTTGAGCAATGTGATCTAGGATACCCAACCGATTACTAATCGCTCGAATATACCAATTAAGGAGACTTATACTTCTCTTTGTAAAGCAGATCATCCTAATAGTGCAATTGTGTGATTTTGTCTGATGATAGCTAATTTGATTTAGTTATCAAGCTTATATATACTTAGGAGATATCGCTAAGCACTTTGTACAGATTCTGTGTCGATAAAGTTTTACTCATTTTTGAAATGTATTCATGAACACTGTTCTTTCCGCTTGAAGTGATTAAGTGGATTAAAAAGTAAACAACAATGCGAATCACTTGAGCTGTGTGAGAACAGAGACTATTCACCACTCGCTTTCTTATATTTCAGTGTATATCACTTCACATGTAGTTGCTGAAATATCCATATATGAACAGAAAGAGGGGCCGATCTTATATTTTCTGAACACATTCTAAAGAGGGAGTAACACTGCACAGCGCAGTCGCTTAGCATTCGATCCACATAGAACATTTTCAAGATAATAAACAGACAAAGAAGTTTAATGACGCTATAGTCACCAAACGCAACCTGTTTTTGACTCTTTTCATTACATCATCTCTTCTTAAATCTAATGTCTTGATACAAACTATTTCCAACTATCTGACTTTGATACTATTTATTGACATACTTGTTATTCTCCGCGCGCTTTCTGGATTCTTCTGCTAGCCACAACCAACCAATTTATCTGACTTTAACTCAAAATATCTTGAATGTTTTTTTATTCATCCAATGACTTACGAATTCTCATATTTTATTTCTCTTATTAGTTTAATTTTGCTTCCGAAAAGCTTCGTAGGTCATACATTTGGTTCCTTTGGCAAATTTGAATAACAATACAAGGACGAAGACATTTGCAGGATAAAATGAGCTCGTTTTATCTCACAACCTTTCATCAGCTGCAAATAGCCTACAGTTGATATGAATTATTATTATTGGTAGGTACAATGACAACATACTTTAAATGTGTAGAAATAAAGGATGACTCGAAATCCAGGATTAATAATTAAGTAGTAGTGAGTCGAGGAAACACAGGATTAGTAATCACAAACCCTAGTCAACACCAATGGCAACTTATGTCTGATAAAATGGAAAATTCTGGGGATGTGAAAGGAGGGAGACAACAAGCAGATAGGAGTGTAGAAAAAGGGGTTGTTAAAGAGGTAGTAGGTTACGTAATTATATGGGAAAACGAGGGACTGTGTGATTAACAGTTAGTAAGTAATTAATGGGGAGATGATGCAATCGAAGAAGCCTGTTTCCTTTATCATGAGACATCTGAAAGAATAGACAGGAGAATAAAAGCTGCACTGAGGAGCTTCCCTGCTTCCAGGTCTGTTCACAGCACAGTATGTTCAACAATACAGTCGAAGTAGACAAATACACAACTCACCTAGCCTTCGACCGTGTATATCAATTCAATTCTATGCTTGTGGAAGCAAGTATATATGAAGGACTGAAACAATAGAGTATATTCGATCGTATCTAAAAGGCAGCAAGGTCCTTGCCAGCGCGTTGCCAGGGACTTGATGGAAACGCGACATCATACATATGTTCTTCGATCCTTCAGGATGGTCAACAAACAAGGAACATGTTTAATATGGTTTGCTGAAGCTCTTGCCATCAGACATTTTCAACTTGACCTGTGTATTCGGAAAGAGACTATAATTAACCTTTCTTTATCCTGGTGACTGTATATGGTTTTTGCATATGTATGCATTATCGTTTCCTTTCTTTGATTGCATCATCTCCCCATTAATTACTTACTAACTGTTAATCACACAGTCCCTCGTTTTCCCATATAATTACGTAACCTACTACCTCTTTAACAACCCCTTTTTCTACACTCCTATCTGCTTGTTGTCTCCCTCCTTTCACATCCCCAGAATTTTCCATTTTATCAGACATAAGTTGCCATTGGTGTTGACTAGGGTTTGTGATTACTAATCCTGTGTTTCCTCGACTCACTACTACTTAATTATTAATCCTGGATTTCGAGTCATCCTTTATTTCTACACATTTAAAGTATGTTGTCATTGTACCTACCAATAATAATAATTCATATCAACTGTAGGCTATTTGCAGCTGATGAAAGGTTATGAGGTAAAACGAGCTCGTTTTATCCTGCAAATGTCTTCGTCCTTGCATGACTGTGACAATGTGTTACACTTTCTTGGATTTTTATTGGGACTGTCTGAGTTAACCGTGGTGTTATTTGATGGCTGTTGGTGAAATAAAATCAAAGTTTGTGACTGAATCCGAATCGCAAGCCCTCCAGGTAACCGGCCGAGGTTTGCGATTATTCTATAACTTAACTACTCACCGATATTCTGTTTTCACCCAGTGAGTTAAGGTTGCAAGCAGTTGGCAAGATACCACTGAGATAAAATGGATCTGTTTCAGTCTACGTCGAATATTGGTCTTTCTCATGAATGAGAATTCGTCCATGAAATAGAAAAAGATGACTTTCACGTGTATGAAAATATACACGGGTTTGGATTGATTTCGAGCAACATTTGAAACCTTTTCTAGTCATCAATACACTGAACTCCTTGGTAAAACAGAGGATATCTATCCCGTAAACTAATGCAGTTGGAGAGAAATATCATACTTTGTACATAGATTAGTAGGTCATCTGTTTTTATCATAGAATTCAGAATAATACAAACAATTATTCTTAAATGTAGAGCACCACAGTCAGCTAATCTTCATTTTCCTATGAAATTCTGACTAACTGTTAGTGAATTCATGGATTGGTAACACAGAATTTACATTCGCCACAAGTGGTTGCATAAACTCACTTTTACTTGACAATCATTTACACTTTTGCCCACTAGGCACGGACAACACCTGTTGTCTTAAGGTTAATAGTACTTATTATCTGGTTGTTCAAATCTCAGTTTACTGAGCCAGGCTCAAAGCAGTCACTCGCCTAGATGAATGAATTGTAAAAAAGTAGTGTCCACGTGTATTCATTTTCGTAACCAGTTTTACTCGAGTCAGTATCGCAAACGCTAAAACTGCCTATCACTTATCTCATTTTTCTAATTCACAAAACATAAGAAAGTTTTTATCTGCAAAAGAGAGACATTATTGAATAAAAATACAGGGAATAAGAATAAGTTATTCGTAAAATGAAACGCGATAGGAAAACATCTCAGTGTTCCACTAATCATTTCTCTCTATCTTCACCGATAATTGTTGTTTGAGGTTGACTTAGTTTACGCAATACTCTCAAGGCACGCTTAGCCGCTAGACTTTTAGCTAGGCGATAATTTCGTCCAACACCATAAAATCGACCTTTGCCCATTACATGAGCACAAACAGAAATTCGTCCATCCACCATTCTTCGAGGTCGTCTGAAAGTTAATAATAGATGAAAATGTTGATCATAAGTTTAAAGAATTATTTTTCTAGTTATTGATAAGATACGGTCCAACCCTGCATTAGTTGTTTGTTACTTGAGTAAGTTAGTGCTTATCTCTGATTTGATTACTGATTGAAGTAAATTCTAAGCTGTTTCAGAATATTAGTGCTTTTGAGGATTCAGACACACTATGTCAATTTCAGGGCTTCCTTCCGACTTAATGCTAACACCAAACAAAGTATATAAAAGTACCATTTGATCTGGCTTAGTGGCGCCGCCATGATATCTGTTTGTCTATTAAGAGTTACGTGTACTGCACAGCAGTCCGCTCTGTTATACTGTATGGCTGTGAAACATGGCCGTTGACGGTGGAAGACATGAGAAGGTTTCAAGTGTTTGACCACCGTTGCCTTCGTAGTATAGGCCGCATCCCGTCGTGTCAAAAGGTGAGTAACGCAGAAGTCAGGTGTAAAGTTTTAGGGAGTAGAGGTAAATCTGTTGACGAGGTTATGAACCTTCATCGACTGAGATGGTTGGGACACGTACTACGTATGCCTAGTCACCGATTGCCTCGTCACACAATGTTGGCCGAAGTAGGTCCAGGCTGGGAAAAGGCCCGAGGTGGCCAGACTAAAACATGACACCGATGTATGAAGTCTTTGACTGTTGGTTTAAGCCATGTGGGGCGATGCAGACTAGGTGGTTGTGGTCCACGGGACAAGAGAAACTAGTGGTTGGAGACACTAGGTGGTACGGTTGAGAATCGATGTGAGTGGCGCAGATGTATACACACATTATCCTCATCTTAACGACGTTATCCGAATCTCACCATTTTCTCACTCTTCCTTTCTCTCTTTTTGTACATTATATTTCTTTCGACTGAATTTTCTTATCTTCATTTTGCAGTTCACTACCTTTTTACTTGATGTACTGATATGAAGTGTGGCAACTCGGACCGTTACGCAGTAACGCCTGGTCTTATATTGACTTGGATGATGATGGTCTTAGTGGAGATACTGCACAATTTGTGGATGGACTCTGTTCATCACTTAAGTCTTGGGACTTCCAATAAGAAGTCGTGATCGGTAGGGCAAACCTAGTGAATGTGAGGACAAATACTTAACGATGACATTGGGTGATGGTCGCTAAATGTCGTGAAGTAACAGAAGTTGGGAAAATGCACCATTGGAATCCGATCCAATGGCTCAATGGTAACGTGCTAGTCACGGAATGTGAAGGTCTTGGATTTTATCCCTGGTGGTGCAAGGTTATGACTGCGCACTGCTGAGGAGTCGCGCACTAGGACGAAATAGCTGTCTAGTGCTCTCAGGTCTCCAATGTTCCTCCAACTGATATCAGTTCATGATGAATACCAACTCGAAAAATCAATAAATCCTCACAAACCCCCAAATTAACATATGAAACATGTTTTGGATAGATTATTTGAAATGAGCCCTAAGTAAACGGCACATTTCTTTGTTCAAAGTAATGCACATTATAGTACATTCTGTTAGGCTGCATAGTTTTTTTAAAAAAGCGTTTTCTATATTTCATATACATTTATTAGCTAATTCTGCTCAGGAAATACAGAGCAACCGGTTGTATTGATGATTTTATCGATAAAAATGAAGTAGAATGAAAACACTTTGATATTTGTATTCACTGAGACAGTTCGGAAGCTACGAATTCCTGTGAGATAGATGATATGCTTATAAATTCGACTATGCGGCTAATTAATTGTCATTATAGGTTATCAGACACTATGCTTCAAGTGTTAAACTCCATCCCTTCCACTTTTAGCCGGAACAGTAGCATGGCTATATTGTTATTAACATTTATGAATATTGTAATTTGCTTGGTTGTGGCTAGCAGAAGAATCCAGGGTGCGCATTTTGTCCTATTTAGGACTCACTCGTCAGCTGGATGTACCTGCACCTCACTGAGTGATGGTTGTTCCTACTGAGACTTGAACCTGGTACCCATCGCTTTTCAAACGCCAAGGCGTTATCTATTAGATCACAGTGGCACGATAGCCACTTCTTGTACAACGCGTATTACTTATTACTATTTATTCACATACATGGAATTCTCCGTTGCTTTATTGGATCGAATTGTTCGACCTCTATTGCCATATCGGCTCCTACGTGGATGGATGCCTGGATATTGCCTAAATGTTAATTATGATAATGAGTTCGGTTGTGGCTAGCAGAAGAATCCAGGATGCACGTTTCGTCCTATTTGGGGCTCGTCAGCTGGATGAACAATTCGATCCAATAAAACAACGGAGAATTACAAGTATGTCAATAAATAGTAATTTACAAATAATAGTTTGTCACTTTACAATCCTCAGTTACACATTGTATCGTCCAGCAGTTATACAAATTTAACGCTGATAAAAACCATATTCAGAATGACTTACTCAAATTTCGTTCCTTCTGGTTCCAATTCTAACAACTGTCTAACAGGTGATTTCGGAATGCATGCAGTATATCTTTCTATAAATGAAAATACAAAAAAAATATATACACTTTCCTAATGAATAGATTTCTTTCACTCCTAAGTATATAGATGATTTTGCTAACAAATCAAAAACTCTACCTTAGGTGTTCTAGCTATATATAATTTGTATAATTTCGAACGTTTTGTTTTTAGAGTAAGGAAACTTGATTTATTTCTGACAGCGATGATAATAATAAGGACATTAAATTAAGTCAAATTTGCGTCTTTTTCGATTTATGACTAAACCTCCAGACATATGACTCAGGGATTGAAGTCGAATTGAAAAGTGGTCTGTAGTTTTGTAGTCTGCTTGGTGGTCAACAGTGGAATACAGAGAGCGCGTCTCGTCGTACTAAGAATTCGTCAGGTAGATGTACTTGCACCGCAGTGAATGATCTTGTTCCCACTGAGACTTGGACACAGTACCCGTCGTTTCAAGCACCGAAGTGCTATCCATCAGGCCAATGTACTTTGGTATCGTATTCAGAACTTTTGTTGTAGCTTCAATCATCTTCTGAAATAACACAAGCCAGATACTATAAGGGGGCTTATGTAATAGTTTGTGAGTCCTACCCATTATTTGACACTTATTCATACTGGCTGACAGCTCAGATATCTGTAATTGGAGCAACATTTGAGTTTATGACTCAGTGATAAAAAGTTAATTGCCTAACCCAATTAACATCAGATTTATTCATATCTATCTGTCTTATTTGTAAGTGTCCGGCTAAGATGAAAATATTGTGATAGAAATAGCATAAATTGAAGTCTGAGAAGAAAAGAAAAAGCCACTAAATAAAACTTGTTTGTAGCTCAAAAATGAATCCAACCACTGGTAAGTACACAGATTTCATAAGGATAAACAAAGAAGATGGGAAACACTATATTGATTAGTGGCTTCACACTTTGACTGCAATTGTAAATTATTAAACCCACCAATGGACTTCTTACAACTTTTCACAAATCTACTAGATGTATACGATCTAGTATACAGTAATATTTCAGTTTGTGCTTAACTTACTCCCCTCCCCCCCCTTCCTAGAGGTAAAATCCTTAATGTTAGCGGTATTGCTTTGTTTGTATCGCCTATCTCTTATTGTGAGCGAAATGACACTGACTGCAATGCGTGAGTAAGCTATCTAACTAGATGTACTCAAATTGTAAACTCACAGTATTTCTTAAAGATATTTTCTTGTCAATTTCACGGTTTAAGGTAATATCAGTAGAAAGTTTGAGTCTTCTTTTCATACTTCATCCTGCATAAAGTTGTGTGAACATTGCTGAGAAGTCTCTGACTAGAACTAGACAAATTTCCATTATCTGATTTTCAGTGGTTTCTTAATCTATTTCAATCGTGATGAAAGCTATTTTCGAAAGCAACTAGTACTTTATAAATTATTCAATGTACAACAAAATCTTCAAAGATATCAGTCAATGTATTTTGAAGTGTAACTTTAAGTGTAAAACAATAAACTTAAATAGCCTTTTTTTTTGTCCTACTAATTAGTGTGAAAAATCAACACCAATTTAAACTTTGTTTTAAAAAAAAACAAGAAGTATTGCCTGTTTCAGATTTTGAATATGGTAGCACAACCGAAACCTTAAGATAATTATTTAAAACTCTCTTCCTTTGTTAGAGGTTAAAACTCTTGTTTTGTTTATATATCATATACAGCTAAAGATGGGAATAAGATGAGTCCAGGCAACTGAAATGATGTTGTCTTCTTAGAATCGGTTACATCTTCTTGACCATGAAGTAAGAACTGTACTTAGAAGCTAAAAGAATCTCTTTGTAATACTTAGATGATTGTGATAAACAGGGTAAGTAAAGCATAATAACCGCACTGCAGTCCAGGTATAACATAATAGTATGATGCCATAACCATGCATATTGCAAGGAATAATGATAGCTAGTCAGTAATGATTAACTTTAGTTTGGTAACTAATAATTAATGTTCCATATTAAACTTGTTTATTTGATATGTAGCTCACAGTGATACAGTATTATTTACTTGCTGATCACGTTTCAAGCATAAATTATCATTATTCATAATCATATCAATGTAATCATACTCCACTTTCGACGCCTGATTTTTATAGTCCTGTCACCTGTTCTTCTTCGTTTTTATTGGTAGTAATGTTCTCCATATCACTGATATGAGTGTTGCATCATTCCTATTACATGTGTTGCGTGGCGTTGATTCGATGAAAAATGATTCAGTAATCAATCTCCCCTTTCTCCACCTAATTATATCGGTTTTATCCACCACCCCTACTGTGTTTGTGTGTTGATGCATACATTGCAATAGCCGGGTGCTTTTCTAGATTATTGATCTTATTGGGGTCTATCATTCTACATTTGGTTAAATTCTTATATTCCGCTAATGTAACTGATCCCGATCGGTTAGTTCGACTTATTTATTTGACCTTACAGTTACTGCATGGAATTTGGTTTGAATACCACCTTAATTCTTGCCTTGCTAAGAATCCTACGTAAAGTTTCTGATGTTTATTCCCTGTATGGTAACTTATTTTTACTTGTGTTGTCATTATTCGTATTTGTATTACTGTTATCAACAGTAATGAGGGTGGCATTTCAACCTGCAAACTCACTCAGAGATCCAATTCAACAAAATAATTTAATCTACCAATTTCCACCTCGATGTGTGTCTACAAATTTACTTGCTCCTGTCGAGCTAGTTATATAGGCCGCACAAAGCGCATGCTTTCCAAACGTATCTCGGAGCACTATCCTGCATGGTTGTCGAGGGGAGAATGTAAATCAATTAACAGTTCAATTCTTGAACATTTGGTCAACTCTGGACATAAAGCTAGACCAGAATCTTGCTTCAATGTCATTTATCGTGTCAGATGGAATTGTTCAAAAGGAGTACGCCTTCGACAGTTGTGCACAGCGGGGGCACTGGCAATTCATCAATTCAAGCCTGATCTCTGCGTGCAAAACAAGTATGTTCAATCTCTCATCTTACCATGGTCTTAACACTTCCATTTTTTTCGATTTCATTATAATTAATTAGTTTATTATTATCACCTTCATTATGACCCTTGTCTCATTCTTCACCTTCTTTACATCTATCTGCTGTCAAGTGGATACTCAATATTTGCGTTTCTTATCTACCAACAATCTTCACCTTGTCAAACTCCTCGCCTTCCTCGATATTTCTACTGTCTTAGATTATTACGCAACTACTTCGCAATCTTGATTCGGTTTTTCGTAGCACTTGGTTAGTGATGCAATTATACGCTATTGTTTTATGATGGACTGTTGTATTTTTATGATATATATAAATACGATTGTACAGCTTTAGAAAATGATATCGTCGAAAAAGAAAATTTTCTTCGCTGAATTATCTCTTCTCCATGCAATGACTACGAGGTCAAGTGCATAGGTCAAACTAGCCGGTCAAGGTCAGTTAGGATAGTAGAACATGGAAATTTAGCCAAATATATAGCCAATTATATACAGACCTCAATAATCTAGAAAAACACAGGGTTATTACAATCCATACATTAACACACAACCGCACAATAGGATGGGATAATTAGGTGGAGAGATTGATTACTGAAGTTTTGTTCATCGAATCTACACCACGCAACACATATATAATACGAATGATGCAACACCCATGCCAGTGATATGGAAACCTTTACTACCAATAAGAACAAATAATATCAGGTGACAGGACTATAAAAATCAGGCGTCGAAAGTGGAGTATGATTACATTGATATGATTATGAATAATGATAATATATGCTCGAAACGTGGTCATCAAGTAACTGATACTGTATCACTGTGAGCTACATATCAAATAAACAAATCTAATGTGGAATTACATTCTACCACGATGCCCAATAATCAATATTCCCCATAACTTGGTTTTGTATACTTTCCATATGATTCTGTAAATGAATCACTATGAGCACACAGAAGATATCAATGTTCATTTCCAGATAGTCGGTGTGATGGATACTCGTATTGAGTGATAGAATCTGCTTTTAGATTGATAAATGATCATTAGAAACACCAGGATAAGTAAGATATAGGATAAAACAATCAAGTTAGCAAATACATGCATATAATGGTTGAACTGACCGATACGCTCCTTCATAATTGGATAAAACACTTGCCAAACAGTGTCCAAACTGAAATTTGAATCAAGGAATACAGCTCCAGCCAGAGATTCAAAGATGTCGCCTAAGGCTTTGGGAATTTCTACATCATCAGATAACCGATTAGGTGTTAGGTTGACGTTATTATTGTTGATGTTATTAGTCTGCTTATTGGATTTCACTATATTCGGTTCAGTTTTTGACGACGGTTTATTATCACACTAGACAGAAAAAAGAAAGTAATACAAATAGAATTATGTAATACAAAGAAACTGATTATTGATCATCAATAATTTTTGCATACCCAATTCCTACCCTTAGTTTTGCTGAAGTGTCTAAAAAAGCATGATAAAACATATTATTCAGTATAGTAAGTGATTTAAGTAGTTATCCATCAGGTTAAAATGTTAGGACTGTGTCCTTCATATATACATACATATTCCTGCGGCACCATGTTCTTCATAAGGCAACACAAATTCATGCAAACAATTGTTTGATTCAACAACATATGAAGAGTTATAGGATGGCATATTCCTCAGGAGTGCGAACCCATGTTCCATCAGGGGTCGACCCCAGGATCATCAAATTTCGCGGCGAGCATATCACCATCTAGCTACTGGGTCAGAGTCCAATGGTAACATATTCGATACGAAACCTGACCGTCCCGAGATTGATCCCTGACGGAGTCATGGGTTCGAACTAATGAGGAATTCTATACTGAGACGAAGCTTTCCGCTGCTCCCAGGTTTTTGATGTTTTGTTTGATGTCAGTTCATGGCGAACACCACCCTGAAATACATTGAATACCCATACATTTTCAAACTTAAACAGTTAAATATCCTTCAGGATTTTCAAGGAGTATTCATCGTTCCTGAGGGGTCGAATATCAACCAATAACGTCATTAGGGGGTCTTTCTGCTTGGTAATAACTTTGCTTCAGGTCTTGCTGTTTGTTAATAGCTGCACTCGAATGTCATGCGTGTAAAGTGACCGTACGTGTTGGGTGTTCGACATGTGTTTGATAACACATGAACTCAATGAAATAAGTTCATGCATTCAGAATAAAAAGAGTGCGCCGTGATAGAATTGCATAGTCATTAAAGATTCCAGAATTACATCCACGACCATACAAAGATCGGTTCGTATTAGTCAGGTAGGATCAACATGTGATTTGAAATTACAGTGTAACGGTCCAATTTGCCACATTTTGTACTACCCGTTAAGGCAAGAGACATCACAATGAAACAGAGAAATAAGAAAGTATTCGAAAGCAGTAGAAATCATGAGAAGAGAAGAAGGAATAAAAAATTATTGAAATTCATCATGACTATAATGTATGAATACATCCGTACGACTGAGACAGATTCTAAGCCATACTTCCTACAGTCTTCAACCAACGATTTTGGCTGTCATGCAGACCTCAACTGGGAATTCTAAACTTTCGTAAACGGCCGAAACCAGCAGTCAAAGACTTTGTGGACTGGGGTCACGTTTTGGTCTTTTCACCCAAAATTGGAGGGTCTTTACCTTTAATGGCCATGTTTCACACCCACAGAGCGAACTGTAGCGCAGTACATTCGACACAATAATCAAATGTCATGCAGGTGGCGAAAGTCATCGAGTCTTTTGGATTCGTGCAGAGATTCCGCCGGCCACTGATCCAACTTGGCTAGTCCGACTTCTTAAGTATATGAAGTGTTCAGTGCACTTAATCGCTCCACTTTCTATTGTTACACAAGGTACCAACGAAGACCAGTCCAAGAGTAACGATTTCAATTTAACTGTTTTCAGAAATTACTTGATGAGTGACTGATACACGAACAAAATCAACGTAGCACCTCACAGACAAGTGCATCGGCTCAAGTTGCCACACCTCACAGTAGTATATGGAAAACAAGTGGATGGAAAGAGGTTGATATCAAAGTAGGTAAAGTTGTATGACAAGAAAAAAATCTGAAGATGACGGTTAGTACGAATATTCAACCTTTAGAAGATGTCAAGGGGTTAATACATCTGCGCCATTGTGACCTGTTTTCAGCCATATCACTAACAGACCTCAACCAGACAGTCTACATCCCCCCACACGCCCAGGACCAACAGTAAGAGACTTCATCGACTGGTGCCATGACTTGGTCTGGCCACCATGAACCCTTTTCCAACCTAATCAAACTCCCCTTAGCATGGGACGTAGAGGTAGGCGGTGGATCGGCATACACAGAGCAGTACATGTCCAAGCCATTTTAGTCGATGAAGGTTCACAAATTTATCAATCGAATTGCCTGTTTTGCCTAGAACCCTTCGCCTGATCTCAACATCGCTCACATGATGATTCCCACTAAACGCGACCAATGTTACGGAGACATCTGTGATCCAAACCTATTAATCGGTTTCGTGACTTCGAGTAGAGAGCTTAGATAACCATTAGGTGTGAAGTGAAAGTGAGATCAAGTCGGTAGTTGCCTAGAGTAGCTCTGCTAGTAAAATGATAGAATCACCATCAATACATTGTGCCGATGCGAATTTCCATTCCTTTTGAAATGTCACACGAATCATTTATGATTCTATCATAGTTTAAAATCCCAAGATCATTGCACCCGTTACCATTAAAGTAGACTTCCAGTACATGTACATAAGGAACTTTCAAGAAAAGCTTGGACTTGCTTTCAGGGATCATTACTTGTTGAAAAGGTTCAAGATGTTAGGAGTATCGGAAACTGTGACGTTGGTCAGTCACATTGCTGATCAGATATTTGAAACCATTATTACATGAAGTAAATCATCAACTTAAGACAATGAACTTACTGAATGTGAAACAAATAAACCAGTCAACTCTTCAGTATCCTCAGCCTGCCATTTAGATTCGCATTCCTTAGCTTTATTCAACAATGATGCATGTTTTTCCTCGTCTGCTTCTTCTTCGCAATCATCATCTTCATCATTTCGAGGAGCATTTTGTATAATTATTGGGTTTGAGTGAGGTTTATCAACTCCGTTTGTATTAACAGGTGAATTTGAAGAAGGTATTTTAGAACTGGTTAAATTATTTACAGTTTCTTCAGTAAATGTATCCATCAGTTTTGGTTGTCGTACTTCAATTTCCTTTCAACCGAAAAAAACAATAATAATAAAACGCAAATGAAATCAGTATTCATAACATAATCAATTTAGCACCCAGTGATCACATACAAATAGTAAGAGGGTTGATGAACATTTAATCGAATAGAATAATTGTTACACTGCCCAAAAGACCTAGTATCACTGAGTAATACTACACAAGACTGAGCGAAATTTGGACTCCTGACTCAACAGTTGGAAGTAATGTATTGAAATTATTAAGCCTCGGGTCTTGAGGTATTTGCAAATTTGAAAGCAATGACACACACGTGCACCAATTAGTGATGAATCTTCGGACATGGTGAGAATTCGGTACAGTATTTCTGGGATATCTTTCAGAATCAAGCTATTATTATTATTATTATCGTTATTCATATTGTTGTTGATACTGGATGCTGATTGAAGGTGGAGTGAGAATTTGGACCATGGCCAGATTCGAACCAGCGACCACCGGGTTTCGAACCCAATGCTCTACCAACTGAGCTACGAGGCCAGATTGCTAACCAAGGGTTTTGCCCGACTACCATATGAATTCGTGACGCGTTACTACCGCTTGCTCGTATCCACACTGGCTGTCCAGTCAGGACTTGTCATCCTAATCCAAATCAAACTGAATTAGAGAGAGGAAACATGATATTGATTATCATGTTGACTATCTGAGATAGCCGTAGTTTGGCAGAGTAGTATTGATACTGGGTGATGATTGAAAGTGAAATGGAAATTTAGACGGCGGTGGGATTCGAACCAGATAATCAAAGTGATAATCAATATGACAACCCTCCCTCTAATTCAATTGGATGAGAAGTTCCAACTGGGCAGCCAATGTGAGTAGTTCGATCAAGCGATAGTAATACGTAAGGAATTCATATGATAGTGGCGAAAAACCATTAGTGATTGAAGTGAAACAAAATTATCGTCAGCAATCAGGCTGCGGTGTAAACCTTTAACTTCAATCATCATCCAGTATCAATGCTAGTTTACCAAGCCACAAGTACTATTTCAGATGGTCAAAAATATATTATTATTATTGTATCTAAAGAATATGAACTGGCTTTTTGAAGTGATTAACCCATCAAAGTTAACAAACCGTCATCCCGAAACCAATAAATAGAAGTTCTAAGCAATATAGAATGAAGAATCAGAGAATTTTTCTTTCAACTTACATGTTCCCGTCAATGATGTCAGATACAGAAAGAAAGATTACATTATTCTTTATTTTTATAACTAGTATACTATGGTTTACATGGTAATTTAATTGAAATAAATAAATAAACAGTTTCATATTTAACCTTATTTCTATATTATAATTAAAGCATGGTGAATATAAACTACATCAGTAATTGATAGAAATCATAACTTTTACAGTATTTGTCAGTAGTATCCACCGTTAATCTTAAACAAGAGGTGATAAATTTACTTTAGTACATAATCAATAGTCTAAGGTACTTGACAATAAGATGGAAGATCTTTTATGTTGAATTATGCTTGTTTAACCCATATTTTGAGGATATCAAAACCAGCATCGGAAAAGTAAGCAAGATAGGCTTTCATTAATCTGAAATCAGGTGGAGATCTACTGCACTCAGCATAAAGCGTGAACAAGATCCGGATTTTCAACACCAATGCAGTCAAGTCAGTGCTGCTATATGGTTTAGAAACTTAGCACGTCACAAAAAGCATTTCCAACAGACATACATCAGTAGCTGTCACCTACGCTCACTCGATACTCACACTGAAGATCAGATGGCCAAAGTAATAGAAATAAGCAACAAAGAACTCTGCGAACGAACCAACCAAGAACCTATCACCCAACAAGAGAAAGTGGAGATGGATTGGGCATACACTGAGAAGGCCGATTGGGGACATCACGCCCCAGGCCAGGCCGTCGAGTGGAATCCAAAAGGGAAACGACGAAGTGGGCGTCTGAGTCGAGGGTGACATAGAGAAGATTATGTGAGGAAGAAATTAAAACTTGTGGGCACTCGTGGAGCGAGGTTCAAAGGACTGCAGAGAAGAGAGTGGAATGAAGGTATACTACTGAAGCCCAAGGGGCAAATGGTAATATAATAACCCATATTATGTGTTTACTCAGAATTCTTAACAAAATGTATTAATAATCCTTAAAGGAAATGATGCTCATTTAAATATTCACAGTCATATCACTCGATTCTGCAGTCAAAGACATTATACAAATAGCCAATGCCATATTAACTGTTGCCGAATAGAAGTTGATACACGCAGTTTAGGGTTAATAGTTTAAGCATTCCATTCCTTCTACTTTCATTGATAAATTCAAATCTATTGTCTATCTAATTTTTGTTGATAACTAATACCACTAATCATAGTTTAGTTATGTAAATAGAGTTTTTAGAGTATTCAAAGATTATTGAATTTCATCATCAACATCAATCAAGCTAATTCATTATTAAGAGATGTTTATTAGTTAGTATGATTAGTTATTTAATAAATGGTCATATTTGTACAATTAAATAAGCCTTAATTGTTATCCATTTGATGATCAACATTTATTTTATATAATACAACAATCTGTAAACAAATATATGGCTAAGAGTAAGAATAAATTGATGAAAATATGTTCTATATTAAAATTGTGAATAATAGACAATATGAATAATTAACTTACCTCATTTGTAATAAAATCTAAATCATCCTTTGCTACATCTTTTTGATATCTAACAAATACATCAATTGTATGCAATAATTGTGGTGATGAAGCTCGAAAGTATCGATGTAGACCAATACGTACAGCTAAAGCAGCAAATATATTATTATTCACTAAAGCTGATCTTAAATCAGTAAGGATACCTGGAGAATGTTGTTTAGAGTCTTCATATAAAAATCGTGTTATTACATAATCTAAGACAGCATCACCTAAAAATTCTAATCGTTGATAACAATCTAAATCTGTAGGAAACATTATAGACTGATTAGTATTCGGTAGAATACGAAGTTGATGATAGGATGGATGTGTAAATGCCTAAAAAATAAAAGAATAATCATTTTTAAAAATATCAAAATATACATTACAGTATAGAGTTGTAGTTCATTGGTTAAGATAATTGACTTTCAACCAGTGGATAGTGGGTTGAAACACCACTCCACTTAACTAGGTTTAGGCAACCAGCTAGTGTTGTTATATCTTATACAATATACGTCGCTTATTGTTCACTGTACAGGGTTTACTGAGTAGATTTCGACCGATTGATCATTGTAGTCAATATTTTGTAATGATGATGATGATGATGATGTTTGCGACAAAAACTACTACATCAACCACAAATTATTATTTTTTTCTTAGCACACTCTCAAACGAAAAATAATTCACATATTTCAAATAATTTGGTTGTATATGATGATAGAAAAAGTGACTGACTAACAGATATGAATAGTTGGAAACTAATCACAACATACAATGGTGTACTATTACTGGATGATTTAAACACTCGATTCATAGCTTATTCTTTATTCAATATAATGTAGACACGAAACGCTTGTTTAAATTTTAGATCAAGTATTACAAAATATTTACTGGATACAATTCATTCACACTGATACAATAACACAGTGAACTAAATATACACAAAGGCATAGTGACAGATAAGAAAAATTTCATTTTCAGGCTCATAGAGGATAGAAAGTAATAGGACAGAAATGATTATGGTAACATACGCAGTCTACTGAATACCATTTGACATATTGTTCATCTCTTATGCATTTCCATTCATTGATTGGTTTATTCATATAAACAGCATTATAAAATTTTAGCAATGTCCCACAAACTATTGGCTCTATGTTTAAATATTGTTGCTTGTATTATACCGTAGTGGATTGGATATTGGGCATATGAAATCCCATGTGGGTGCCTCGAAAATAATAATAGTGGGTAGCAGTGGGATCCAGGATGCACATTTCGTCCTATTCGGGACTCGTCAGCTGGATGTACCCGCCTCCCAGTGAGCGATGTTCTTGTGCGATGGGCATGGTTTTAGTATTGTCGCTAAAACTCTACTTTTAGCACAAGAGTGGCTGTCGTGTCTTGGTGATCTAGTGGATAACGCTCTGGCGTTTGAAGCGTTCGGTCTCGAGCTCGAATCCCAGCAGGAACAACACCACTCACTGAGAGGTAGGTACATCCAGCTGACGAGTCCCAAATAAGACGAAATGAGCATCCTAGATTCCATTGCTAGCCACTGTCCATCATTTTTATTTTTTAATGGTTATATTTGGTGTGATTCTTTATATTTGCTGTCTTAGTTTATACTCTGTTACTTAACAGGTGTACTACTAGTGTATCAGTTATTCATTTAATACTGGTTGATAATTGAAAGTGGAATGAAAGCTTGGGTCGTAGTCGAGATATCGAACTTAGTTGTTTCAAGCAAAATTTGATAGATTATAGCAATTAAGAAGTACGCTATAAAATGATGTACTACTAACTGTTAATAAGCCTGTTTTGTTTTTATTAACGAAAACACATTCACTTAAAGGTGTGTATAGGACCTAGCAGGAATAACTGCTTAGCCTAATAAATATCCGCCAACTCCTTGATAAATTGAGCGACAAAGTATTTCACCTAAATTAACTTCTACACTCCTAAATTGCATTTTACCTTTTTTTTTTAACAGAAAGAATGCAATAAGAATGAATGAAACTAGTAGTAAAAACGTGAGTGACTTTAAAGGGCCACCGTAGCAACAATTGAAATAAGCAATTAAACTTCTCTATTTTATAAAAATCTACCTTTCCAACTGAAATGAAGAAACCTTATTGGTTATTTCAGTTGTTACTAGGGTAACCTTTAAAGTCACTCAAAAAGTTAGTTAAAGATGAGACATTAACTTCAGCCTATCAAGGTGGTGATTATTATTGAAGTAAATCACGATAAATAATTAAGGAATGGAATAGTTACACAGTAAATAGTGTAGCAGTATTTTGTTGTTTGAGCTGATAAGTAGTGCATCAATATGGAAGTGAAACACTGTAACAGAAAGATCAACACCAGGATGTGTTGGGTTTCAAATCAGAGAAATGAAGATGAAACGCACTTAGCTACCTTGTACACATTCTTACAGTAGGGAATGAACCACATCTATAGTATGACGGCTAGTGATGCTACCTGGTTGCCCAAACTGACTGCATCTCTATACAGTCCAGGCAGACAGTTAGAGCTACCTTTTGATGTATTCGTCTTTAGGTTTCGCCTAAAATAATCCTACTTCGGTGATTCAAATAAGACGGCGACTCGGCGGGCACAAATGTGCTTTGGTCATCTCATTCTATGCAGATTTCTTACCCAGTACTCTGTACCTACTTAACCTTGAAGTTTCTCACCTATTGGTTTCATCAAACACCAGTAATGTTACACACAAATTTATGATCAAAAACACTTGAGTATAGACCTGGTTACCACGCCAGTAACAAAGACAGTGAAAATTAGTAGATTTCAAACAAACTATCTGGATCATTAAAGCTAACAGAAATCCTAAAATAAGCGATTTTGCTTAACATGATTATGTTACAAGTTTACCCTAAGTCAACTGCATGCCAGCTGGATCGAAAATTAATCCTGAAAATTCGAAGTTATGTGTGAAAGAAACCTCAGTATGAATGATAACAGTGAATATCCTTGATGGACACCACTAACTTTTTAACCTTAGATGACAACACTCTGTAAGCCTTTATAAGACTTCATGGTTTTAGAAGATATCCTTGATGAGTACAATATACTTTCTCAGCAATCTCTTCATGCTAAAACAATACTGTCACAGACTTTTTTATGACAATGATGAACACCACCAATAAGCTGAAAAGAAGTCAACTATCGGTAAATATGTACATTTCGATAGTGTAATTAGAAGACGAAGTTTATCTGAACAATGTGATGTATTTGTGCAATACATTTCGAACAATCTGATCACACATTTACTTGTCAAGTCAATATATATTAACCGAGGACTGAGGGGCGGGGGGACAAATACAACAACTAACACAATAGGGGATTAAAATTAAGAAAGATGAGAGCAAACAGGAAGTGACATAGTTGATCCTAATCTTGGTGGGGAAACAAAGTTTACCAAGGTAGGTGTAGTGTAAGAACAACTGTTTTTGTACACATAAAGATGTTGTTACACTACACCTACCTTGGTAAACTTTGTTTCCCCACCAAGATTAGGATCAACTATGTCACTTCCTGTTTGCTCTCATCTTTCTTAATTTTAATCCCCTATTGTGTTAGTTGTTGTATTTGTCCCCCCCCCCTCAGTCCTCGGTTAAATATATATTGACTTGACAAGTAATGTGTGATCAGATTGTTCGAAATGTATTGCACAAATACATCACATTGTTCAGATAAACTTCGTCTTCTAATTACACTATCAAATTTATAAAAGGGACTAACTGTTTCAAATATGTACATTACCTATTGGAAGGTGAATGTTTGCTCACCGCACTCTCATCTTACGTTGAAACCCACTTTGTTTATGTATTCCGTTTTATACAATCTAGTTAAGAGTAGAATGACTAATGACTTTAGAATCTTACATATTATGTCATACTATAACATAAAAATCTGTTTCATTTCTTATACACTATAATAACAAAGAACATAGACCACTTCAGTGGAACTATCTCTCTGATTCTCGTGCTCTACCTAGCATCTCAGTCATATTAAGCAATAACATTTGGTCGCTTTCACTAAAGACTACTAGAGGAAAGCCATTAGGACTTTATTTTGCTTCGTTTTAGATTTAAACAACCTTTTCAGTTACATTGAAGGATTGATCTAGAAAAGCAAAAAGTGTACTCGTAAAACATTTCAGTCAAAAGGCTTTTTCACTACAAAGCTCTGGTTTCTAGTTAAAGAATTTATGGATTAGTGATAAATCTTAGTATGACAATTAGAAATAAACTAAGTGGTAGTTCATAAAAGAAAATATAACCACTTACCTGGATTAAAAGACTAGGATCTTTAAATGTGTAATTCAATGAAGCCTCCAATTCATCAAATCTCCAGACTAAACGTGCTTCAGCTAAATACGCTTTATTTTCTTCAGTGTCTAAATAATTCGACTTTGGTAAGCACCAAGGAGCTCCAGAAGTTGGTTGGCTGTCACCTAAAAAAATAGATTTAACATGCATGCATACAGAAAGTATTTAATGTAGGAAAGCATAATTCGGTATTACTATTTATTGACATACTTGTTATTTTCCGTTGTTTAGTTGGATCGCGAATTGTTCGACCACTAATGGCATATGGGCTCCTATGCGGATATGCCTCGATATTGCCTGAATGTTAATTATGATAATTTGGTTAGTTGTTGCTATCAGAAGAATCTAAGATGCATGTTCCGTCCTATTCTTTCCTCTATGGCATAGTGGATAACGCCTTGGCATTTGAAGCGATGAGTTAAAGTCTCAACATCACTCTTTAAGGTCCAGGTACACCCAGTTGACAAGTCCCAAATAGGATGAAACGCTCGTCCTAGATTCCATTGTTAACCGCGTAATAGATCGCAATATATAGCTTTCAACTTAAGGTATCAGCGAAAAACTATGATCGTTTTTCCTCCTTTGTAAGTATTAACCCTCCTATCAAGTTCGAATTTTCTTCCGTAACGTTATTACTCAGTTCAGATAAGCTATGACTTCTCAAAAAGTTTTAGGAATTTAGCACCAAACATGCAATCAATTAAGTAATCATTTGATGTTAAACCGTAAGATGACTTATTAATTTATCATCAATACCGTTTATTACATTGAACGCCTTGGATACGAAGGGATGAAGGATTACCTAAATTTTACATCTCTGTTACTATTGTAAAAGAGTTTGAGTAACATAGACGTGTGGGTTTCTTTCTTTTAAAATTAGAGACTCTTAGGAAAACAGAACCTGTTACAAAAACCAACAAACTGATAAACTCCATCTCTGCATATTGTTGTAGCAGATATACTTTTGTTACTGTGTGGTGCCATAAATACACCTATTGATGGGCTATATTGCTACCGATCGAACTTTGATAAAATCTGGTTAACTGGTGAAAATAACAACAGATACCAACTATTAACGTTTCCTATTATCTACTTCTAAACTATGGGTTCGAAATCCGCCCATCTACTGAAATTTAGACAACTATGTGGTATCACAAAACACCATAAAACAGCTGTACCTTCTCTGCCCAACGAGAATTGTATAAAGTCGTTGGGTTACAACTTGAATTCCATAATTACCTAATAAGTTTAGGCTGTAAATATTAGGTGTGTGTATCAGAACCATTACTCAGCCAGACAAACTGAATTCACACTTATACACTATAAAACGCCTCCACTGTCATTCTAGACAAGATTATCAGCAAAAACCTCAGAGGAAACTGAGCTATAAGCTTTTCTCTAGCTTGTCGTCATGATCTTGAGTGTGATCGGTTGTTCCTGCTAAATCGTAACCATCGTCTCTACAAGCATTTCCATTGACTGGCTCATCTTGACGTTGAAAAATTTAACCTTATTGTTGTCCCAAACGAATTCATGCTCACAATTGTTTGTGTGTATTGATATGAACGAAGTTATGTCATACCGTTTTATTATTTTATTATGTGGACGAATTGAAAAAAGGCAACCGCTCTGTTCGATATAATGTTTTTCGCCAATCAAACAAAACACATGAAAGAAACACCTTATATATAGGGACTCATTTCAGAAGTTGAAATACAAAGACTAGAAACTGTTGTATTACTGTTAATCCAACGAAAACTTTGAACCCTATGTGTGGATGATACGGTTATCACCATTGAAAGAAACATATTGGAAAAGAAACACCAGGAAGGTCATAAGGACAGCCAATTGAAATATATATTTTTAAAAAAATTTAACAGAATCAACCGACCACACCCAATGTCATTACGACAAGTTACTAAGCCACCTGTGGAGAAAATCTCATAGCTCACTTCTTTCGGAAGTTTATCCTGATGATGTTGTATAGAATGACAATGGAGGCTTCATAGTTAAATCAGTCAGTTCAAAGAACACAATACCATCAAAGTAATCCTTCTAAGCTACAAATAGTCTCTATTATGTCATTATAAAATGCAATCGAGTAAAAATTATTATCAATCAGTAGAAATGTTGAATTTATCAACTTCCTAATTTGTAAAAACTATCAGCGAAATCCCTCTGTACAGGATGTCAAATGTCTTCTAGATCGACTTAACACCGTAAAAAGCCACATTAGTTTATCATGTGAGGAAGAAAATAATAATCAGCTTCCTTTTCTTGACGTGTTATTTAACTAGAAGTGAAGATGGGCCGATAAAAAGATTAATGTATAGAAACCCTACGTGAACTGGAAAGTACCTTAAATTTCATAGCTTCTATCCAATAAAGTACAAACAAGGTTTAGAAAAATGCTTATTCAAAAGAACCTAACGCATATGCACAACATATACTGATAACATACCTTGTATATGAAGACAATCAATGCCAAACCATTGCATTAAACGTAAAGCAGAACGTTCACCACGAGTAGTTAAATAACAACCAATTAAGGCTTCAACACAATCTGCAATCGACTTATCTGGTATAGCTTGTTGTATTGCAATTAAACAATGATTATGCCTATGATAAAAACAGACACGGAGTAATGCTGAAGTAAAGGCTTGTGCGTTATATGATTATTTACTGATATCAATAAAAAAAAATGAGCAAGTAAGAAAACAATTTTAATAATCTCAAGCATAAACACAAAAAACATAGTATCTGCAAGGTGTTTTAGTTTGTGGTGACAACGATACAACTCGATATGATCCAAGTGCTATGACCGGTAGTACGACCTAACAGTCTACGAGTGATACAAGCCTAGGAGACTATGAACATGCGAACCTAATGCGCAGACGAATTAACTCTAACGCAAATCAGAACGTCAACCACCATAACGACAATACCACCGACGCGCGAAGACAAGAAGAGAAGACAGACCGTTGACAGAGAGCTTGATACTGTCTAAACAACAGTCAATATAGTTGACAGCGATGCTATATATATATATATATATATATATATATATATGACCTTGACAAGCATTAAATCAACATATAGGTAAAAATAGTTAACAACCAATGAGAGTTCAGCTAAGTAGGCTATTTTAGAGTAATGGGCTGAACAGCAGGACAAAAACTATGCTAAATTAAGGGTATACAGCATCAAGTTTAAGGCATTACTTCTTTTTTTTCTTTTATAACATTCACTTTGATGATAGTAATTGTTTCCTCAAGTAGCTGGTTTTTCTTCAAGGTAATTTGAACGATCCGACTCTATGCTTTATTACTCCATGTGTGTGAAGCTCTGATTCATTGGTCCAGGCACTTGAATTAAAACAGATAAGTCATGAGTTCGAACGCTACTTCACCTATCCAGGTTTGAGCTGCCAGGCAGTATTAATAGCTTTCACACAATAGGTGCGGTTCAATCTACAACATGAATGCAAACAAGGTTGCTGAGTGAATTCAGTTTTTTTTGACACACTGTATGCCGATTATCGATTAAGCCTCGAGCGGGAAAAAAAGCTGTTCAGTGTTTAACTGCTCACACTTATCAGCTAGCGTTATTTGGAAAGCATGAATGATGTTCATCCATTCAGGTTACCAGGTAGTGGATATTTTATTCCCGTAAGCATAGAAAGTATTTACGGTTATCAGCGTCCGAAACATGAAAAAGTTGCAACTTGCTTATTATAGGAAAAGTAAATTGAACATCTGATTTCGAGTGTACGCACCTAAACACAACAATTACTGAACAGATGAAACAGTGATAAAAATAAAGTTGACTTTAAGTAAGTGCAAACATCCAAAAATAGTCAGTTGAGTCATATTTACTGAGTTTCTTTTATATTTTCAAAAGCGCTTGAATAAATCGTAATGGTAATCAGTTATCCTAAGATTCAATTTATGCTAAGTGGGAATATTCATGCGAGTTAAAGTGGGCAACACAAAGTATGGTATTGCAAATCTATTCGGGATGTCGATATCCCTTATATTCCAGACTTACAGTATTATATATATTTGAACTGTTTATTCGCGCTCTTTTTCTGCGCATGAGTCATATTTCATATGACCCGCTATTGTTCTGATTGGCTCCTGACTCTTTAAATGTACTGATGATTCCTTGTCTTTCAGCGTTATTGTAAGCTCTATATATACGGTCAGTTTTCGCTCATAAACGCTTCAGTCTGAGATACTATAAACTCATCTGATTTCCAGTCTTTTGATTTCTCTTTGCGAATCACTCGGGTTGCATCGTTTCAACCCTCGACTATCAATCGTTAAGTATTTCTGTTTGTTCTAACAACTCCGCATCATAACAAAATCAAGTGGCGAAAAAAACATTCACGCTACTGATGATTTTATTCTATGTCCAAAATAAGCAAAGATCAGTAGTATTATGCCAACTGAAACGCTAGCCTACGACGGATAACTCAATCTGCACAATAAACTATAACGATAGTTTTAGATATGCTTCTTTATTCCGATAGGCGCTTATATTGCTATAATTATATGAAGAGTTTGCTGATTAGTGCGAAAATTCCTAAACTGACTAACTCCTAACCTTTAACTGATCACAGTTTATAGTATTACAACCATAACAAGTACCCTTTCAATCAATATAAGTAAGGGATAATTAGAAATGATGCAAATATTAACAAATAAGGATGACTACTGGCAATACTAAAGTATGAACAAAAGATAATAAATGACAATAATCTTACACATGTTGAGCACGTATCACCTTTGGATCATTTGGATCCCATTCAGAGATAGTGAAATTTTCGATAGGCTGAATTTTATTTTCATCAATTACTTTGATATCACGTAGAACTTCATCATCCATCAATGTATCAGTTGACCAAATGATTAAATCACGACTTGATGTAGGCTTTCGAGCTACTTCATTGTTTAGACGTTTATCTTGACGTACATAATATCCAGGTGGTACCCAATTTTCATGTGGTTCAAATTTTCCACCAACCATTCGACTATGTAAATCTTTAGCTTTGCCTAAACGATACAAATTTGAATTACAAACCTACAACAGAAGTAGAGGTAATTAAATAGTTAGGCTGTGTTCAGGAAATAGCAATGAAAGAGAATTATAGATAAAAATGAATACGTACACTCAGATGACTAATTAAGCTTAGGTGTTTCATCACTATCCCAACTTTTAACCAGGGAATCACAAGTTCAAATTCAGTTAGATCTTCGAATGTTTAACATGAATATCAACATCGTTAGGTATGATTCATATTCCCATATTTTCAAACTTATAAGATCAAAAATCATCCAAAACCTAACTGGAGTTATGATGATTAGATATAAGAAAAGTGGTGAGATCATCAGATCATCAACCTTTCTCAGATTCTGGAACACAGGAATATTTACGATCAGCTCACAGTAATCATACTCGTTACTCCGAAGATGTAATTGATTCCATCAAATGATAGTGCTTTGACAATATCTCAATGTAAAATGGGCTTCAGAAAGCATCAGCGTTAAGCGATCATGAAGATAATTCTGTCTAACTTCGAATATCCCTACCTTACGATTCTTTAATCAACCTAGAGTCCCTGAGACAACTGAAAAATTTCATGATTTTCACACCTATTCGAACTAAAATGCTGCTTCAGGTTGGTTTACACTTTTGCCTAATTGTTGTGTTAAATTGTCCGTCACAGGAAAAATCTTGGCAACAATACAAAATCCTTATCTGATACTAACAGGTAGCGGCAAAAAGGCAGCCAATAGAGAAATTGTTTTCAGATCATGATTTATGCATCTACTGATATGATAACGTGGCTGGACAATTCGACCTCATCCAAGAAATCTGATTGGTTTATTTATGGTTTAATTTTCCGAGGGTCTTATGAATATATATACCATGTATTTGTCTAATAAAGCTGTCGTTGCTCGTGCAGTCACAGGCCGTCCTTTGATTTTCGTGGCTTAGTGAAGCAGAAGGTACTGAGGGAGGTCAGTCGTAACAGTATTTGGTTGAGGTGTCTACTGAGTTTCAGTTCATTATACTCACGCCCATAATTCTACTTGGTCACAACAGATACTCTCTAAGTCAACAATGGTTTTATTAAGATATCTTTATCCGACCTTAGACTTGATAGAGATATGATCGATTACGACGGAAGGTATATGAAGGTGTCAAGCGTTCGACCATAATTTCCTGCGAAAACTCTCATCATTGCAGTTTGTTGAAGGTACTACACTATTGCAGATTATTGAACATGTAAATACATGCAGTGTTTATTAATTATAAGTCATAAGTGTCAATTTCATGATGTAAGCATCTAATTCGGTCACCTAGTCTAGTGTATAAGTTATATGGATATTACTGTAACAGGATTTTGCGTCAACGAAGTCATGAACACTTACCATCACACATACCAGTACATATAGTATCCGGGATAAAAGACCTAACCTTTTAATAGAGAATATAAAAGGCATTGTCAATCAGTTCTTTCATTCAGTGGAAATTAAAAATTCATATAGATCCATGATTCCGCATTATTATTAGTATGATTATTTGTCCGTTGGGTTCCTAGTCGAACATAGGGCTTCAGTGGCACGTCGCCGCTTCACTCTACTCTCTGAAGTCTTTTCAACCTGGCTCTACGACTGCCCATGAGCTTTCATTTCTTCCTCACACCATCTCCTCCATGTCACTCTCGACTCAGATGCCCAACTCGTCGTTTCCCTTTGCATTCCACTCGAGGGCCTGGCCTGGCATGTGATGCCCTCGAATGGTCTCCTCAGTGTATGCCCAATCCGGCTCCATTTTCTCCTGCATATTTGTTGGACGATAGGTTGTTGGTTGGTTCGCTGCCAGTCAGCCAGACAGAGTTCCTTGTTGCTAATTCCTATTATTTTGGCCATCTGATCTTAAGTAGCGAGCGTACGCAGCTGTTGATGTACGTCTGCAGTTTGTTGCAAATGCTTTCTGTAACGTGCCAAGTTTCTGAACCATACAGAAGCACTGACTCGACTGACTAAATTAGTGTTGTGCCGAGTGCAGTAGGTCTCCGCGCTGGTTTCAGGTTAATGAAGGCCTGTCTTGCTGTCTTTCTGACCATGACTTTAACGTCCTCATTTGTGCCTGTGCCGCCTGTAGTTTAAAAGATGCTGCCTAGGTAGGTAGGTACGTAGGTGAAAGAGACAACTTCTTTCGACTACTCCTGTTAGTGGTGATTGGTGCTTGTTTTTCATGTTGTTGTTAGTTGGGTATCTTCATCACCTCTATCTTCTCTACGTTCACTTGAAGGAAGTCTCGTATTCCTTCACTGCCCTACTGTTCTGTCAACTTGTTGGTTTTCGCCTGTAGATCTTCGAGTTTGTGCGATATTAGACATTAAGACGTAAATCATCATCATCGGCGAAATTCAGGTCATCTTCTAGAGTCTTTTCATCGGTCAAACAGCGTATACCACTCTTCTCACAGTTTGTGGCATGATCCAGTCGACCACAATCAGGAAGATTATCGGTGATAGTAGGCGGCAACCTTGTCTTACTCCTGTTTCACTTCAAAGGCGTCACTGAGCTTTCCACTGTGTTGTGAATCACTTGGCATGTAGTATCATTTAGCATACAGCTGCTGAATGAGGTTGATAAATGATTCCGTGTAATGATAAAATACCGTTTTGTATTATCGTGTTGGTAAACTGGGGAAAAAGAATTATATAAACTAATATATTTAGCAAGAAGTGTAACATACTTCCCTATTACATTATTTCATACAGCACATAATGATAGAGTATTATTTATCGCTCGAAATGTCATCCAGTAAACAATACTGCATTATCATGGGCTATATCAAATAAACAAACTATCATGCAGTTGCCCAAGTTTTACTATTATACTAATAACACCGTACATACACGCACACACATGGGAATCTTCATGAAAAGAGAGGATACTTACAATTCGGCTACGTAAATGACTCAGTTTACCTTCATGTGCAGTAGGATAAGTAAGATATAGGTAAACTGTGACGACGAATTTTAAAAAACTATCACCAATTGTTTCCATACGTTCTAGATTAATAAAATCATTTGAACATGACATTGTCAGTGCTTGGAGAACAGTAGCAGGTCCAGGCCGAAAAGCACGTTTATAAAAGTGAATTGATGAGTCTCCTGAGGTCTGTTAAATAACAAATAATAAAGTTTAGAATAAATGAGATACTCGGTCAAGCAAAAAACGTGTATACAGCAAAATAATGAGGCACTGTTATAGATTCTTGCAAAACCGAACGCTCTATGCAACGTGGATTAAGACATCGAAACGGTATGAAGTTTCAACCCACAGTGTCTCTAACACCTACTCTTAACCACTAGGCTTCTACATTCAGGTATACAAAGAATGTGAAGTAAGTGTTAAGAGATAAAATTCTAAAGTGATAATACTACCACAGATGTATTGAATATCATCCCAACTCTGAACACTTTATTATTCGCCAATATTCACTTTTTCCTCTTACATCCTTCATCATATTAGTCTGTTTATTAGAAATGTCACACAGTGAAGCAACAGTATCATTTATGGATTACGTTTCGGACACAATTTATTGTCCATATTCATAAATTATGTCAAAAATGTTAACCAGTAAATAATACTGTTTCTTCACTGTGTAACATCTCTAGCAAACAGACTAATATGGAATTACAATCAATCACAGTGCCCAAGTTTTACTTCTTCTCATCATAAATTTGATATTTTCCTACTTTCCTTGATTTGTTTTTTGTGCTGTTGAGAAGTGTGGTAACCTAGATTGCTACACTGTTATCTGAAAGGTTCTAACCTTGATTAGATTGTGAAATAACGAATCTATTACAGTCTGACAATAAGGTGCAGAGTGGTCAACCATAACAAGTACATCTAATAGGAACGACTTCCAAATACAATGGTGGTTACCAATCAGAATGAAGTGAACTGCGATGATTAATAGAAACAGTCAAGTTATTCTGTCTCTCTCTCTCTCTCTCTCTCTGATTTCAATAGTGAACGATGTGGATCCAAACTTCAAGAGAAATTGAGCCTCCTTCAAGGCCAGAGGTATACAAACAGTTGGGAAATAGAAGTAGAGCACGTTTGCTTGATGACTGACCCTTAACTTCTAAAGCCAATTTATCTACACGCATTATCAATTCCCACTAATGGCGATATACAATGATAACTGCGTGTGGACAACATCAGGTTGAACACCTGAATTATAAAAATTGATCATGACTGGACATTTCATCGGTCGACTTGTCATTTTATAATAGGAATCTTTCGACTTTATCTATTTATAACAGATACATTTACTGTTAGGTGGATGGAAATGTTGCACTGCCAAAAATGAATTCGATCAGTACAACAAAAAAAAAGATCATTCCACGTTTCATCTAAGTACGCAGTCATGTGCATAGATCAGTTTTTTAACAAACAACGACTATACATATAGTTCCACTGGATCGCGAAGTGACGCGGACTAGTATTTCATAAGAACTATGAACATTTTCGAATTGCATCTTTACGAGTGACAATTAATATAAGTCAAGGGTCAAGTAGTAGGTAACGCACTGACTATGATTAAAGTCCAAAACGATATCACAAATAAGTCGGCCAGGTACTGTATATAAAAACAGATTTGCACAAATAAATGTGAGATTTTAGATAAACGACACTAGTGCAGTTCATTTGAACTGAGTAATACAAGAAAACCGTTTAGATAAAAGAAATATATTTTCAAACAACACTCACTGGCTTTTTTGAAACATTTATCTCACATAAATTATCGACAGCATCATCATCATCATCATCTTCAGGTGGGAAGAAACGCACATTCCCTTCGAAACTGTCAACACTTTCTGTATCAGACCCAGTCTCTAGGTATTCTTTATCGATATTCACATAATTTTCAACAACTCTGAAAAAGGAAGAATAGTTTTTTTGGGGGGAGGGGAGGAGAATGGAATTACTGTGTCCAAGCCTACTTTCTACGTATAAAGTAGTTAGTTCATTTTTGTGAATGAAGGTACGTAGTGTGCACAGAATTTAGATGTATAAATGTTTAGTTCAGGTAACAAAGATGAGAAAGATAATATAAGCAGATTGGTAGGGGAGAAGAACAAATTATGTGAATTGTCTATGGGTGACTTGGGTATAAAAGACGTTGCAATTACATAGTCAACATTATGGGCGAATTACGAAACCACAGGATCAAACATTAACAGTCAGGAGTTGTGACACTGATGGACAATATACTATGAGTCAACCACTTACTATGTAGCGGTTTCTAAGAGTACTCAAACACTTAAACCCTAACAGATGAATTAAACTTCGAATTCATGACTTACTGCTTGAAAGTTCAGTGTTTACACTTCTAAGTCATAACTTGACAACCTTGTCAAACAGAAACACTTTATTCCTTCAGACGGTCATACATAGGTCTTAACTGCTGCGTGTCTAGTAGGTGACCACATTGCTTGACTGTTCAAACCACTGTGTATCTTTTTTGGATATCTTCAGTGTCAGTCGCAAAAAGATTGAGTTTACAACAGATGACAAAGTGGAAATTATACAAGCCATCTTGATTTACAAAAAAAAAAAGAATGACAAGAAGAATGGTAAAAATGGAGGAACCATTCAACGTGCAACCATCTGAATGCATCTGACGTTAGACATTATTGGTTTCTCTCTTATACGACCTACAAGAGGTGTGATCAGAACTCTATCAAAGAATATAGAAACTTTACTCTGAATACATATGACATGGTAAATGAGATACTTCAAGTTGGTATTCATCGTAGACTGACATCAGTTGGAGGAACAATGGAAACTTAGGAGCACTGAACGGCTGTTTCGTACTAGTATGGGACTCCTCAGCAGTGCGCACCCACGACCTCACCTTCCAGGGATGGAAATTGCGACCTTCAGGTTCCGTGGCCAGCACGTTACCATTGAGTCGGAATACAATGGTCGGTATTTCCACATTCTGTCAGTTCATGAAATAGCGCGACCGCCACCCAATGTCATCGTTGAGTATTTGTTATCATTCCCAGCAGGTTTGCCCCACTAATCACGACTTCTCAGTGCAACGTCGGGAATCAGCAACTTGAAATATTTCTACATCCCCATAAACCCCCGAATTCAATTAAACTAGTGCTCATCGGTGACTAGCTTGTAGAGGTGATTCGCGAAGTTCCAGTTAGAAGTCGTGACCAGTGGGGCAAACCTAGTGGCTGTGAGAACAAATACTCAACGATGACATTGGTTAGCGGTCACGCTATGTCATGAACTGACCCAGTAGCTCAATGGTAACGTACTGACCACGGAACCTGAAGGTCACGGGTTCAATCCCTGGAAGGTGACGTCATGAATGTGCACTGCCCAGGAGTCCCATACTAAGACGAAACAGCTGTTCCAGTGCTCCCAGGTTTCCATTGTCCCTCTAACTGATGTCAGTCTACGATGAATACCAACTTGAAATGTGGATACGGAGTGGTTAAACAGTATCTGTGCAGTAGTGGATATCCATTGAAGTTTATTCTGAAATACAACAAATGTTGAAACAAAGAAGAGTAATACAAAACAACCAATCCAATCAAAACATGTCAATTTCTTCATTCGTATTAACTCAGTATTAGGCGCAATCCAATTCAATTACGAGGTAGAAAGTGAACAAGGACAATTACCTGTGTTAGATCACAGGATAAAACGAAGGACAGATGGTGGTTTGGATAATACTGTCTACAGGAAACGGATACATTCTTACAGGTATCTAGACTTCAAGTTATCTCATTGAGTCCCAGTTAAGGCAGGTTTAGTCAAATGTCTAAATGACAGAGCTAGAAAACTGAATAGTCAGTGCAAGTACCTAAAAGAATATAAAAGAAGCACTAACAGTTTGTAATTATCCTCTACAGTTTATTAAAAAATTCGTACAAACACATTAGAAACGAAATAATAACGATAACACGAGTACGAGTAATAAAGACAAGTAGAAAACAGTTCACAGCTTTCATTGTATTACCCCATAAGGAAGGTACATCAGAAAGTTTACGTGGATCCTCAACAAACCTGGAATTAGAGTGGCATTTAAACTTGCAAACTCACTCAGAGATAAGATAAACTTTGTTAGCTGAAGGATCCGATAGAACCAATGTAGCAAAATAATCTAATCCATCAAATCTCATGTAATAACTGCAAGGTCAAGTACATAGATCAAACTAGCTGGTCGGGGTCAGTTGAATTAGTGGAACATAAGAATTTAGCTAAATATAGAATGATAGAGACCAATACGATCAATAATCTAGAAAAGCACTCAGCTATTGCAATGTATGCATCAATACACAAACACACAGTAGGGGTGGTGGATAAAACCACTGTACTTAAGTTCAATATAATTAGGTGGAGAAAGGGAGAGATTGATTACTGAATCATTTTTCATCGAATCAACGCCACGCAACACACGTAATAAGAATGATGCAACACCTATAACAAAGATATAGAAAATCCTGCTACCAATAGAAACCAAGAATATCAGGTGATAGGATTGTAAAATTCAGATATGGAAAGGAGTGTGATCACACTGACATGATTATGGGAAATGTTAATTTATGCTTGAAACATGGTCATCAAGTAAATAATACTGTATCACTGTACGCTATATATCAAATAAACAAGTCTAATATGGAACTAATCACTTTTTTCACAATTCATCATCAAATTATTCAACTAACTCAGATGATTTTCATAGGAATGAGTAAATAAATCGACTGGATTTCATTTCATCCATAGTTCTAATCTTTTTGGGGGCACTGGATGGCTGTTTCGTACTAGTATGGGACTCCTCAGCAGTGCGCACCCACGACCTCACCTTCCAGGGATTGAACCCGTGACCTTTAGGTTCCGTGGCCAGCACGTTAACATTGTGTTACTGAATCGGAATCCAATGTTCCATATTTCCGACTTCTGTCAGTTCATGACATAGCGTGACCGCCACCCAATGTCATCGTTGAGTATCTGTTATCACTCCCAGCAGGTTTGCTCTACTGGTCACGACTTCCCATTGTTTATTTATTATCCTTGAAGTGAATTTCTACTTCATGCACAATATCAAAGTGTTACTCAAGCGAAGAAGAAAGGTTAAGATTTTTATGTCTACACTTCATACTAGTCGGGTGCATATGTTGTTTTAAATTACAAACTAACAGTAATATTGTAGAAAACGATAAGACTGAGACACAGGAAGGAATGTTTATTATTGACATCTTGTATAGTAGTCATCAAATATTGTACATCTTGCCCTAAGATAGTCCTTTACATAATGTGCTTCATTTCTTATTCTGCTTTTATCTTGATTTGCTCTTAATATGCCTATATTGTCTCTTGCGTTTCTCTGGGCAGAACACTTACCCATTGCTGGTAATCCCCTATGATTTCTACCGCTCTTTCAACACATACTACTTATAACCAGTCTGATCAGCGTAGCCCACTACAATATGTCTACACTGTTAACCACTTAAATGTCCGTAAACAAGACTAATAGATCGATATCATGTAGATATAGTCACACTTGGATTCTGTATGCCTTCTTTACAAACAACATACATGCACCTATAAAGGATAATTACCATAGTATTGAAAAAGAACATACATTTTATGGCAATGCGGAACCTAATTCTCATGTCCAAAGTATTGGGAGAACCTACAGAGGTTGAAAACGTCAAGGAGACAAAGTTAGTATTTGCAAGTGAACTGAACCACCGAGAATCTCTAACCACTAATTTCCATAATCCTGAGAACCTTAACTAGACAGCCTACACTTCCCTATGTGACTCCGACAAAAAGAATCAGATATCATTTGTATTAGTGTCATACTTCCCATCCGATGACTTTAAGTTTCCTCACAATTTAGTTGAGATTAAGCATTGAGGTAGGAAAGCGAGATAATTATTAGCTTGTTAGTTGGAATTTTATAGTCAACAATAAACAAGAACAGCGCGAATAGAAGAAGAAGAAAAATGAGTGACATTTCTGAATAAAAAGCAGAGCAATTAACATGCTTTAACTAACCTGAAATCATCTTCCTCATCATTATTTACTTCATTCACATCTGGATAAGATTAAAATAAACAATGTATCATACAATGAAATTGTTTTCAATTAAACACTTTGCAAGAAATAATATAATTTGATCAGTCTATAACAGAGTAGTACCAGATGCAGAACCATCAAGTACACAGTACAGATATTTTGTCTCAGTTTATGAATTCTCCTCATTATAAGAAATCAAAGTCGTACATGGAAAGTAAGCACTGTAGGAAAGTTACAAGTTAGAATGACTTTACCAACTAGCTGATCGTTTCTAGCAATTTAGCTTCAACACAATACACAAAGAACAGCTAATAGTTAACAAAATAACAGATAGTTCGGTGGTAAATGTTGCATTGCAAAAGTAAAAAGAAATCTCCCACCAGCATTTATCAAGGTTTCACACTCCATTTGTTTTTGAAGGCATTTAGATACATGTTCTCGCACCTTCAACTGCATAGTTCGATTACTCCTCTGCATGTATGTGTGACCACATACACATATATACAGATAAACTGGTAGACACGATGGGATGTGACGTAATCATTGATCGAGTGTTTAGGTTTGTAGTGAAGCATGTGTTTTGTTTTCTACACAATCAAAAGACTAGCTGCGTTATATGTTTTGTTGATGGCTGGTGTTAGCCTACATCTCAAAATTATACGATTCAACTTCCCCTCTGTATGACAGACTGATATGGACGCTTTTCTGAGGAACCGTGTAAAGTTGCCTTTGGTACTACCTGATTTCTACAACGGTTTATAAACCTCCGTTTTCCACAAGTGTTTTCGTCATTAATTTGATATCTTCATTCATCGTATCCGCTGTACAGATACTAGAACTCACTTGCATTGGATAGGACGAAATGCGTGAAAATTCAAGTATTGTCCTGTCCATGTAGGCTTTCTATAAACTAACCACATTATTCAACCATTTTCTCGTCCCCTCATATCAAATTACTAACCAAGACATTTACGCAAAACGGATACCTATTGAAGTTTATAAACCATTGTAGAAATCAGAAAGCACCAAAGTCAACTCTATAGAGAGTTCCTAAGAAAAAGCGTCTATATCACTCTATCATAATACAGAGGGGAGTTGAATGGTATAATTTTGAGATGTAAGTTAATTAATACCAGCCATCAAGAGAACATATTACGTAGTTAATCTCTTCATTGTGTAAAAACAAAGCACATATTTTATCAAAAAGCTAAACACTCGAACAATGATTGCATCGCATTTGGGGGGTAAGAACATGTACCGAAATGGCCTCAAAAACAAATGGAGTGTGGAACCTTGATAAACGATGATGGAAGACGACCCTCTTCATCTATAGCTGAACATACTGTAGAAACAGGTCATAAAAAACAAATCATCTTTATTCACAGAGAGAAATGAATTTTTTTCACCTCGTGCAGAATACCTATTGTAAATTAAACTTTCCATAAATAAAGGATAACAAGCGATTTCAAAGACGGTATGAAAATACAATCCTGTTCTACATTATGAAGTACTGGAAAAGTGATTTTCCCTTTTGTTTTATTTCTCGACAGTAAGAACTCATCAATCCTCAATTTGTCAATCCTCGTGATATATTTTCAAGAGATTATTTTCAGCGGTTAACTGTTATGACTACGGTACACTGAATAATATAAGTAAACCTACACTAATAGACCTGATTCTGAAGACATGTAACGTTTTTAAGAGCTACACACAAATGAATCTGAATATAATATGAAGAAAGTTCATTTAGCAATTGTTGGCGCATAAATGGCAATGCATTTTGTTTGCTAGTAACACTGGCATGCACACTATGATTTTCTTTAACTGAAGCAGACAAAACCCTGAAAACAAAAAATTGTGCCTACTTATTACATTTTAAGTAGTAACAACAAAAGTTAAACAAACAGAATGAAAACAACAGTGAGCGCTACTTACCGTTAGAATTTAATTCAATTACTTTTGTCTCTTGTAGTAATGATTCCAAATTGGCATTTAACAAACTAAACTGACTGTATGTTGAAGCAGAAGATATATGAGTTAAGTGATTATTGTTAACCAATGATGCTGATGCAGCATGAAGTTTTAGAACTGCTGGCTTTTCAGACGATGAATCGGCAGAGGCATCATCCTCAACATCACCATCATCATCATTTCCAATGCCATCATCGCTTGAGATATTCAAAACGTCTTGTTTGGACTATTCGTGTACGATGACGTACAATTGGTTTCATTTTCTTTACTGGCCAATAATTCAGTTGTATTCATTGTTTCGGTCAACTTTTCAACGTCTACAAGAAGATTTATGCAATACATAGACAAAATTATCACAAAGATATCGCGTTATCATGGGCAAATGATCCTAACTTATTAAGTTTCCTACAAAATTATCTTGTGAAATTGGATATTCTATTTATCGCCTGTCACAACCGAGCGTAATTCTAGCCCTCAATGAAGTTATTTTCTTACTGATTTTCTATAGCACTTTTCACAAGACGCAAAGCATCTTACGCTCGTATGATTTCGAAATGGTGGAGAATATTTGTACCTCAGGTGGATAATTTGGGTTATGTAGTGTTCTCTGGCTGGGTATTTTAATCGTAAAGTTAGTGCGAACAGTGTTGTCTAGAAAGGCTATGAAAGCTTCACGACTAAACCACACAGCTTAGAGAACATAATACAACCAAGACTTTTTCCCCTGGACGGAATCATAAGTGTATCTTAACACAACAAACCATCCTGCTTCAATAGAAATTGTTCAACTTGGTGTTAACTAGACGGAGTTGAAAAGAAAGCTTGAAAACTCATTTTGATATGTGAGAGTGAATCAATTATTGTGAGCTGACAATACCGTAGTTACTGCTCACCTATGCATTATCATAGAAACGTTCAAAACTGGGAATTTAAATTTTTATTGATAGACACTCGATAGCATAGGGATAAGGGATTGAAACACTATCGACTGCGAGAAGTCTGACAACCTTGGTCTGATGATGAAGGGCTAATGAGTGCACAAACTCACAGTGTCCAGTCATTTTCAGTGATAATTTAACAGATACTAGTATGTGGCGAAAAAGATTTCGAAGTGTTACATTAGCTTTGTTTATACTAATCAACGGTATTTAGCATAATAACGGTGTCACAAAATAATACAACTTGCTAGTATGAAAATACTGATATACCCACCTCACCCACCAAACAACACATTGAATTATTCTACATAATTATGTATTAAGTCTTCTGAAAGAGATGAATATGCTTCAGTTAGAAGATAGTCTGAATAGCTTTCAATCAGTTAAATGAGGAATAGAGGTGGCGGTCTTTAAGTATACTACGAAGAAGGGGAGACTATTCCATTTTATCTCTCCCAACGATGGTCGTTAAAACCTAGGGGTTTTTGGAGTGCAGTTGACCACGGGTTACGGAAGATAAGCTACCAGCATCCTTAACGCTTTATCTTACCTGAAGTAGAATCACACAGGAAAATAGTTGAGCATGCTCATGTCAAAACAATGGTAGAGACTTAAGAAGTTCCTGTCTATTAATCCAACAAATGTAAGCAAATTCGTGTTTCCTGATAGAAGTCTAGAATATAACTGAAATTGATCGTTGGATGCTCTAAGTGACACGACTCCAAATAGATCTCAGAAATTCAGAAACCTTCATGCTTTATATTTACCGTCATTATTCTAACCCATTTAGTTATTTGCTCTAACTTTGCTCCTTTCAGTTTCTTATCTTTGGTCTAGTATCTTCATAAAGGTGATATGAAATGTGGTACTTTGAACGCTACACATAATACTGCCGATCACTTTGTTGACCACATCCGCCTGACAAGTACCACCCTACACTTAAATAAGAATAAAATACAAAAACTACACAATTCCTGCATTCTATTTGACCGGTATTTATCAATGTAATGCTATTACCGTGTACACTGACCCTCAATATGCTGCTACATAGTTTCAAAAATGGATATATCGATGTTTCAAGGGATAGAGGTAATAACTAGTCATCACTGACATTATAACCACAAAATGAACATATCTTTCAATCTTATAGTAACTAGTTTAAATGCCAAGTTACTTACGCTGATAACCAGAATATATGGTAAATGGACACACGTTCAGCTAGTCTAGTATCATTTTCAATTTCAGTATCTCTGAACACACATGTAAACACATATATTATTATCTAGCGAGTGAGAAAGCTCATGGCATGTCAATCAGGTTTCAATAGTAAAAATGATGATAACCATACCTGACTGATCATCCTTGACATTCATAGTCGATTTGATTTTATCACTGCTCGTCGGCCGCTTTTTTTTCATGTTCACATTACGATAGTTCTGTTTTCGACGACCACCACGTCCTCTAACGGCACTACCACCACTACTACTGCCACGACGGTTAGTATTACAATTCATCGAGTTTGTTTTCAATGTTTTTCTCTCATTTTTATGGTTTCCATAGAGGGTGTCATCACCTTCATTAGTCAACTGACCATCCACTATCACAGGCTCTACGACAGGTAATAGGAAGTTTAACGATTCAAACAGAGCACCATCATTATCGTCATCGAAATTCTTTCCAACTGATATCGTAGATACTGTTGCTGATTTTGACAAATTGTGGCGAGAGGAAACTTTGACAAAATCTTCTTTATATAGAGTCTTACACTCTGGTAGGTATGCACAGCCTAGATTTATTTCATACGCAATACGATGACGTAATTCTTCGGCTAATAATAAATGTTCTAACCGGTAGAGGATACTTGGAATACAGACAGCTTTACGCCATACTAAGGGATAAAAAACAAACACAGAGATAAAAAAAGATGGAGATATATGACAAAAAAACACAGAACTATGAAGAATCATATTCATCTCCTTCAGCGTTACTGGTACCTATACAAACATGTGTCTGATTGACAGAATAACTACAGTAAATGTCACCCCCATAAGGTTCAATCAAGTGACATATGCCACGTGAAGACTATCATAGCGAAACACAGAGAAACAAAGAGACATCAAGAAATGACTACCGCTTGTCAGTGACGTCTTTCTTACCCCATATCCAACAAATAAGAATCGAGTACAGTATTAATGATGGATATTGGCTAGCAGTGGAATCCAGGACGAGCGTTTCGTTATACTTAAGGCTCGTCAGCTGGATGTACCTGCCTCCCAGTGAGTGTTGTTCCCACCGGGACTCGAACTCAGGACCAATCGCTTTGAGCGGCAGGGCGTTATTCACTAGACCACCGAGCCACGTTAGCCGCTTCTTGTGTAATTGGTTTAGTTCTAGTCTTGTTGCTTTTATTATCCTGGATTCCATACTATCCATCGTTAATAGTTATAATTAGAACACGGGCAATATCGAGGCATCTGCGCAGGAGCCCATTAGCCAGTAGAGATCGACCAATTCGGTGCAATCAGCGATGGGATAATACAAGCAACAACACTAGAGTAGAGTATTATTAACAAACAAATTGATGATAACTGTGTAATTAAGAATTTTCCAAGTAGGGTCTGTATAGCTGAATTGTGAACGGTGTAGTATTTAATGTTATATAATACATATGTTATAATATGGTAGTTGAATAAATTCAGAAAAAATAACCATTCTTTATAAATATCACATAGGGCAGCTTATCCATTTGTAATTTAAAGATTCCCATAGATTATTCAGAACAAGAATAATTTGGCTGTTCTATTTCACTTATTCTCATGGATTTCTAACTGTAGAGCCTGAAGAAGTCATTGAAAACAATTGTTCGCTAAAATTATTTTTGTTCTGAATTATCCATTTGTCTTGCTGGCAAGTTCAAATGTCGAAGTGGAGATATGGCTTGTGTTTTACAAATCCAACTGGTATATTTACAGTTGATTAGCAATAAGAAGCAAGAACATAACCGTTATATATTCCGAACGGATATAATACGCACGCTTAACTGACAACTAACTTCGTACGCAATAGCCGCCGACCACAACCCGGACGAATACAGAATACTCAAGAAGTTGGATAGGAGAGTTTATTCCTCCGAGAATAATAATTAATTAGCCCAAAACACACGTGAATATGTATACACATGAAATATGACCTTGTTCACGAATTGAGGAGTAACTTTAAAAGCCACCATAGTAACGATAGAAATAACCAATCAGACTTCTTTATTTTATGAAAATCTGACTTTGCAGCCGAAATAATGAAATCTAATTGGTTACTTGGATCATTGCTAGGGTAGGCTTTAAAGTCCCCTTAAATTGCGGCATTAACATAGTAGGAGTAAGGATTAACCAATCAGCGAATTACATTGGAAATGGGGGTGGAAAATGAACTGCTAGTCATACTGTCAAAAAAAGGCGTGAAAGTGACAATATAAAAAAATGTTCAGATCGATAGATATGTTTTATACAAAACTGCAACTTTTTAACAAGAACTAGCTAATTTGTATCATCATCTAAATAGTGAAAAATATGAAGCTTAAATAACCCAGAAAGGCTGAGGGAGAAGATAGACCTTGGTACAGATACAAGATGAAGTGATCAACTACTTTACTGTTTACCAGTAAACAATACTATTCCACTGTGTGATAAATCTAATAAATAAAACACAACGGAACTACATTCTACTATAGTGTTCAAGTTCTACTCTATTATACTAATAGTCCTAGAAGTCCAATATCAAAACTTATAATTATGATATTTTAAGGAAAGAATTGTAATAAAGTCTAGTTAACGGTATATTAGACTAGGTGACCGAAATATGTTCTTAGCTTATGATAATGATAATTTTCACTCATTAAGCTGATGAAACTCAAAGTCAAAGAGAATAACCATCAAAAAGACGAACTGCTAGCTGACTGACTGGATCTACATTATCCAATAATCAGAAATCACTGATGAAATACACGGTCACTTTTAAACAAAATCACTCAAAATTACACATCAAATGACTAAGACCCAATCATAGATAGTAAGTTAATAAGTGAGCGAGGTTGCCGTTCTATGTACTATATGACAAACATATTGACGAACTTACGGAGATAAGGATAACAATTGTTTTATATACCTCAGAGTTTGACACTACATCGTTAACATCTCACATTCTGTTTAATTGATTTCATCAATTGTAGATCATAACCAGAATAACAAACTTTATAAAACAACTTTCGTTATTCCTAGTATCAAAGGATTAGTGAAACGCTTCACAGAATACACCTGATTTTGTAACGCTGTGCAGAGGGAAGACCGATAAAATCTTATTTATTATCTATCCTTTGGATTCATAGTAGAACACAGGAATTCAGTAGCACGTCACCATTTCACTCTACTCCCCACAATCTTATCAACCTCGCTCCACGACTACCCACAAACTCTCATTTATTCCTCACATCATCTCATCCATGTCACCCTCCCCTCGGACGACCAATTCATCATTTCCCCTTTGCATTCCACTCGGGGACCTGGACTGACACGTGATGTCCCCAATCGGCCTTCCAGCGTATGCCCAATCCAATCCAATCCATCTCCACTTTCTTCTTCTGCATATTTGTTGGACGATAGGTTGTTGGTTGGTTCGTTGCCAGTCAGTCAGTCAGCCAGCCAGCCAGAGTTCCTTGTTGCTTATTCTTGTTACTCTCACCATCTGATCTGATATTCAGTATGGAGTGAGCGTAGGCAGCAGCAAATCATGCACGTCTGCAGTTTGTTAGAAATGCATTTTACTAACGCGCCACCAATTCTCTCAACCATCACATACAAGCACTGACTTGACTGACTGAATTAGTGTTGAAAATGCAGTTGTTGTTCACGCTATATGTTTAGTGCAGTGCAGTAGATCTCCACACTGATCTCAGATTGATGTAGGAAGAACTGTCTAACAGTCTTTCTGATGCTGGCTTTGACATCTTCGTCTGTGCCCGTGTCACCCGTAGTTTAGACGATACTGTCTGGGTAGGTAGGTGGAGAGACAACTTCCTGTTGATGGTGATTGGTGCTTGTTGTTGATGTCGGTTGGGCACCTTCATCACCTCTGTCTTCTCCACATCCACTCGAAGGAAGTCACGTCTTCGCGGACTCGCCTCTTCTGTCAACTTGTTGGTTTTCGCCTGTAAACCTTCGAGTTTGTGCGATATTCGACATTAGACATAAACCATCATCAATCATCATCATGATCATCATCATCGTCGACGAAATCCAAATGTTCTAGTGTCTTTTCATCGGTCAAACAGTGTATGCCACTCTTTTCACAGCTCCTCACAGATTGTTGCATGATCTCCAGTCCAATCCAGTCAGTCGACTACAATCAGGAAGATAATCGGTGTTAGTAGGCGACAACCTCGTTTCACTCCTCTCTTCACTTCACAGGCATCACTGGGCTTTCCATTGTATTGTGAATCACTCAGCATGTAGCATCATTTAACATATAGCTACCAATTGAATAAGGTTGATAAAGGTTTGTGGTACTTAAACCGTAGTGTTGAAGCAGCTGTCAAATGACTTCTTGTTCGACGCTATGGAAGGTCTTTTCAAAGTCGATGAAGTTGAGTTGACTGCCATTCTGTGATGTCTTCTACGATGATGTGTAGTGTTGCAATTTGATCCACACATCATTTGTTCTTCCTAAAACCGGCCAGCCTGTTCCGGTCGTAATTTTCAATCCATAGCATTTTTCAGTCTCCCCACGATGACGCGGCTTAGTGTTTTGTTTGGGGCGGACAGGAACATGATTCCGCACCAGTTTTTGAAAAGACTTAAGTCGCCCATCTTTGGGAGTTTGATAAGGTAGCCCTTCTTCCAATCAGCAGATACCTTTCCTTCCTTCTTCCCAAACCTTCTGCAATAGAAGTGATGTGAGCATATCCGCTGTTGTCTCTGCATCTGTTTTTAGTGATTTTGGAGGAATTACATCTGGTCATGCTGCCGTCGCGGATTTCAGCAGCTCTATGGCGTTCAGGACTTCTGCATTTGTCGGAGAGCCTATGTTCACTGATAGTTCTGTGTCTGGGCCGCTGATGGTATTTCTGGACAAGTTGCAGTGGTGGTCGGTTCAAGAGGTTTTTGAAGTGGTTAGCCCATCGTTTCCTTTGTTTCTCCTCTTTGGTGTTAACTGGGTTTGCTTCACTACCTCTCATTGGTTTCATCTGGTTGATCTCTTCCCTCTCAGGTAACCTGGTTATTTGATATAATGTTGTCAGGTCTCTGTCTCTCCTACCTCCAGCCTGTTGTGTTTCACTTGCAAGTGTATTGTAGAAGTGTCTTTTATCCTTACGTGCACTCTTCTTGACTTCTTTGTCCAGTGTAGTGTTTATAGATTGTGTTCAGTTCCTCTTCTCGCTGTTCATCCTTGCACTGCACTGTTTTACCATCTGCTTCACCATCTTTCTCCTCTCCCTCCTCTGTCAGCTTCCATGGTTCCGTGGAGATCCATTCCTTGTCTTCTCTTTTCTTCCTTCCTAATACAGTTATGCAGGTTTCTTTCCACATCTCTTACAAAGAGTCCTAGTGTTCTTCCACGCAGGTTCTTTCAGGGGCGTCGCTCAACGTCTCCCATTTTTTCCTGATTACTGACTGACGTGAAGATGTCCTTCGTAGTTTCGTCCTTCAGTTCAGTTTCTGTTCTGGGTGGTCAACTTCAACTGTGGCCGTCTATCACCAACATCTCTGAAGGCTTTCAACTTTATTTTGAAAGTAGGTTCCCAGCACTAGATGGTGAGTGGTGTGGACCTACATCTGCTCCCCTTCTTCATCTTGTGTCCCGTAGACTGACTGCATCTCCACTTTCTTCACATTGAAATGAAATCGATCTGATTTTTAGTGTAGTGTGTCCTGGTGATCTGGTCAAATCAAATCCATGTTGGTTTGTGAATATCCTTGTGTTTGTAAACACTGCCTCCAATCACCAAAGCGTTGAATGCTCTGAAGTTTGCAACCAATTCTCCATTCTCATTCCTTTCATCGAGTGCCTCTCGACCCATGACAAGTTCTCTTCCTGTGTTGTCTGCTTCCAGTTTGGTATTAAAACACTTCAGCCATTAGAATTTTGGTGTCGCCATCTGGGGTGGGGTCTTATCTTGTACTGATTGCAGTTGTCCGTAGAATTCCTCCTTCTTCTCTTCATCTGCATTATTTGTAGGTGCGTAACACAGCATTGTATGATTGTGACTTTCCTTCCTTCCTTTTGAGTTGAATCTTGCTGTCATGATCCTGTCCTGCAGGAGGAGATTGGTTCCCATTGCCTGAGAGCCTTTGATACTGTTGGGGACATCACGATAGCCACTCCAAAACTCAATGTGCTCGTGGTTGTCGTCTGGATGATAATATCTGAGTAGATTATTGACTCCTCTCCAGTTGATAGTTTGGAGAGTCCACTTCTATCTGCTTATCCCTAGCAGATTCCTAGCACTTCTATGCTATATCTTCTTATCTCTTTTGCAATCTAGGCCACCCTGCTAAGTTCATAGATGGTGTGGACATTCCATGTCCCTATGTTTACTTTTGCTTTCATCGAAAGAAGACACATCGGTCAATTGGTTTCCTGAAGGCTTTCAGTGACTGGCGTCATTTCGTCTTTCCGATTCCAGCGAGGAATAAGTTTGTTTTTATGTTTTGTATTTTCTTTGTGCTTAGAGGTTTCTTTAGAGATTGGATTGCTTTTTACGGGGTAGGGTTGCTAGCCCTATTCCCAACCTTCCCTCTTCATCCGGGCTTAGGACCGGCTAGTAAACTAGGAAACTAGTAAACGTAATCACGTGAAATTGCTTGGGTTGTGACTCTTTGGTTAAGGGAGATGACTTTGAAAACATGGGTCAAGGGTTCCAAACCCGCTTCGTCTATCGAGGTTTGGTCAGCCAGGTGGTATTATTAGATCTCATAGAATAGACGTGACTCACTGCCTGCTGCATGAATGTGTACAATATGTACTGAGTGCATCTCGATTCGATATGAGAAAGTTGTGTTTTCGTTTTTTCGACATGAAACTTGTAACATGAGTTTACTAGCTGGTGATATTATAATCAGTTATTAATTCAATTGGCTTTTGTTCTTCGAACCAAAGTAAAGTAACTACAAAATTCAAAGTTTCATTAGCAAAACTAGTGATGACATCTTGATTTGATATTAAGCAGAAGGGGTAATGTATAAGGTAAAAGAATGTGATCACTTCTACACTACGAATATCGTAAACCATTCAAACATGAAGGATGTGCGGTGTGACGTTTATTTAAGAACAGTAACCAGCTGGTATGATTCTAACAATATTCTGTCTAAGAAATCACGGATTTTAATTCTTGGGTTATCAAAAATGGTATCAAGAAGTGAAACAGAACATCCTGTCATTTCATTTTCATTACATATTTAGTGAACTCTATAAACTCTACTTTGACTATAAGTACCAACAGCGCCACCACATGGTTAGACAGTTTCAGAGTGATTTGAACAATACATTTCGCCTAAATCAATTGTGACTATCATTCTTCGTTTGCATCATCTCAAAAATTGACGAGTGAGTAAAAATGACTGATATGAATGATTCAAACTATTAACAGTTAGCAGTATATATCATTATATGAATTATATAGACTATATTTCTACAAAAAAATCGTGGTATAATGATAGACAGCATTGATTAATGCAAGCTGATGGAACCCATTACTTCTGTTTGCGAACTGTGGTAACCTGAGCAGATATATTTCCCAACAAGAATTGAATTTCACCTATCGGTTTAAGAAGTAATCGTTCATCTGATTGACAATCAAAACATCTAAGTAGCTGATTTAAATGCATCCTCATCATGAAGATCAAAATAGGACCAGGCATTACTACATAACGGTCTAACTTACCATATAAAGTAACAAAGTAGTAAATTGGAAGATGGAGAAGAGAGAAATCGGTCAAAGGAAACAGAAGTAAAAAGATGTAGAAGAGTGGAAGGAAGAATGAGATGATGAGATTAAGTAGAGCGGTTAACATGAGAATAATGTGTATGCATCTTCTCCAATGACAACGGTTGTGATCCATTTCATCTAGAATCTCCAACCATTCACTCGTTTCTCTTGTCTCGCTGACCTGAAAAGGTCAGTCTGCATTGCCGTACATAGCTCAAACGATCAATTAAGGACTTTATGCATCGATGCCATGTTAAGGTCTGGCTGCCCCGAACCTTTATTTCCATCCTGAACCTAATTCACCCAAGATTGCGCGATTCAAATACATTCACATTTTACCCGGATCAGAGATATCCAGTGATCGACTTGTTAATATCCCCCCAATTCAATGAGATTGGGCTTCATTGATGTTAATTAAACTACCGATTACCTATTCAGTGATGAGTATCTATCATAAATCAGTACATTACAATTTCCTTCACATAATGTACGATAAATTTTAAACATTTTGCTTTCTAAACGATACAAAAAACGTTTCTCTGAGATGTGAGATTTTCAAAATAACTGCGTAAACAATCTGTTAAGTTTAAAACAAGCAAGGAATATGAAAAAAGCAGGATTTAATGAATTCATAAATTTCAGTAGTACTTATCAGCTAGATACTCAACATACTTGATTATATATACTGTTAAACAATGGAAAAGAAACACATATACATACATATATGACGTAGACTGAGACAGATTTAGGTGTAACGACATAGAAATGAAAAATTTTTACAGGTCCATTGGTAATGCAAATGGTAGAAATGGATGTTCAAAATTGAATGGGTTGGCGATGGGTTACATGATTAACTATGAGTTTGGATGATAGTGGGTTTCAGGTAGGAAAATAATGATAACAATAATAATGTTGAAACAGAGGTGAGAATTGATTCGACTGAGCGTCGATCACATCATTCAAAACAGGATAGTTAATAGTACATATACAGACCAGGTGTACATTTAGATGATTAGTAATGATAACAATGGTTATAGGCATAAAGTTAATTAGGCGAAACAGATCAGGGAAGGAAGACAAAATATAGGGTAGGTGACAATTAAGAGCGAAGTGTCAACATTATTGTCACTATCTATACTGGGTGATGATTGAAAGTGAGGTGAAAATTTTGACCGCGGCCGGATTTGAACCAGTGAACACAGGGTTTCCGGCCCGGTGTTTTACCAACTGAGCCTTCGGGCCAGAAACCCGATGGTCGCTGGTTTGAATCCAGCCGTGGTTCAGATTTTCATCTCACCTTCAATCATCACCCAGGATAAATACTGATCTGCCAAACTGCGGCTATCCCCGATAGTTAAGTGACAATTCTTCTTCTTCTTATTTTCCTACCTGAAATCCACTATCATAAAAACTCAGTTAACCAAGGTATGTATGTGTGTGTGTGTGTGTATGTATGTATGTATGTATGTATGTATGTATGTATGTATGTATGTATGTATGTATGTATGTATGTATGTATGTATGTATGTATGTATGTATGTATGTATGTATGTATGTATGTATGTATGTATGTATGTATGTATGTATGTATGTATGTATGTATGTATGTATGTATGTATGTATGTATGTATGTATGTATGTATGTATGTATGTATGTATGTATGTATGTATGTATGTATGTATGTATGTATGTATGTATGTATGTATGTATGTATGTATGTATGTATGTATGTATGTATGTATGTATGTATGTATGTATGTATGTATGTATGTATGTATGTATGTATGTATGTATGTATGTATGTATGTATGTATGTATGTATGTATGTATGTATGTATGTATGTATGTATGTATGTATGTATGTATGTATGTATGTATGTATGTATGTATGTATGTATGTATGTATGTATGTATGTATGTATGTATGTATGTATGTATGTATGTATGTATGTATGTATGTATGTATGTATGTATGTATTCTCAACTGTTTAACGGTATATATAATCCAATATGTAGAGTATCCAGCTAATGAGTACTACTGAAATTTATAAATACATTAAATCCTGCTGTTTTTTTTTAATATTCCTTGCTTATTTTAAGTTTAACAGATTGTGAGAAACAAATGTTTTCAATCTGTTAAATGTTTTAAAATGTTAGCCAATATCACAATCAATACATCTACTATCGAGAGAATTGATAAAAAAAAGAACAGAAAACATTGACTGACTATTTTAACTTACCTGAAGCTGGAAATGAATGTCGAAAACAAAGTTCCGGAATCAATAATTGTTTGTGTGTTAAATTATCGCGACAATCATAATGTTGATGGTGGTGTTTACGTATGGAACAATTAGTAGTAGACGTTAGGCCAGAGGAAGAATTACAATCACCATCATTACCACTATTACTAGATGTCAATAAATGAAATCCATGTATATTCATATAACGTGGTATTAACAGATTCAATCGTAATACTGTTAAATTCACATCTAATAATGGTTGATTATGTGTTGTTATTAAAACATTGTATTTATTGATGTAATATGCAGCAAAATTACGATAACTTTCTGATGGAAATGGTGATAATGGATTCATATCGTATCTGTAAAAAAAAAGAGAGGAGACAAAGGTGGTGAAAGAAATTAGAAGAGAATGAATAAGAGAGAATAAAAAGTTATCAACTTCCCTAGTTGACAAAATAAGATCAAGATTAATTACTGTTTTCCTGTGTCTAATCACTAGCGGCTAAATCAACGTTAAACGTGTTACGATTTTTTGAAGGTAATACACAAGTGTATCTTAATCAAACAGATGTAACTTTCAACAGAGGTCTTCACCACAAGCCCCTATCGTATAAAAAAAACTATACTTGAAAGTTGTAAATAGCACACTACTCCACGACCCTTTCATAATAATAGCCCGTACGGCTAGTAAGCCACTAAAAAGTAGTGATGAAATTTCCTAGGCTTTCTATAGAATACATACTGACAATAACCCAATTTGTTACGGTGTTGAAAACGATTTAAAATACACTCAGCAACTATGTACACGTTCGTGCATCAAGCAGTGAGCCTCCATTTGACAGGTCTTCCTGCATCAATCTGAAATCAGTGTGGAGATCTACTGCAATACACTGCACTGCACTGCACTAAACTGCACTCAACATATAGTGTGAACAACATCTGCATTTTCAACACTAATTCAGTCAGTCAAGTCAGTGCTTGTATGTGATGGTTGAGAGAATTGGCGGCGCGTTAGTAAAATGCATCTCTAACAAACTGTAGACGTACATGAATTGCTGCTGCCCACGCTCACTCCATACTGAATATCAGATCAGATGGCGAGAGTAACAAGAATAAGCAACAAGGAACTCTGGCTGGCTGGCTGGCTGACTGACTGACTGGCAACGAACCAACCAACAACCTATCGTCCAACAAATATGCAGAAGAAGAAAGTGGAGATGGATTGGATTGGATTGGGCATACGCTGGAAGGCCGATTGGGGACATCACGTGTCAGGCCAGGCCCTCGAGTGGAATGCAAAGGGGAAATGATGAGTTGGGCGTCCGAGGCGAGGGTGACATGGATGAGATGATGTGAGGAATAAATGAGAGTTTGTGGGTAGTCGTGGAGCGAGGTTGATAAGTTTGTAGGGAGTAGAGTGAAATGGTGACGTGCTACTGAATCCCTATGTTCCACTAGGAACCCAAGAGACAAATGATAATAATAATAGTAATGATAATAATGATAATGATAATAATAATAATAATAATAACAATAGGGATTCTTTCGATTTCATTTTCACCTAATTTTTCCTGTTTTGACAGGCTGACATGGGTTGGACAGCCAAACGCAGAAGTGGTAGGTTCCATATTTCGATTAGGTTGATGTGTTTTGCCACAAAATTTATCTTATGAAAAATGTAATTATAAGGTATTGTTCTTGATGGTGGATAGTGGGCAATCAATGTTATTGTACACAAAAAAACTTGAGAGTTCTGTCTAATCTGTAACTATAAGAAACTGAGATATTTCTAATGACCGTTATTAATAGCAGAATCCCGTGTCTAATGGCACTGAGTGGGTATTTACTTCTCTAAATGTGTTAACTGTTAACAGTCGCACTCTAGATGGCAAGTGAAACAAGGTAACACATACAACTTACCTAATAGCTGCAACATAATAGTACTGTGGTTGATCTAAATTTCGATAACCAGGTGTAACTACAGCATTGATAAAATCTTCTTCACGGAATTCAAATGAACCAGATTTATTGTGAGTTGAGATTCAATATGCTTTGATTTCTGCAAACGATTCATAGTGTTAGCTGTCATGAGTGAAGTAAGATTACCGGTAGCACGACCTCGGTTATGATGATTAAATGGTGATTTGCAGGAGGCAGTTGAACATCCACTACCAACACCAGCTTGTAATTTGATTTGATCAGTTTGTTCTTTCAATTTCTGTGGTGATATTTCAACTAGTCTACGAGGAAGTAAACGACCAACTGATTTTTCACAAAATGATGTTAATACTAAATTGACAAAATCCCAGTCGATTGAACAGGTGTCTAGGAAAGAGAAAAATGAAATTTAAATAACTTGCTAAACAACTTGGTAAGGGATGCATAACGATTTCAGTGGAATGTCTTAGGCGAAGTAATGTGTCGGTGTAGACGATGATCTTTCATAATAGAAAACGAGAAGTTAACATACTACTACCGATCGCCTCCAACTATGTAACGTAAGTTGACGTGCACCGTGATGTTGAGTCTCCTAGCTTGGCGATCACATTACGAAATAATCGATAGAATTCGGTCAGGACTTAGGACTAGACAGCAAGAAGTCAGTAACTTCCTAGCGACTAGTCAACGAAGGCAGTTAAGCAATAATCATATATCCCTTAAGTTAAGGTTAGATAAATGAAGCCAGTGAATAGTGAATTGTAAGCAGGTATTTTGATGTGGTATGGAGTGTGCCACGATATCCGATTATCTATTAAGGGTCGAGTGTACTGTGCTGCAGTCCATTTTGTTCTACTGCATAGCTGTAAAAACATGGGCATTAAAAGAAGAAGATATGAGAAGGCTTCAGGTGTTTGACCACCGTTGCCTTCATATCACAAGGCGTATTTTGTGGTGTCACCATGTGAGTAACGCAGAAGTCAGATGTAGAGTCCTAGACACGAGAGGTAGGACAGTTGATGGGGTTGTGAACCTTCATCAACTGAGATGGCTACGACAAGTGTTATGTATGCCTAGCCACCGTCTGACTCGTCACACAATATTGGCTGAAGTAGATTCAGGTTGGAAAAGGGCTCAGGGTGCTCAGAATAAGACATGACATCAATACATGAAGTCCTTGACTTCGTTTGAACCATATAGAAGGATGCAGACTAGTTGGTTGGGGTCCATAGGACAAAGGAAACCATTGGTTGGAGACTCTAGGTGATATGGGTCAAAACCGATGTCATTGGCGTACATGGATACACACATTATTCTCATCTTAACCGCTATACTTAATTTCATCATCTCATTCTTCTTTCCTCTCTTTTACTTCTTTGCACTTCTATTTCCTCTGATCGATTTTCCTCCTCGTCTTCATCTTCCATTTTATTGCCTTAATGCTATGCTTGATGTGGTGGTGTAACAACTTGGACCATTATGTAGTAATATCTGGTCTTATGTTGATTTTGATGATGATGATGATGTGCTGAGATTTGCATGAGTTTCAAACCAATCTACTCTCTTACTTGCACCTTAAAAAGTCAGGTGGTATCACAGACCCTGATAGCTCGTAGATTAATTTGCGAACCTATGAAGAGGGATTTAATTTCACCACTTTTTCGTATCTTGATAATATTCAGTTAAATGGATAAGATAGAAGGAACGATCCGAAACGATACGAAGAACAACGAAGTAGTGGATAAAGGAAACCCCAATATAACTGAGAAATACTGCACGGATGTTATTACAAAATATGAACAATATTCAGTTAACAGAAGAAAAAATGCAGCGTTGAACCTAACCCAGTGGTCGTACACTAACGCACTCGCCATAACTTCATGGGTGAGCACTGCAGAGTCTGAAATTAAGAAGAATCAACTGTTCATTGCCTCCAGATTTTTCAGTGGTTCTTTATCTGATGTTAATCTATAATGAAAACTACTCTCAAATATTTAATGGTATGGCTTATGGTACTACAGACTAGTTATAAGGACTGAGGCTAGAGTTGAATTTGGCATATGATGCATTAAATTGACAGTCAAATATCTAGACTATTGAATCATAATACCATACAGATGAGTGGTGATAAACTAAGATTACTACAAATGATGCAAACTACTCTCATCACACACAATCTATTTATACACTAAGTAACATACAAGCTCAGGCTGATTTCAGTGGGAAAAAATCATATGCGAATCAAATTGCAGCACTACACATCATCATAGAAGACATCACAAAATGGCAGTCAACTCAACTTCATCGATTTTGAAAAGACCTTCCATAGCGTCGAACAAGAAGTCATTTGACAGCTGCTTCAACACTACGGTTTCAGTACCACAAACCTTTATCAACCTATTCAATAGGTAGCTATATGTTAAATGATGCTACATGCTGAGTGATTCACAACACAATGGAAAGCCCAGTGATGCCTGTGAAGTGAAGAGAGGAGTGAAACGAGGTTGTCGCCTACTATCACCGATCATCTTCCTGATTGTAGTCGACTGACAGGATTGGACTGGAGATCATGCAACAATCTGTGAGGAGCTGTGAAAAGAGTGGCATACACTGTTTGACCGATGAAAAGACACTAGAACATTTGGATTTCGTCGACGATGATGATGATCATGATGATGATTGATGATGGTTTATGTCTAATGTCGAATATCGCACAAACTCGAAGGTTTACAGGCGAAAACCAACAAGTTGACAGAAGGGGCGAGTCCGCGAAGACGTGACTTCCTTCAAGTGGATGTGGAGAAGACAGAGGTGATGAAGGTGTCCAACCACCACCACCACCAACAACAAGCACCATTACCACCAACGGGATAAATCTAAAGGAAGTTGTCTCTTCCACCTACCTGCTCAGACAGTATCGTCTCAACTACGGGCACGGGCGGCGAAGAAGACGTCAAAGCCAGCATCAGAAAGACTGTTAGACAGTTCTTCCTACATCAATCTGAAATCAGTGTGGAGATCTACTGCAATACACTGCACTGCACTGCACTAAACTGCACTCAACATATAGTGTGAACAACATCTGCATTTTCAACACTAATTCAGTCAGTCAAGTCAGTGCTTGTATGTGATGGTTGAGAGAATTGGTGGCGCGTTAGTAAAATGCATCTCTAACAAACTGTAGACGTACATGAATTGCTGCTGCCCACGCTCACTCCATACTGAATATCAGATCAGATGGCGAGAGTAACAAGAATAAGCAACAAGGAACTCTGGCTGGCTGGCTGGCTGACTGACTGACTGGCAACGAACCAACCAACAACCTATCGTCCAACAAATATGCAGAAGAAGAAAGTGGAGATGGATTGGATTGGATTGGGCATACGCTGGAAGGCCGATTGGGGACATCACGTGTCAGGCCAGGCCCTCGAGTGGAATGCAAAGGGGAAATGATGAGTTGGGCGTCCGAGGCGAGGGTGACATGGATGAGATGATGTGAGGAATAAATGAGAGTTTGTGGGTAGTCGTGGAGCGAGGTTGATAAGATTGTAGAGAGTAGCGTGAAATGGTGACGTGCTACTGAATCTCTATGTTCCACTAGGAATCCTAGGGATAAATAAGGAAAAGAATAATAAGTCTTAAAGGTACTTTCAGGATAGTTAAAGGCGTACCACGTCACAAGGATGCTGAGTCACTTCAGTAAATATTTAAGTAAAAGAAATGTGAATTCCGTAGAATAAATGTTAAAGAATCACATTAATGGTAACGAATAAGTACATACCTCGTCTAGCTGGTACTATCAATACCTGTAAATAGGCCTTTGCAAAATTAAACTCAAGAACAGAGTCTTTTTCAAAGCGTAGAACTTCCTAAAAGCGAATTCATGTCAGATAAACGATTAGTTTATATATATATACTAAATAGAGTATATGAGTTAGACCTGTTTAGTATAAGAGGGAATGTGTGTATATATATCAACAAGCAGTAGAAACTGAAATATACTGATTTCGTCTGTTACAATTTGAAATCCGTTTTTCAGCTACCCATAAAATGTTGTTTTATTCCTTTATGAATGAGAATACAGTTATGTTTAATCATTAAACCCTGGGTGATAGATGATGCATTGTTCAAGTCAAAAGTCATCACCAGTCATTTCAAGGAAGCATAATACATACATACACTGTCATAATTGACATGATATCACAGCCCACATGAGTCCATGTCAGATGTATGCAACCGAAGCACTCAGATGTCATTATACTTTAGAAACAATTGTACCTAACAACCAGTAAGTATTTGTAGACTCAAAAGAATCACATTCTCATACAGATCAATATTCGCATGACACAATACTGTAGTCTAAAGCATTATCACTATGTTATTGAGGTTGTGAGTAACATTCCAGTAGAACTGGACAATATACGTCGACTGGTCACTTCACAGTATTCAGTCTTCTGTTATCTAATACTCACTGCACAATGTATTCTGTTCATCATTTCCACCAGAGGATTAAGAAGTTGAGAGATTCATCAACTTGCTGTTTCCTTCATCTCTTATGAATAGTTATCACTACTGGATACATTTATCATAGTTTACATTGTGTCTCAAACCACAAACTTAAGTGGTGCCACCTCATCTCTGTGTAGGACAGCGAATTCATGTAAATTCTGCACACACATCTTCCTGATAATTCCAGTATAGACGCACTACGCGTTCATGTCATGCTACCATTCACCACTACTTATTACCTGCATCAAAAAGAACAGACTATAATACCTAGTCGACTACACTGAACTCATCCACCGCTTGAGGAGTCTAGGGGACGAGATAACTAGCCAGTGCTCCCAGGATTTCATTATTTCTCTATTCAATGTCAGTATGCGAAAAGAACTACTTTGACATCAAATGGTCCTCCTATGTCGCTAATTTAACCTCGTCAATCGAAAATGGGGAAGATCAAAATACAAATACCCAGAAAGGATTTCTAATTCGTACACATCGGAAATAGATAATAGTTTAGTGTGGTTGTTCAAACATGGATACTGACTTGTGTATTTAGCCGTTTCCAAAGTCTACTTATGCATAAGTTTCGCAGTATGATTTATATAAGCATGACGATAAAGTCACTTCTTTCGATTTTGTTTTTCACTTACACTTCTTTTGCATAGTCTTTGTCTCTACCTTGGTGTGCTTCGTTCCCTTTTTTCGTTTCTCACGCACTCCATTTTTTATCAGATTAATCTTTGTACTCTAATATCGTTATTATCACTTTATTATTATACTTAATCAGTTGGGGAACCATTGAAAATCTGGGAGCACTGGACAGCTATTTCGTCCTAGCACGGGACTCCTCAGCAGTACGCACCCACGACTTGACCAGGGATCGAACTCAGTCCATGATGAATACTACTTCGAAATTAAAAATCCCCATTCATCTCAAAAAAACATTTTCAATTTACTCCAATTAGTCCTTTGATTTTGTTTATTAACGTTCTCATCCCTTTTTAATCTAAATGCACCTTATAAACGATTTAAAAATCTTACGTAACCCTTTTTGTTATCATTCGACCTTTACGTCATCAACTAGCAATGTTATAATTATAACCACCATTATTATTGTTGTTTAAATCCCCCATCATTCAGGTTGAATCTTCCTCACGCATTACAGTCTTTAAATATTATATATATATATATATATATATATATATATATATATATATATTCGTTGAAAATAATTCTCTTCGCTGAATATCTTGCTTTTGATATCACAATGGGAATTTTCATATTCCTCTTGATCAACACAAACGCATGTTCTTATTTCAGTAATTCTATGTACATTTTAAACTGTCGACAGCTGAAGAGAAATCTCGAAACTAAATACGTTCAATTTATTCCGTGAATCTAGTTTTCCTTAGTCTGATGAAGAAAACATTCCAAGTCACGTACGCAAGTTAATGAGTTAGTGTTCAAGGATTTGCGAGTCTATATCACTGTGCACAACGTTATATCACATAATTTAGGCATGGAAGTATCACTTATCAGCTGTACAATGCTCAATATTCCCTGAACTGGTGTCAGTTCGTGATAAAAACTAAAGATATCGTTTAACTAATCAAATACTCATTTATTTACAAAGGGATGTACAAGTTTTAAAAAAAAGGTGTTAGTCGCATGAAGTCGAAGTCATAGAAACTAATTAATGATTTTTCTTTTCATTCGCTGCTCGAATGAAAGAATAATCAAATCAACTGTGGTACTAACTACAATTTACAGTTCAAACTCTTTGAAAGGAGGTTATCTGAAAAGGTTCAAATTAAATGTGTTAGGTAGTTGTAGGTAATCGGCTGGAAACCTTGAGCTAGGCTTCGTGCTTGTTGGTACTCATCACCAAGGCGTATATGCAACTTCAAGGGAACTGTTGTCTCCTGTGAAATTCGAACCCGTATCACCTAGTGTTGCTGTCAATGACGTTACCACTGAACTATTTGGCCCGCAAATGACCTCCTATAAGACTGGTCCACATACATAGATTGATCATTGGAGAGCAACGAATCTCATGTTGTTCAGTTCTGAGTGCTGACCGAATTCTGCAAATCATTTTGCAACGTGGTCACCAAGCTAAGAGGTTTACCATCGCGGTGCACGAAATCTAGGTCCAGAGCTTCCTGTTGATTGACTCCAATCCACTAGCATCTATTAAAGTGCATCACGATGCTCAGTTAGCTGCCTAGTCTAGCGGCCACAGTGCAAAGTGATTGAACTCGGTCAGCACTCAGGACTAGATAATATAAGTTTGGTTTGTCTCAAATGATCAATCAGTATATCAAATAATTGTTTGTGCCTTTTGATTCTCTCTGGACATGAATCAGCAAGCATTGAAAATGTGTGATGGGTGTAGAAAAGCAATAAAACCAAGTGGTTGCAAAAAGAATTACAACGGAATCTGTTAGCTAAATTAATAATGAACCATGTTTAGCCAAAACCTTTCTATGCAAAACAACGAATTTTTGAAAAGCAAGCCCTATATTTATTTCATATGATAACCAAGATATTCAGGGACAGTAATCAGATGAAAAAGCTAAAGGAGAGATACACCCAGAACTGATTATATCAGGCAGAAACCACCAAATATCATTAGAATAATTTCTCATAGAAGATATTCTAATAAATAAACTTATATGCATGGAAAACTGATTTAGTGGTGCAAGTAAACAGCTTCAAGGTTCCCCCTTGAATGAAAATTGTTGGAAGGTCCCAGATTTGCATAAAACATTGTTTATTAATTTAAAAATTTTTGAATTATCATTTTCGCGCCATGGCCAGTAGTTCATTCCCCCTTCATTTCCAAGGCAATTCGTTGATTGGTTAGTGGTTGCTTCTAATGTTTCAAAAATTCTGATCAAGGTCATACATCAGGTATATATACAAAAGTATTTTTGGGTTAATTGACTATTTTTTCCTGGAGGAATAAATTCTCCCTTTCAGTTCAGTCTTCTTCCCTATTTCATCGGGGTCGCAGTCAGTGGAACTTGTATACAAAGTTAGCTGTCAGTTAAGAGTACGTATTATATCCTTTCAGAATATATAACATGTATGCAAGATAGATGCAAAAGAAGTAAGAAAGAGATCTTATTTATTTAATAATAATGGCTTTATTCCAAATGATGTATTTGATACCGTATGGGATTCTCAGCATGTAATAAATTAACAGATTTACTCACAAACTAATATTATAGCCTCTGAATGATGCTCATAATAACGGCGTCAATGGGAATAATGTAAAGTAGCTTGGTTTGTGCTAGATTAGCGTCCGGTGTTCAATGGTGATGGTTTCCTCAGTCAGTAGAAGAATGTACTATTCGAGATAAGTATCCAAAGGATAGAAAATATGATGTATTTCTGTGCATTCAAAAGTCCATTTCCTTCTGATATGAAACTTTTCCTTCGTTTTGTTATTTACTTAGGAAAAAATGACTAGTTCAGTACAAACTGAAAGGGAGGAATTTAATATATCTGGTGGGAAATTTAATTGGTAGCCCAAAGCAGGTCACCAAAGCAAGAGATAGAATAAACAGAAAACTGGAACAAAGACTCAACAGTCAGAAATGTCAAATTCTATCACAATGCATAATTTGAAAGTCAATAGAATCAGAAATTTATGTGCATAGACAATTCGAAGGAAGATGTATATGGGTAAGGAAGAAGGCCAGAGTCGAGAGATAAAATATTTACAATTCTTCAGAAGATAAAGACTTGAAGCATTTAAACAACATGATCGTATCCAATGGCTATGTAGTTTTCTGATACAGATCAAACAAGCAATAAGTAACTTTGTGGATGGTTACCGCAGCTTACTATGGCTACTCTCAGGCTTTTTAAGCCTAACTTTGATTCAGTTAAACGATGACATGCGATGCATAATTCAGCATGTACAACATTTTATACAAGACACAGGTCTACAAGTTCAAAGACAATACTACCAAAAAAATGTAATTCAATTACTTTTACCTGAAAAAGAACACGATGAAATTTAATCAGTTGATCAATTTGTTCTTCCGTTAAACTAGGACTTTGAATAGGCAAGTATTGATCACAAGGTTGATATTTTGATTTTGGAGACCATAATTCAATAAAACCTACTTTTTCTTCCCCTGATCTACTGAATATTGGAAATGCAGGTACCTGTAATAGTGAAAGACATGAAAATAAAACTAAAATATCATATTGTATGTCATTCATAGTGTGTTATATTACCCAACAATAAAAATGTCAATGAGTCATGCACTACAGTATTGAAGTACAACAATTAGTCACTTTCTTCTACGGATGTTCAGTTGAGCTGCGTACATTGAATACTATAACCGCCATCTCTACACCTACAAAGACAAGATATGGACAAAGGCATTATCCATGCATTACTGCATTGAACTTACAAGTCAACAAAGGTTAATCAATCCATTCCAGTGGAAAATACGTAAGTGAACAACGCTGTACATGATTGTTGAGTTCAATTTTTCATGGTGCTTCAAATTTGATCTTTATAAAAGCGAAATAAGACCAAACTGAAGAAATTGAATAGATGGTAGTTGAAAACAATGCTTATTCTTGAAGTAGGTTGGCATAAATCGTCTCTCAAAATGCAAATATAGTTTTACGAATGCCCTGGTTGTACGCTACACCAGTTCTCAAATACATTAAAGGTGCATCAAAGTTAAGTTAGTAAGCATAGCAACTAAAGCATCCAAAACCACACTAGCCAATTAACTTTTCATTTTATCGATCAACGCCTACTTATTCAATGTGATATGAGAATTTTGATAGCTCTATAATGTGCTACACCAAAAATAGATGTCATTAATACAAATGTTTTGAAATCCCTTCTATTTTCCAACCCAACTATCTGGTAAAGGCAGTGGTATATAGAGGGCTAGGAGTCACATTTACTGTATATGAAGCTCATGATACGACTTAGTTGCTTAACTCGAAATAGGTAGAATGGGGTTTCAAACCCCAGGTTAAAAAGTATATAGTTCATGCGAAATGATTCTAGCTGTGATGCATTTTGTTCAAATTCATACATTTTAACTTTATATACATGCTAAATATCTCTCTAAACACTTATATCATGATTACCTCACAAAAACATAATCAGTCTTTTCTACAACACTCTTACGAAATAAAACCGAACAAAATCATTATAGAAATGTATAATGTGTACATGTTGCACAATTCCAGCACCGAAAAACTGGACATATTAACTATTGATTCTCTTTGGCCAGAGGGACTGTGGCAGTGCGGGAATTTTTACAAACTAGTAAAATAAAAATAGAAGAGCTTCCTTACGGTTTGTATTAAGATAAAGATTCACTGATTTTATTGTTGAATTTTTACAACTGCAGTAGTCACATACACATTATGTTTCCAGCGTCACCATGGTTACAATAACTCAAGGGACACAGTAAGTTATCCTCACTTAATCGATAAGAACATGAAGAGAGTGAAGATTGAACAAGCCTTTGTTACATAAGAACACGATTTTCTATGGAGATGAATGAAGGTTTAGTGATAAAAAAGAGAAAAAGATGTAGTGATTTCTTATACTATTATGAACAAAGAGTGTGCATCAAACAATCAATGTACTCAATCCAAACGAGTACATGAAATGGTAAATGTAACTAAAGGAGATCAGATGTAAAAGCCTAGCCATTTAGGCATAAGAAATAATAGGTCAGCGGTAAATATTACTCCAAACATCAGCACTAAATATGCTCTTGAAAGGCTCAAAGATTATTGTTTTTAGAATGGCACCTAGTGAATCAAATTTAAAATACAAGTTAATAATAATGATAATAATAATAATTTCTAGTTGTTATTCATCGAAGACTGACATCATTTGGAAGAACAAAGGAAACCTGGGAGCACTGGACAGCTGTTTCGTTTTAGTATGGGACTCCTCAGCACTGCGCACCCACGACCCTTCACTAGCAGGGATCGAACCCGTGACCTTCAGATTCCGCGGCCAGCGCGTTACCATTGAGCCACTGGGTCACAATCCAATGCTCCATATTTCCAACTTCTGTTAGCTCACGATATAGCGCAAACCGCAACCCAATGTCATCGTTGAGTATCTGTCCTCACGGCCATCGGTCACCGGTCACGACTTCTCATTGGAACTTCGGGAATACTTCTCGAAGCTAGTCACCAATGAGCACCAGTTCAATTAAATTTTGAGGGAGTTGTGGAGATTCGGAAATATTTCAAGTTGTTATTCATCGAAGACTGACATCAGTTGGTGTGGGGCCGTGGGTGCGCAGTGCTGAGGAGTCCCATACTAGGACGAAACAGCTGTCCAGTGCTCCCAGGTTTCCTTTGTTCCTCCAACTGATGTCGGTCTTCGATAAATAACAACTTGAAAGATTTCCAAATCTCCACAACTCCCCCAAAATATAATAATAATTATTATTGTTATTCTGAAAGCTATTTCGGGAATACTCTACAGAATTTTCAGCATGTCATATAGCATCAAATAAACAGAAACAGTGTATATGTATACATAGCAAAGTAAAATAAGTAGAAATTATATGAAGAAAATATAAGAATATTCACTCCATCTACAACTTTCTTCAAAATGAACAGTCGATTTAGATAGACAAAGATTAGATTCATAATACGTAAAAAGTAACATGCATATCTTCAGTTAGTTTACTTTCAAAACTGAAGTTGACTCGTCAATTCATTTCTAATACTTTCTCCACCACATAGCAGACGAGACAAATACGGTATCGTAGAGTTTCTATATTTTGTAGCACGTCTACAGACTCTTATATACATATACTTGCTCCTCATCTTTCCAGATGACAAACAAGCAGAGAGCTTTCAGTGAAGAGGATGTTGGTCATCTAATAAAATAACTCCTGCCAGATATTTACATGACTTAATATGCTTGTTCACAACGGTTTGAACTAGAAAATCTAGAGGTACATCACTACTTCTATCGACAATCTTCAAAGTTCTACACAGTATACCATGGTCTTTTTAAACAACCAGCGAGAAAATAAAGAAGAACAATAGACGAGAACAACCAACATGCAGGAGTTTATAAAACACAAGGAGAGGCTCAGTTATGCCAGATACTCTCAACTTCCCAATGCAGAAACTTAGCTGGAAAATTCTCTTGCAAATTGATATGGGAAGACCAGGAAACGTCTGAAGAAAAACACACCAAGACAAATCACACTTGCAATATCCTCTAATGCACACCTATCAACCAAACAAGAATCATGAAAACTAAGCAGTTTACATAGGTTATGCTCACGTCTAAAACTGAAGTTTGAAGAATTAAGCATAAGACTGTTTCTTAGAGGACCATCGTCTAACGATAGATAGGTAACCATTCAGTTGGGAACAATCTGCTGAAGAGGAGATAAGTATGGAAACTACTGGATCATTAGCATATTTTACAAAATGGACATCGGCTACAGATGGTAAGTCATGCAGAAAGAAAGAGAAAAGATACAGGGAAAGGACAGTTCCTTGAAGAACATCAGTCACAGTAAGGCAACTGGTACACGGAGTACAGCTTACGATGAAGCTACAGAATCCATCCACTATATTTCTATATGTATCACGCAGCTAAACAGTGCACTGTTCTCCCTCTTTTGATGTTTTAACTATTATGAATGAAATCGACGCAAAGAGATCTCTTGACTGAAGTGCTTGTAATTTTGTTACGCCTATGACCGTAAAATTAGCTCAGCACCTATGCACACCTAAAAATTTACATTATTGGTTAGCAACCAGAGTTTGAATACAACTCTTTTTCAATCCCACAAGGAGAAACAAGTTTCAACATCAATCACCTAACGCGTATACACACAGGAAGAAAAAAAAATTAGAAATCGGAAAATAGATAATACTGAATATGTATCTTTCGTTAATAAGCTTAACCGAATAATTGACTGATATCATGTCGAACACACTTGGTACACACTTAAATGACATTGTTACTTACATGATGAATTGGTTTAGTAGTTAACAAACCAAAGCTTATAGGTTCATCTTCTGGATAGTGACACGGACGATCGTGTTGATTTTGTTGTTGTCCTGGCAATGGATTAACCAAACGCATATCAATGTAGTAAAGATAATTTGGTGATGGTTCACCGGGTTGAGGTAAACAGTTAGACATTTGCATAGGAAACTGTAATACGCAAAAAAAGAGATATGAAAGTGATACATATAATGATAGGCAAACCAATTTAAGTCTTATATGAAACCAAACAAATGGGATGGGAAAAAAAATGATTGAAATCGTAAATCTTATTTCAAACATTATAAAGCACTCCACAAAATATAACCGTCCACAATAGGTATAAAATCGCCAACATAACTATATTACAGAGAAAACTTTCACCATTTTTACAAGCCCGAATTGTTACCATCATGTTCTGTCTTCAAAGTAGTAATTAAATACTTTCCGGTAATTAATGATTTTCTGATTATCACTGAATTAAAAGATATAAACCATTGGATTCCGGCCTAGTGGCTCAATGGTAGTGTGCTGACCACGGAACCTGCCGCGGTCGTGGGTGCGCACTGCTGATGAGGCCTATACCAAGACGAAACAGCTGCCCATTGCTTCCAGGTTTTCAATGGTTGTTTAACTGATATCAGTTTATGATGAATACCAACCTGATATCACTGAATTGTTTTTGCCTGGTAATTTACTTTATTATCTTTGTAAGATCACGATATCGTGAATCCAAAGTCAACATGATTGAAGAACATTTTTTTACATAAGTTCTCCTTGGGTTCTACAGTCATAAAATAAACAAGTTAACCATAATGAAGGTCGCGTTTGAGGCAAATATGCGGCACCAATATGAAACATAAAGATATCACGAAAAAAGAAATAAACATTAGTAGAAAATCAAACGAAGAGAGGAAGAATGAAATTTAAAAAATAACGAGATTCAGTATGACATTTAAGATGAACTTAATATAAGGATGAATCTACTCGCTGGAACCAAATCCAAGTCATATCATTCTGAATCTCAAATCACCGATTCCGGTTGTCACACTAACCTCAGTCATGAGGTCCACATTTCCCTTACACGTTTCAGATCAGTAGCCAGAGACTTCAGTTTGTTGAAATGTTGAATCGACTGAATGTCCCTGGAAAATATATAATATCTCTTAATGTTACTTCCTTAAAGAGTTATAGAGGTTATCTGACAGCATCGTGATTTACATCCTTCGTCAATATCTCAACTTGAACAAATTTTACTATCGCGTACTAAGAATCCTCAGATTTTATTGTGTGCCACAACTTACAGCATGCATCTCATTTGCTCGAATACTTCCAAGATGCACTAAAGAACATTGATTTCAAAACAGAACATGAACATGATAGTACATTCAATATTCCAGGTATTAGCATTCAATTTAGAACAGATATTCAACTAAAAGATCCATTCGCAGAGACCATCCATCCATCCAAATCAACATAGGACCAGGCATCACTGCGTAATGGTCCGAGTTGCCACACCTCATATCACCATATCACGTAAAAAGGCAGTGAAGTGGAAGATGAGGAAAAGAAAACTAACTTAGAAGGAATATAAAGTACGAAAAGGGAGAAAGGAAGAATGAGAAAATGGTGAAATTCAGTATAGGGTTAAGATGAGGATAATGTGTGAGCATCTGCGCCACTGACATCGGTTCTCAGCCATAACATCTAGAGTTTCCGACCACTGTTCCGCGGACCCCAACAGGCTAGTATGCATCACCCCCACATGACCCAAACCAATAGTCAAAGCCTTTATACATTGATTCCGTGTTATAGTCTGCCCACTTGGGGCCTTTTTCCAGCCTGAACCTACTTCGGCCAATATTGTGTGATAAGGCAGATGGCGACTAGGCATACATAACGCACTGTTTAGAACACTATTCTATAAAGTGGAACGAATATGGTCAACTGGTAACATGGAAGATGAGCTTTAGAAAGTCGAAGGAGAATGTCTATCAACAAATCTGGTAGAACTAAGTGAATATAAGAAATCGAAGAAAGTCATATTCAACAAAAGGTTAGTTTCTTTATTCAGTTCCATATAAAAGGTGAAGAAATTACAGAAACAATGAACAGAAGACTTAAAAACGTAATGGTCATGAAATAACCTGGTGAATCCTAATGTTTCAAACATCAGATAAACATATATATTTGATGAAGTCACATTCTGATTATGACCAATGGATGCAGTTCTATGACAAAACAGCTTGAAATAGCTCAACAGAGATGACTAAAAGTCTCCACTAACTTCTCAGACGACCTAAAGTTTATAGGCTTTATTTGACATCTTTCTCTTCTTCTTTCAGTTAGTGGATTATGATCACTGAAGTGGCCTAGTTAAAACGTCAACTATGATTGAACTGAGTAGTTATAACTTTAGTTTAACTATTAGTAATCAAAAAAAGAGGTTAATTAAATAAACCAAGAACTATAATTGTTGTATAGAATGCTGGTGATAGGCTACAGATTCCGACATCGTTATAAACGAAAATTGACTCACTTGACAGTTGAAAACCGATTATATTATCCAGTGGTACATAATTTCAAACAAACAAAAAAATCCAAATAAAAAGATCTATTTCAACAATAAACAAATCACTTACTTTACGATAGTAATATTGTCTTCGTCTAACAGAATTTTGCATACTTGAATTCATATCTTCATCAGCTGATTCACAATAACTTGATGCTAATTCTCCATAATCTGATTCACCGTCTGCAATAGATTCATTATTTATACTAGATGAAACTGACAGTTGATATTTCATTGGAGAGTGTAAGTTATCATCATGATTAATATTATATTTACGATGATTAGTTAACTCCCATTTTGAATCCATTTCACCTGTTATATACAATAACTGAATAGCATTTAAAGCTGCTGAAAATTTTGCTAACTTTTTGCAAACCATTGCTTCACTCTATACAACAAAAAGAAAAAAAACAAAAACAAGAATACAATAAAATAAAGACGTGATAATTCTGAAGGAATGAAAAAACGTTCTGACAATAACGTTTCCTTAACAGAAAAGAAAAAAAGATGTTCATAAAGCCGGCGTTATTTAATTAATACTAAATGGATAGACAAAAACAACATAATACTTGAATATTGAATGCATAGATATGCTAGGCGACCTGCTTAAACCTTGAGCTACCAAAATATTCCACTGAACATTACCTTCAAATTTGTTTTAATCATTTAAATATGTCCTATGAATGTATCATGTACCATGGCATATTTTTAAAATGCTTTCAACAAGCCGTTTCTCGAGTCAATAAAAGAACAGAGACAAAATATCACATTATATGGAAGTGAACTTTACAGTGATCAGAAGTATATCATATTTCTATCCTTCAGATATGTGGCTTGAGTTCTAAATTCTTGTACTGGCTGAATGAACCTTCATCACTAAACTTACGCTTGCATTTCAATTGATTCTTTATTCTAGACTGGACGCTAATCGAAAACCAGTTGGCTGTTACACATTATTGCCTCGAATGGTATAATTATTAACATTATTCAGATAAAATAATCATTTCGTTTAAAAATACTGTTCTAGGAGTGTGTTTGTTAAAAAATTACATGCTGAAAATTCCATACTGTATCATATATATCGTTTGGAGTAAAGCTGCCATTACTATTACTATTGTTATTGAGTTATCGTATAGTTTGCCCAACATTAAACCAGCATATTCAAATAAGAATTAACAAGAAGGAAGATAAGAAATGAAAATAATATCACTAGCACTGGTAAAATGTCATAGGAAAAAAGCACAAGGAGATAGAGCTAATACAGATGCATGGTGTTAAATAAAGGTAATCATCATGGACTGACATCAGTTGGAGGAACATTGGAAATCTGGGAGCAATGGACATCTGTTTCGTCTTAGTATCGGACTCCCCAGCAGTGTGCACTCATGACCCCGCCCCTCCAGGGTCCAAACCCTGAACCTTCAGGTTGTGTGGCCAAAACGTTACCGTTGAGCCATTGGTAACGTGCTAGCCACGGAACCTGAAGGTCGCGGGTTCGAGCCTTAGCTGGGTCATGGGTGCGCACTGCTGGGGAGTCCCCATACTAGGACGAAACAGATGTCCACTGCTCCCAGATTTCCAATGTTCCTCTAAGTGATGTCAGTCCATGATGAATACCAACTTGAAAAATTACTAAATCCCCCATAAACCACAAATTCAAATAAAGGTACAATGAATATACCATCTACAATCCCGAAGTCAGTGTTCAGTCTCATCACTTAAAGTCCTCAATAAACAACTTTGGTTCCCTTGCTAACCTCGCTCAAAAAATATTTACGCATTTATAGTATGCCTCAGATCAATAATCAGTCAAACTTCATAAATTGAGGTCATATGCTTAGTTTAATCACTTTTAGCTTTTATCCAACTTTGTCTTAGCCCAGTTGAACGAAGAAATTTTGAGTAATATGTGTAAATGTTCCACTTAAATTAATGGATTAAGGCTTACAACCTCATCGAAATCACTGTTAATTAAAAGCATAAAAATATCAAACTGCGTGAAAATTAAAAGGTTTACGCTTCAGTTTGTCGTTTCCCAGAAGTATGAGCTCTTGCCTCTCTCTCTCTCTCTCTCCCATATATATATATATATATATATATATATATATATATATATATATATCCACCAACGAGGTTCGAATCCGATATAAACGATAATAGAAAGTAGATAACTGATGAATATTTATCATCATCCCTAGTGGTAATAAACTTACAATCATAGTAATAATTTAAGATGACATTCCTATTAGAATATAATTCGGTTAGTGATATTATGAATGATGAAAATCAACGATGAAACCATAAAAAGGATAAAAAATATATTTACAGTTAATTGATTAAAATGAAAGTGAAATGAGGTTAGCATATAGGTCCTTGTATTCAGTGTAGTGATAAGTTAGTGACCAACAAACGCCTAGTCTGAATCCTGTCCACCATGACTCAAATTACACATCAGCCTTAATCACTCTTCTGGCAGATAAATCAATATTTTATAGCACTGAAGCGCACTCAGTCATCTTGTACACATTCATGTAGTAGGCAAGGAACTACACCTATTATGTGACGGATAGTGACGCTGTCTAGTTGCCCAAACCTCGATAGGTGGAGCAGGACTCGAACGTATGATTCAAATGGTTGATAATCATCTCCTCTCTAAAAAAAGAGGAACAATGGTCACAATAATACCAAACTTACAACTATTGTTGCTTTTATTGAACTATTGATCGGTAGGCGTAAAACGCATTGATATAAATTATAGGTTCCATTCGGTTGTAAATCTTTCTGTGAACCACATGTTGATCCTGGTCCTATTGATGAAGGCTTAAAGTTTTCAGGTTGAGGAAATATTTTCCAGTACCATTTTGGTGCTAAATTTGTAATATAATCACTGGGTAGACGTGCACAATACTGATTGATCACATTGATTGCTTTGGATAAATAGAACTGGAAGATAAGAGGAAAAAGAAATAATGATGAGGTTTAACTGCCACAAATATTTCAGAATCTTTGCTGCATATATGCAGAGATGACTACAGGTATTCAAAATATACTGGTTAAAAAGTATCATATCCAATGATTTAGAGAGATTTATTAGGAGGCCATTTATAGGCAAGGCATATGAGTAACCACAGAACACAGAGCCACGAAGTTTTTCTGGTAAAATGCGGCAACCAATTCATGCATAGAATTCTACCGCATAAGAAGTTACATTCAGTACAAAACGCTTAATGGTTATACCATAAAGTACGACATAAGTTCGACTATACTTTCAACTATCGAGAATAAGTGCTGACAAACAATAGGAAAGTTTTAAAACATAATCATATATATATATATATATATATATATATATATATATATATATATATATATATATATACGAGTTTGAAGCGAAGGATACTGGATATGAGCCTCTATGGTAACTACACTCATTGGGGGTGGTAATACACCCGGCTGGTGAGTACCAATTAGGACGAAACATGCGTCCTAGATTCCTCTGCTAGTCATCAAGATCAATATATTCATACAAAATAATGGATTAATTGACATAGGAACCAACTAACTTTTGGACCATTTGGACCACGTGGAAGGATTGGTGGAAGAATTTTATCAGCCACTGTAGGTTCAACATCATGTTCATTAGAGAAGACGCCGTAACCTCTACACCGTTGAATGAGAAGTTGTTCGAGCTGTTGAAACCTGTAAAGAAATTGTTGTTTTTTATAATTAAAAATAAAATGCATGCGAATTATTTCGCAACGCAACAGAAAGCAATAAGGATAACAGAGTAACTAGTAAATCAGTTGCTGGCGTCTTTGAGTAACATCTTTTTTCTGCGAGGTAGTCTGTAACCCAGTTGTTAGATGATTGCGTAAACCAACCAGCCACAGCTTGCTATCATCTGATGCTCCAACCGATATCGTCTAAACGAGTGAATTTAAAAGCCACCTTAGCAACTGCTGAAATAACCAATTAGGTTGCGGGTTTTGGGGCGATTTTAAAGGCCGCTCTAGCAACGATCGAAATAGCCAATCAGACTTCTGTAGCATGTAAAAACTTGCCTTTCCAGCCGAAATGAAGAGACCTAATTGGTTATTTCAGTCGTTGCTAGGGTGACCTACATAGTCGCCCGTATCTTGGCGTGAAAACCAGTATTTCGTTTAATAAAGAGATGTAATTAGTTATTCAGCAGTTGCTAGGGTGGTTTTTTAACTCACCCCATCTAAACACTTGGTAAGTGAATATTACTGGCAACCTGGATTAAGATTTTCATTTCACATTTACCTTATGTGACTATACTACTTAGTGGCAATATATTTTTATGCACGATTTCCCTGTAACAATCCACTGCCGTTGTTTGACTAATATGTTGATTTTTAGCTATGTTGAATTGAATATTCTTACTCTAGTTGACAAAATATCAAAACTCACAAGACATCAAGCCACCATTATTCTCATCTTGAGCTACATATCTGTTCCAACATTCACATATACGTTTCTATACAAATATCTTTACAGTAATGTATTTTTGAGATGAATGGGGATTTTGATTTTGAGGTAGTATTCATCACAGACTAAAATCAGTTGGGGAATTGCTGGGAACCTGAATGCACTGGACATCTGTTTCGTTCTGGTACGGGACTCTTCAGTAGTAAGCACCTAAGGTTCGGCCAGGGATCGAGCTCATGACCTTCATGCTTCATGGTGAACGCGTTAACCATTCAGCCACTGAGTCAGAGTTCAGTGGTTCACAGTTTCCAGCTTCTGTCAATTAGCGATATAGCGCAGCTACCATCTAAGGTCGTTAGGCGGCATCCACTTCACTTCCGACTGGTTGACCCAACATGTCACGGCTTCTCATTAGAACTTCGTGATATCCATCCGGAAGCATGTCACTAATGAGCACTATACAGTAATGTATTATGGAGATGAATGGGGGAGGAGTCCAATACTATGACGAAACAGCTGTGCTCCAAGGTTTTCAACGTTTCTCCAATTGATGTCAGTCCGTGATGAATACTACCTCAAAATATCTTTGCAATTAAGTTTATGATTATGAAGAGGATGATACCGTGAAATCGAGTGATTAACCATTCCATTAAATAATGCAGTATTTATTCTTAACTTTTTTTATATGAGTCTCTTAAAGTCCTCACAGGACACTATTACCTGTTTAGGAAATAAAGGGGGAAGTGGTGACGGATGCTCGTTTAAAATATTAGATGATACTGGTAACACACTAAGAATTAATCGAAGTCGGAAGATGTCAACCTAATATATTCTAACCCCATGACCGGATGCTAATATCTTCATTTTGATACGAGAATATCCTAAACAAGATATCGAATCCAAACAGTTAAAGGTTTATATGAATCCTGGCCAAGATTTGATCGGATAGTTTTACAAATATTGAACGCCAAGTGAAAAGTTGACATCAAATACACATTATATTTGTACAGATGTCACAGTGTTTGAAATAAGAAATTCTAACGTTTGGTATGGAAGTTTAGCCCAAGCTTCAAAATCTAAATTTTCATAGATATATGTATACATAACAGGTCAAAAATCGTATAGTTCATCTCATCATCCAATCACGACTGCACACAAATCTTCATTAAAGCTTTCAGTGATTCATTAGCTGGCAACAGCTAATGATAGGAATTATTGTCAAACAAGGCAACTAATCAAGTTATCTACAAAACCGGATTATTTTTTAAAAGACTCCTACTTACTTCCCCAAAAATGGATCATTTGCATGACTACTATACTCTGACCCATAATTGCAATCATCACTTGTATGAACCGTTTTTTCAATTACGCTTTGTTTTTCAGAATCCAATCGATTTTCTTGATCTATTGAATCCATTAAATAAATCACTTTTGCACCATAATCAACTAATCTTGATCTCGCTTTGCTTGATAAGTATTCAGCTAAACTGTTGGGTAAACGTAGTGCAATGACTAAATTACACCTAGGCAATTCAGTACCAGTAGTGGTTACAGCTGATATTGCAGCCTGTGTAGCTACAAGTAAATTAATAGCTCCACGACGAAAATTTGTTATAGTTTCTTCTTGATTCACAGAGAATGGATTACGACTATTGGTTGAAGAATTTTCTGCAAAAATAGCATAGTTAAGTGAAGTCATGCAAATTTTCATTAAGAAGGATTAGACTATCCAATAAATAAAAAAGGCAACAATACAAAAAGTCGGATAACTGATTAAGGATTTACATGAGATATCACTTTGTAACTTTACACAGATGTAAAAACTTGGTCATTCTCTTAGAATCGGATATATGATGAATTATTCTTGATGTTAAACCTAAGTGGTTCTGCTTTAGCCGCGAGAGTATCGTGTATAGCTGAGGAAACCAAGACCACAATTCAACCGCCTAATACCCCCATTTTTATACAACGATTCTGAGAATCATTTCCGTTGACGAATAACAAGTAATCTTAGAACCTATTCATAGATCTTTAAATCTACATAATGGAGTGTATTAAACTTAAGTTTGCTTGAACTACCTATTCAAAATAAAAATGACCTCAATCTTATTCATAAATCTCATCGGACTACTGATGGTGACATCAGGCAGATTATGCCATCTCTTTCTTCCCGAAAAAAACAGGATAAATCCTAAAGAAATGAATGAACTAGATGATATACGGCATCAGAAGTTAAAGACAATCACCAGAGCGCTGGTGAGAATACATGTCGAACTACCAGAGCACGCATGACTGAAAGCTTGATGTAATGATAGCTAGTTATTTCTACTGGGTGATGATTGAAGGTGAAATGAAAATCTGGACCACGATCGGATTCAAACTAGCCACCTCATGGTTATCAACCCGGTGCTTTGCCAATTGAACTATGAGATTCCGATGCTAAACAGATTTTAATTTCACTACAAACACCATGTGAATTCATGACGCGTTACTGTCTCCTGATCGTACTCACATTGGCTGCACAGTCAGGACTTACTTTTCAAAGGTGAATAAGTTTCCAGCACAATATATTTCTCACAATCATATTAGGGTGAAGAAGATTAGTTGTAGTTAGGAATTTATAATAAACAGTAGATTTCCTGTAGCGAAATATTTACGTCTTCAGAAGGCATGCTACTCACCAGTAGAAATAAAAGTGGACAACCACCCGTCATATGCTGCAACTAAATGTATTCAACTGATTACATTCAAAAGCAGGTATATTTGATAGGATAGACAAACGAACCTCAGAAACTTGAGCTTAAGAGGATGAAACAGAGCAATAAGACGACCATACTTCATCTAGTACATACGACATATGCATATCATGGACTTGAGAAGCGCTATGAAAATGCGAAATAAACAACTTAATTCTGCCCAAATTCGATTGGTACAGGTACAATAAGGAAATTGACGTGAAATCAAGCGAAGTTAGGGGCGGATGCATTTTCACAGTGAACTGACATTTAGAAACTGTAGGGAAACCAACTTTTCTTTTTTAATAGTCAATAGTTAGTTAAGATTGGAAAGTTTTATATAAAGATGAATGATATGATAGTGAACAAAAAGATAACGAATAAGATAGAAGGAGTGGCCTTTAGTTTACTGAAGGCCAATGGAGGAGTAACGCTCGCACATATTCTTTCTGATTGCAGAGTTCAAGCTTGATCAATCTTATTGCGACAGCTTCCGCTATGTTGAGGAGGTGTTGACCAACTGCATGTGGTACCGTTTTTGGAATACGATGAATGACATTAAAAGCTTTATTAGCATCTATGTGATGCCCTGTGTCAACTAGGTGCATCAGAACTAAACTTCTCACCACTTTTACTTTGCCCTTTTCGAACCAAGCTGGGAAATGGTCTCATTATCAGGAGATGCACCTGTCTAATCGTACGCCCTATGTAACTAGTTCCATGAGAACAGTTAAATTCATATATGCAAGATGAAGAGCCAAGATTAGGTAGGCTATCCTTTAGTCTTAGATTGAGCATTGGCCGACTACTCAATGATATACAAAGCTGACCTGCATAACGCGTGTTAATGACTGCTCTAGCTAAGCGTTGCGATAGAATGTCACTCGCAACCTCTTCCTTAAATAGTAAGCGTAGAAAAAAAAGGCTTCTTTACCACTGTCATAAGTTCCTGTTTAAGATCAATGTAGTTATAGTTTTGATGAACTTATCCGGATATTCGTTTTCACTTAGCATATCATGGATACACAGCAGTTCTTTTTCCATACACTCCTTGATATTTGACATTCATATTTAAAACAAGATTATTATTATATTATTATTAGTCCCTTGGGTTCCTAGTGGAACATAGGGCTTCAGTAGCACGTCTCCAGTGAACTCTGTTCTCTGAGATCTTTTGTACCTTGTTCCACGACAGCCCAGAAGCTCTCATTTCCTCCTCGCACGACCTCCTCCATGTCACCCTCACCTCGGACGTCCAACTCGTCGCTTCCCATGGGGATTCCACTCGAGCAACTGGCCTGACCCGTGATGTCCCCAGTCGGCCTTCTCAGTGCATGCCCAATCCATCTCCACTTCCTTCCAGTGCATATTTGTTGCGTGATAGGTTCTTGGTTGGTTCGTTCCCAGAGCTCCTTGTTGCTTATTCTTTCTGGCCATCTGATCTTCAGTAGCGAGCGTAAGCAGTTGTTGATGAATGTCAACAAGATAGTGATATGAATTAGGCGGGGGAGAAAAAAATGCTTTTTTTGTCTGTTACAACAATGATGACAACTTTTTGAGTAGTTGAATACAATTTCTGTCTCTCTTCCCTACTGCTCATATGTTACATATCACTTCTTGATTATATCAAGCGGTGAATTATCTTTGGTAATATATTAAAACTATTATTAAACCATTTATGAATAAAATCTGGGAAACTTTCTCAACTTATTTTTCTGTATTTTTATGTTAGAAAAAACATTTCAAATTTTCATTTATTTGTAAAGTTTTTATGAGATGAAAACAGTTCATTATACCCACTTAACTATCTAGTTATTGTTTTGAGTCAGTAGGATAATCTACCATTATTGTGTAAGAAGTAATTCATTCTATCTGTTTGTTGATACCATGGTGACGTGGTTAGCTGATGTCTAAATGGTTGAAAGTTGCCTCCCCTAAACTAACTGGTTACAACTCCACTTACGCAGTAGAAAAAGATCTATCAATGATGAAGAACAGAATAAATGTGATGAGACCATTAGACAGCATCAGTTAACGGGTACAACAACTGATAAAATGAAAAAAAGTTGCAGAAATTTCGAAATCCAATGACATGTGCAACATTAAAAACTTGATATGATTATACTCTTGTGGTATGACAGTGTTATTGCAAAGATCGAAGAAAACAACTAATAACACACTAAAGGGTAAAGTTCTCATGAAGAAATGAAGTGCAGCTCAGCAATTATATTCATTTTTATGCTCCTGGCATAAAAAAACTACACTTATCATTTGAGGACAGATGATACTATTAGGCTCCTCTAACATCGATAAGTATAACAAGACTCAAACATCCAACTCACTCGTTGAAGGTCAACTTGTACAAATCAACAAGCACAAGTGCATTAATTGATGTTGAGTAGCTATGATGAACAGCATCGTTAACAAACAGTTCGTTTACAACAACAGTCATATTTTCTAAGAAGACTGATGTAACTCTATATCAACACTTTAACAGAATTATTATCAAAATATTTATTTCGATGACTGTAACTAGTATTAAAGAACTATAATTCAATTGCAAGGTTTTCCACAATGGACTTCCAGAGAAAAGGTAACGTAGGTAGGTAGGTAGGTAGGTAGGTAGGTAGGTAGGTAGGTAGGTAGGTAGGTAGGTAGGTAGGTAGGTAGGTAGGTAGGTAGGTAGGTAGGTAGGTAGGTAGGTAGGTAGGTAGGTAGGTAGGTAGGTAGGTAGGTAGGTAGGTAGGTAGGTAGGTAGGTAGGTAGGTAGGTAGGTAGGTAGGTAGGTAGGTAGGTAGGTAGGTAGGTAGGTAGGTAGGTAGGTAGGTAGGTAGGTAGGTAGGTAGGTAGGTAGGTAGGTAGGTAGGTAGGTAGGTAGGTAGGTAGGTAGGTAGGTAGGTAGGTAGGTAGGTAGGTAGGTAGGTAGGTAGGTAGGTAGGTAGGTAGGTAGGTAGGTAGGTAGGTAGGTAGGTAGGTAGGTAGGTAGGTAGGTAGGTAGGTAGGTAGGTAGGTAGGTAGGTAAGTAGTGAACTAATGCTGTTTATCCTAAGCTTCTCCAAATTTGTGATCTTGCAGAGAAACGAAATGTACTGAACACCATCCTATAGATTTCTATCGATATAAATCCAACCTGCACAGATATATATTTTCAATGAAATGTTGTTTTTAAAAAAGGAAGGACTATTCAAATGAATCGTTCAAACAACTTGATGTGCGCAAAAAAAGGGTAGATACACAGAGTATTTAATGCTGACAGCTGCGCTTAACACCCAGTAGTGGTTCGAACATCAACAAACAATGAATATGAGAATGAATTAAAGCTAAAGTGGAAAATCTCTTACCATTATTTACGGGTTCATTACCAAATTTGACAGAAGTTTTATATGAATTGAAATTTGATGCATATTGTTTTGCTTTTTTTAATGCTGTTGTTACTGTGATATCATCATTATCGTCTTTTAACAAGGTTTGACGACAAAATAAATGACCAATTTTGATAAAATACAAATCAACATCCCATATGCATAATTCATCAATTAAACGCGATAATGCATACGCTGAGAATTGACATGGAACTAGAATTAAACCACATAGGCGACAAGAAGAAGTACTACCAACAGTGCCTCCTCCTCCTTCATCGTTGCCCCCTTCAATAGGTTCCTTTCCAATAAATTTAGAATTATTTTTACTTTTATGACGATGATCTGTGTCTAAAACAGCACGATAAACCAATGTGGATGGATCGACATCGGGTTTGATACCACCGTTATTCAGTGTAGATGCGGGGACAAAATGAAGATCTTTTAAATTGGGCAGATTCGCTGAACAATTTGATTTATCTTAAGATGACAGAAAGAAAGGAAAGCAAAACGAATTCCAATTAGCAGTCAAGTAACTTGTTAAATGACATTTGATTTACAGGCATTACTTATGACTGTGTGAACATGAAGCATATTATAGTTATCATGAAACAATATTAGATTCACAATGGGGAAGGAATCTAACAGCCAACTGACATTCCTGGTTGTTTTCGTCAGTAGAACCACTACCAGAAACTCACATGTACAGGAAGTCAAAGCACGTTAATCAAATCCACAACCACTGTAGTAGCAACAATCAGACAACGCATATAAACTCTATTCAAAATAGCAAGAACCCACCATCGTACGACAACTTCATGGAGAAATAAAGAAAATTACTTGATATCTATCCTAAACAATTGATTATTCATTAAACTTTATCACCAAATGCCTATCGTGTCCATCATCAACATAGCTATCCACAGAACCTAACAAACCGATAATCCTACCATACATGAACAATATATCACAGAACACAACAAGATTACTGAAACCACTTGGTTGAATTGATGTGGCTCATTAACCAACAAATTACCTACTAACACACTATTATCCAGACCAAAGCACGCAACAACCAAACAAGACAAAACAAATATCATTTACAAAATCAACTACAATCAATGTGACCAACATTACATTGCACAAAGTGGTTGCTCTCTTCGCCTTCGTTTACATGACATTCAATCGCTTGTGGATATCATCGACATCAATTCCATTTCGACAATGTACAAATCTTCGACAGAGGAAATGCAAACAATATCAGAGAATTCCTAGAGGCTTGGCATTCACGTCAGTCACTCAGTCAGTCAGTCAGCAGCCAACACATGTATACACATAGACACAATCTATCAACCAATCAGAAAAATTATCAACAACACGAAGGTCAGAGGTCAACCAGAGGAACAGCTAACACGAAAATCGATACAGTCAATGACACAACAATCAAAATAAACAACCAGTTCATCAGGGCAAGCTACCAAATCACTCATGGAGGAATAATGACATCTCACTTCATACTGAAGTGCTGATGATGTCATGTAGCAAGACGATGAAAGCCCCACGATTAAACAACCCAGTTCAGAGAACACAATACAACCAACATCATCCACCTTAGCTACAAATATTCTCCAGAATATCCCTTTCAGCACTTCTGTGTTACTGCTAGTTGTGTGGGTTCAGTTTTGAAGAAGTTAAGTACATGTTTAGCAAAATATTCATCTCAGAAAAGGATGGCTCCTTCATTAGATTCTTGCACCGTATGAGAATCATTACGTCGTAAAATTGTTTAGTAGTAAAACGCACATGTTGAATTGTATCGTAGTGTATACTATATCGAATGTAAGAGATGAATATTTTACTGAATATGTACTTAATTTCTTCAACAACTGAACCTTGAGATTACCTAAGAAATCCATGGTATCTTAGTGAGCGCACACAACTGGAAGTAACACAAAAATGCTGAGGAATATCACGTTAAGCATTTAGGGAGATTTTCTAGTTGTGAATAGAGGAATCAAAAATAGGAGTGACTACTAAGTTGTATTAAAAACGAACTGGTTAGTAAGAAGCAAGAAGAGTCTTGATACAGTTCAGAGATGAAAAAGAAAAAAACGTATGAGAATAAATGATGAAACTATACATTTATAGTATAATTGTTTTTATATCATACCGTCGTTGATTGGACCGAATTGATCGGTCTCTATTGGCACATGGGATCCTATGCGGATGCCTCGATATTACCTGTGCTCTTATGATAGCAATGATGAATAGTGGCTAGCAGTGGAATCCAGGATGAGCATTTCGTTCTATTCGGGACTCGTCAGCTGGATGTACCTGCTTCCCAGTGAGTGATGTTGTTCCCATCGTGATTCGGACTCGATGGGAACAACATCACTTATCGGGAAGCAGGTACATCCAGCTGACGAGTCCCAAGTAGGACGAAATGACCATCCTGGATTCCACTGCTAGCCACTATCCATCATTACTATACATTAATAAGTTAGAATTTATTCCTAGTCTACTGATCTGCAAAACAAACGTTCATCGATTACTTGTCACTTGATAAACAGTTCCTAGTTTTCAGTTGATTCTTTGATAATTTGTTTTAAAGTGATAAAATAAATATGAGTTATCCAAAGCTGTCAATAAATTATTCATAATATCAAGTGAGTTTACCATTTTTTTAAACCCCAACGATAACAATCACTTCTTCCTAGTTATTAAAAAATGCCACGATCGACCATTAGATATTAGGAATCATTTTCAGAGTTCCTTTTCTATATATCGAAAGGTCATAGCATACAATATCATTCAAATACACGAAGAAAGCCATTTGAGTTAATAAATGAGTGGTATACAGTTTACAGTGGATTGACTGTTTACTTTCGATTATAAAGGCATATAACTGTGGTCATCAACGCATAGAAGGTGATGACAAAAACTCATATAACTGTCTTCCTGAATCTTCTTTGATCATTGACAGATAATTATGCAAGTTCCCAGTTTCTTCTCCACATCTCATGCTAACGACTATATAGTTCAGTTAAATGTACAGTCACGGGATTTAGTTATTTCATCTGGTTAATATTTACTATTTACTACCTACTTGCTTGAATGATAATAATTGACTACAATCGCTTAATTATTCTTTAGGAAGATTAAAAAAAATGAAATATGATCACGAAGACCCGTAGAAGAGATGAGAGACTTCTGTGCTAGCCAACACAAACAGTGAGACATAATTACAACACTGGTCATCATCAGTCGAAGAACTATATCTTCTACAATGTCATTCAAGAACAAAATTTCGACTATGAGTTATTACGAATAGGTCAAGTAACCGAAGTCATAGGGATTAACGCAAAAAAATCGAACCTATATGTTCAAAAGAAATATGTACAACCGCTTTGTTTATCTTGGCCCACAACAGGGTCGACAAATCCTTTATGAACTTTCCTACCACAAATTGCACATTTCAGACTCCCATCCGTTTCTTCTATATTATCAGTACTTTCATGAACATTCATTTTCTTACGTTATTAGTTTTACAACCTTCTTTATTCATACCACAACCTGTAGTCATTTTCAGCCGTGACGTAACACTTATTCTTTATTTCGTTACAGTATTCACATGATTTTCATCCACTTGAATATAACTCATCACTAAACAATTATTTAACCAGTGTGAATACGATCAAGCGGTAGTAACGCGCCATGAATTCACATGGTAGTCGGGAAAAACCCATAGTGATTGAAGTGAAATAAAATTCTGGTCAGCAGTCGGAACTCGTAGCTCAGTTGGTAGAGCACTGGGCCGGTAACCCGATGGTCGCTGGTTCGATTCCGGCCGCGGTTCAGATTTCCATCTCATCTTCAACCATCACCCAGCACAAATACTAGTCTACGAAACTACGGCTATTCCAGATAGTCAAATCATGATTACTTAACCCTTAAGTAAACAGACAGACACACATTTATGACCCCCAGTAAATGCATATAAATGAATCATTATCTGTGGATTTTGTTTCCTCATTTCGTAATTATTTTGTCAATATTGATTTCATTGCATAACTAACACACTAGACTGATAACCATCCCATTATTCCATTCGATTTGACCTCTATTCACTCATAACACTGACTCTTTCAATACAGTAAAAAATTGTACATCATGCCTTATATCGGCTATTGTATTTCACCTATTCTCATGAATTTATAACTGTAGAGCCTATAATACAAGAAGTTATTGAAAACAATTGTTCGCTCAAATTATTCTTGTTCCGAACTGTATTCTTTTATCATACAAACTTTCAATATCTTTCAATGGTTAACAGAAATCATAATTTCCTACAATTCCTTGCATTAATAAACTTGAGTACAGTGAGAACAACAGTCTTAGAACAGTAGAATATCGTCTATCTTTCTACGACTACTGTTATTATTTGCATTATCCTTTCCCTTATAAAACTTCACTTTGATGGATTGATTAGAATCATAGCAACTTGGACAGTTATACAATAGTACCAGATATTGAGGCATTTCTTTATTTGGATGCTATACAGAAAGTATCATACAATGTTCAATTATATAAGTGTAAAACTTGGACACTAGTAGAATTTAATTCGATATTAGATTTGTTTATTTAATTTATAACACACACAATGATACAGTATTTATTTATTGTTCATAATCATATCAATGTAATCACACCTCTTTCTATATCTGATTTTTATAGTTCTATTGAAGAGACAGCCCACTACACTATCACCTCTTATTCTTTGTTCTTATTGGTAGTAAAATTTTCCTTATCTCTGGTATAGGTGTTGCTTGATTCGATGAACAAAGACTCAGTAATCAATCTCTCCCTCTCTCCACCTAACTATATTGAACTTGAATACAGTGGTTTTATCCATCATACTACTGTGTGTTGATGCATACATTGCAATTACTATTATTATTATTTTCCCCTTGGGTTCCTAGTGGAACATAGGATTTCAGTAGCACGTCATCATTTCACTCTCTTCTTTGCAGTCTTTTGAAAATGGCTCCACGACTGTCCACAATCTCTCATTTCTTCCTCAGAACATCTCCTCCATGTCACCCTCCCCTCAGACGCCCAACTAGTCGTTTTCCATTTGGATCCCACTGGAGGATCTGACCTGGCGCGTGATGTCCCCAAACGGCCTTCTCGGTGTTTGTTCAATCCAATCCATCTCCATATTTGTTGGGCGATGGGTTGTTGGTTGGTTCGTTGCCAGTCAGCCAGCCAGAGATCCTTGTTGCTTATTCTTATTATTCTGGCCATCTGATCTGATATTCAGTATGGAGTGAGCGTAGGCAGCAGTTGTTGATATGTCTGCAGTTTTTTGGAAATGCTTTTCGTGACTCCCTAAGTCTCTCAACCATCACATGGAAGCACTGACTTGACTGACTGAATTGGTGTTGAAAATCCGGACCTTGTTTCTTGCGCTGAGTGCAGTAGATCGCCACACTGGTTTCAGATTAATGAAGGCCTGTCTTGCTTTTCCGACCCTGGTTTTGACATCCTCATCTGTGCCCGTGCCGCCCGTAGTTGAAACGATGCTGCCTACGTAGGTAGAAGAGACAACTTCCTTTAACTTTCTCCCGTTAATGGTGATTGCAGCTTGTTGTTGATGCTGTTATTGGTTGGGTATCTTCATCACCTCCGTCTTCTCTACGTTCACTTGAAGTCCCGTCTTCGCTTCCCTGCCTCTTCTGTCAACTTGTTAGTTTTCGCCTGCAGATCTTCGAGTTCGTGCGGAGTTAAACACAAATCATCGGCGAAATCCATATCTTCTAGGCTCTTTTCACCGGTTCAGCATACGCCAAGCCATACATTGCAATAGCAGAGTGCTTTTCTAGATTATTGATCTTACTGGGGTCTATCATTCTACATTCGGCTAAATTACTATGTTCCGCTATTCTAATTGACCCTGACCGGCTAGTTTGACCAATGTCCTTGAACTCGCAGTCATTACATGTAATTTGATAAATGAGATTATTTTGCCTAATTGGTTCTATCGGATCCTTAAGCCAGCTGATAAAGCTCATCTCTAAGTGAGTTTGTAGGTTTAAATGCCACTTTAATCCCAGCTTTATTGAGGATCGCACGTAAAGTTTCTGATGTTCATTCCTTATAAGGTAATACAATGGAGGTTGTGAATTCCTTTCTACCAGTGTTACTGTTATTGTTTCGCTAATTGTATGTTCGTACAAATTTCTTAATAAACGTCATTAAGTAAATAATATTGTATCACTGTGTGTTATAAATCAAATAAACAAATCTTCTAATGGAGGGTTCAATCAATGGGACTTATGTAATCCAACTTTACTAGGTAAAAAAAAAACATACTTTTACGTTTACGACCTTTAGATGAAAGCCGAGATCTGTTGAAACGAAAAAAATAAAGGATGAAAATATATGGCGACAAAATGTTGGGAATTATGTATTACAATCAAACTGTAACTATTTTTTTACAACTTGCCTGCATTGAAATTCAGAGACAGAAAGACTAGTAAAACATCATTTCTTGATGGGTACTAATTTTCATCGCCATCCTCTTTCTCTTAATATTTCATAGCTAAAAAACCACGGTTCGCAACACCTATTCAACATAACAACTGGTGTATGTAGTCTGCCAATGTAAGCAGTTTATGCATAGTGCATTGAAAAGATTTACACATTTTAATCATCTGTCTACTGCCTATTTAAGATCATAATTGTGCAAGACATCTAGATTCTAAATAGTTTACATAAGTGTTTAAATATGCTTGGTACGATTCAGTAGGCCATTCTGTTGTTCGTTAGGCAAAGACCATTGTGAGTTTATGTGCTTAAAACTCAAGATATATATATATATATATATATATATATATATATATATATATATATATAATATTATATAATTATCACTTACTTTGCGGAACTGAAACTACGAACACTTCGAATATCATTATCATCATCATCATCATCATCTGACAGACTACTCATAGTATCCGACATACTATCCGATAAGGAATCCATATCACATGAGATGATACCCATTGATGATATTGAGGAATGTGATGTTTTCGATGCTTGACTACGATTACGACGTCGACGTCCTCCGCCTTTTCCTCCATTACTGCATGTACGATGATTTTTATTAATCGATGTATTCGTTATTATCGATGATAATGATGAATTTTTAGCAGTAGGCAATTCAGCTACCTCAATACGAAAATTCATATTTGGCTTGTACAATTTCAATTGTTCAATAAGATGTAATACTTTGGGTGATACCATACTTTGAAATTCTTTCAAGGTTAAAATCCTGTAAATCAAACAAATACAAATGACTAGAAATTTTATGGAAGCTATATGCTTATACGTACTGGAAATAGCGAGTCAACATAATAGAATTCCACTGGATTTTATGTATCTGACATTAGTTTAGGCATAGTAACAATATAGGTTTCATGCTGTACAGATGGGGGATGAGAGGAAACTTTAAACTGGATCTTCATACGTTTCAGGAGATATTCTTTGTGTGTAGACATAATTGTTCCGATTGGGTTCACAATAATCAGAATTCTATATCTAAGACTTACAGTTACCTTTTAACGGCTGGCTAGAAACTGAAATTACAATTATCACGCTCTGTAGAGAGTATGCTAGTCTAATATACAAACCCTTACGAAGTTACTGAAATCCACTTATTCCTTTAGCATTTTAAATTTGTTCAGAATTTGATGATGACCAACATATTCCTTAAACGTCGGCTTAAAAAAAAATATCCGTCTTAAATAACAATCAAGTCTCCTCAAGATAGGAAAGGTATCATTAATTCAAACATTTTTTCTTTCCTTCTCAATAGAAATATATGAGTTTACAAAAATAAGAAAAAAGAATAACTTACGAATCGAATTCCATTTGAAATAGACGACTAAGAAAACACATTTGTGTTACAGTATGACGTAACAGATAAGAAATACGATTTTCAACATCATTTATCTTTGGTATAGTCAGTGAATAATCCTTATTCTTGTCTTCGTCTTTACTTAGTGATGATGCAGCAGAAGGGATGAAGAACTTGACTTTTCTTTATTATTATTATTATTATTATTATTATTATTATTATTATTATTATTATCATTATTCATACTTGATTTACAACTTTTGAAAAGTTCAGTACGTTGTCGATCCAATGCAATCAAGTGTTTAGCAAATACACGGACTATTTGTGCAGCACACCAAAGGCCTAATTCACTTAAAATCTCTTCACATTGGTTGATAGCACGTTTACAATAGTCGAGTACGCAGATACGAAACCCTCCAGCATTGGTAACCATACATGTAGAATTATCCATTGATGATGATGATGAGGAGGATAATGACGAATGTTTTGCAAGCGGTAGACTTGATTCAATATTGTAGATAAATTCTTTAATTTCTTGAAAAATTCCCATCATAAACTTATGGAATGGTACTGTACAATTGGATGATGATTTTGGACAAAAAATAACCTGCTCTTTTGGTCTTGCACCCAATGCGAGCATTGTCAATAATTCTGAAGCGGTTTCAAGACGACAGTTGGTTCTTCTTTCAAGTATTTCTAAACGTGACTGTGCCTATGGAAATGAAAACAAGTAGGGTGATATTATTCACATATTACACTATTTTACTTAATCAATCATCGTAGAATCGGGTGATTATTGCATTAATGGGGAAAACCTCTAAGTGGTGTTCAGAAATGACTTTGCAAGCAGCATCATAGCATGACATTTCACAAAAGACTTAAATATAGCATACTTCAGAGTGTGAAGCATATAAATATCCACCATGATTCCGACTAACTTATGTACATTTTACTGCGTCAGTTGGGCCTATCCAGTCAGCTAATTCATGGTTATATTGTATCTCTGAGCTGGATTGCTTAATCGTGGGGCTTTCATCGTCTTGCTACATGACATCATCAGCACTTCAGTATGAAGTGAGATGTCATTATTCCTCCATGAGTGATTTGGTAGCTTGCCCTGATGAACTGGTTTGTGACTGGTTGTTTACTTTGATTGTTGTGTCATTGACTGTATCGATTTTCGTGTTAGCTGTTCCTCTGGTTGACTTCTGACCTTCATGTTGTTGATCATTTTTCTGATTGGTTGATAGATTGTGTCTATGTGTATACATGTGTTGACTGCTGACTGACTGACTGACTGACTGACGTGAATGCCAAGCCTCTAGGAATTCTCTGATATTGTTTGTATTTCCTCTGTCAAAGATTTGGACGTTGTCAAAATTGAATTCATATACAGAAAGCCAACATACACTGATCAAATCCCCAACTGCAATAGCAACAGCCCAACAGCGTACAAAATTAGTTGCGTATAGAATCTATTCAAAATAGCAAGAACCCACCATCGTACGACAACTTCATGGAGAAATAAAGAAAATTACTTGATATCTATCCTAAACAATTGATTATTCATTAAACTTTATCACCAAATGCCTATCGTGTCCATCATCAACATAGCTATCCACAGAACCTAACAAACCGATAATCCTACCATACATGAACAATATATCACAGAACACAACAAGATTACTGAAACCACTTGGTTGAATTGATGTGGCTCATTAACCAACAAATTACCTACTAACACACTATTATCCAGACCAAAGCACGCAACAACCAAACAAGACAAAACAAATATCATTTACAAAATCAACTACAATCAATGTGACCAACATTACATTGCACAAAGTGGTTGCTCTCTTCGCCTTCGTTTACATGACATTCAATCGCTTGTGGATATCATCGACATCAATTCCATTTCGACAATGTACAAATCTTCGACAGAGGAAATGCAAACAATATCAGAGAATTCCTAGAGGCTTGGCATTCACGTCAGTCACTCAGTCAGTCAGTCAGCAGCCAACACATGTATACACATAGACACAATCTATCAACCAATCAGAAAAATGATCAACAACATGAAGGTCAGAAGTCAACCAGAGGAACAGCTAACACGAAAATCGATACAGTCAATGACACAACAATCAAAGTAAACAACCAGTCACAAACCAGTTCATCAGGGCAAGCTACCAAATCACTCATGGAGGAATAATGACATCTCACTTCATACTGAAGTGCTGATGATGTCATGTAGCAAGACGATGAAAGCCCCACGATTAAACAACCCAGTTCAGAGAACACAATACAACCAACATCATCCACCTTAGCTACAAATATTCTCCACCAGTTCACAGATTAATTCAATCCCATTATCTTTTGAGCACCATAACTGAGTATAAAATAGATGAGAACAATAAAGAATTTTATGCTTGAACATTGGCTAAATCCTGACCATTGATATTCATCATGGACTGAAATCAGGTGGGAGCACTCAGCAGTGTGCACTCATGACCGTGAGCCAGGAGTTGGACCCAGGATCTTCAAGGTGCTACGAGTTAAAATAAGGTGTAATTCATTACAACTAGTTTTATCAGTCAGTAATCTTCGTATCTGCGACTAACTTCTACAATCATACTATTTAACTTTTTGGTAATTAGCCTTTTTATTTACATTTTAGTTAGTGAATAATATCTACTTAAATTTTCTTGTTAGGTTAGTATTCTTCACCAACTTGATCACTAGATACAACGTTCCAATTTTCTTGTTACTATTGTATTTCAAGCTAGTAGATACACAACGTAATGTTCTGCTTAACAAAATTTCCGGCTCCATGGCACACACTCAACTTTATGTAATTGATATGAGGTAACCAGATAGCGTTATCACAGAATATGTACGTGATTTATTACCTAGTAAGTGTTTACCAAGAAAGACCATTCATTTGTTTTACACGAGTATGTACGTGTGCATTTATTATTCGATAACTTGATTTCTTTAATTACTGGCCTAAAGAGTGATTTGGAAGTTTGCCGGTACTGGACTTTCAACCATTCAGTTACAAACCGCTTTTTGAGTTCTACAGCTCAACATGGTACATGTTTATGGGCTAAACCATGAATAACAATAATGTAGCTACTCAGTTACCAGGGATAAAGTAAATTGAATGGTTTTCGAACTCGGGAACAATTGGTTGAAAGCTGCTCACACAAGTCAATGAATCATATTTTCAGGTAGCTAATATCATTAGCAGTCAGAAAACAAAAACTTCTAGCTTATAGAAATATACCAGAGTCTGAATGTAGATGGTGAGTAACTGATTTGAAAGAGAAACATCCTTCCCTTCTGTTTGTATTCTTTCCACACCATAAAGATAGCAAAATAAAAAGCTTGTCGCATACAAAATAATATGAGAAATTATATATGCTTGAAAAAATGAATATTTTTAGGATAGAGTGTGGATATTGAAGTATTCTTTCAAATTCCTTTCTGTTAACTGTGCATCAGACACCTACATGGGATGATAAACATTGCCTATCTCAATGTGTATTTAGTTATTATGAGGTAAAACGTCAACTGATCAGGTTCAATATACGCTCATACACTCACCAACTGACGAGTTAAATTTGGCTCAAGAAAAATAGCACGTTAAAAAATATCCACGCGCAACCAGTTAATTTACTTCCTTGTGGAGTGCTGATGCACTAATGACAATATCTAACGTGATATTGAAACGCTAGCCGCTCGAAACTGCAACTCAGTGTGGATACCCTACACACTATCCTACAAATATTCTCCTTCAATTTTGAGGTTTGTGGGGATTAGTGTATTGATTCCAATAACTTTGTCATATAATTTTATATGAGACAAGCTCCTTATTTTTCCGTTTCTGTGGTGTGGAGAGGAAGGGAAGTGCAGTGAAGGCGGGAGTAAGACAAGGTTGCCGTCTACTATCACCGATCATCTTCCTGATTGTGGTAGACTGGATCATGCCACAAACTGTGAAGAGCGAGATGAGCATACGCTTTATGAACGACGAAAAACCCTTAGAAGATTTGGATTTCGCCGATGATGATAATGATGATTTGTGTCCAATGTCGAATATCGCACAAACTCAGAGATCTACAAGCAAAAACCAACAAGTTGACAGAAGAGGCGAGTCAGCGAAGACGTGACTTCCTTCAAGTGAATGTGGAGAAGATAGAGGTGATGAAGGTACCCAACCAACAACAACAACAAGCACCAATCACCATCAACAGGAAGTTGTCTCTTCCACCTACCTGCCCAGATAGTATCGTCTCAACTACGGGTGGCACGGGCGGCGACGAAGACGTCAAAGCCAGAATCGGAAAAACTGTTAGACAGGTCTTCCTGCATCAATCTGAAACCAGTGTGGAGATCTACTGCAATACACCGCACTGCACTGCACTCAGCATATAGCGTGAACAACATCCGCATTTTCGACACTAATTCAGTCAGTCAAATCAGTGCTTCCATGTGATGGTTGAGAGACTTAGGTAGTTACGAAGAGCATTTCCAAAAAACTGCAGACATATCAACAGCTGCTGCCTACGCTCACTCCATACTGAATATCAGATCAGATGGCCAGAATAATAAGAATAAGCAACAAGGATCTCTGGCTGGCTGGTAACGAACCAACCAACAACCCATCCCCCAACAAATATGGAGAAGAAAGTGGAGATGGATTGGATTGCACAAACACCGAGAAGGCCGATTGAGGACATCACGCGTCAGGCCAGACCCTCGAGTGAAATCCAAAGGGGAAACAACGAGTTGGGCGTCTGAGGGGAAGGTGACATGGAGGAGATGTTGTGAGGAAGAAATGAAAGCTTATGGGCAGTCATGGAGTCAGGTTAAGAAGACTGCAGAGAGTAGAGTGAAATGGTGACGTGCTACTGAAGCCCTATGTTTCACTAGGAACCCAAAAGACAAATTAAAAATAATAATAATGTTCGTCTTTCAACTCATAAAGTTATTTTTGAGTAAAACTTTGATTCTGACACATCCTCAATTCAAGTTTCAACCAGAAATCGATGATAGCATGGTGGTATTGGCATGTAAGATATTGAAATTGAATGATGCGATTGAGTGAAGCAGTATGCTCATATCTAGTGCGTGAACTTTTCAATGCAATTTTGACCTTAATATCATCTCACTATGTAACAAAATACAGACCACCCCCATATTGTACTTGATTAGTTGGATATACCTGATGTATGTGTACAGCAAATATGTGTGATACAGACTAACAGAAGTCCATGTTTGCATCCAACGTAAAGTGGTGAACCAATAAAACTAACGAAAAGTTCAGTCTCTGAATAGTTATATCTATGCTGATGGGGATGTTATGTGTGAAATTCCGCAGTATCATAAAGGATATAGTGGAATACGCTCAGTTGTGGGCAATTCTACCCTACACTTCAATGATATGGTCTTGTCAGTTGAAGATATATATATATATATATGTCCCAAATAAATTGTTCATGCCCTATGATATAAAGAGTTTTAATAACATGAAATTCTGAAGTTGTGAGTGAAAATTTTCATAAAGTTAGCACTTGTGGTTGCATCATCAGTGTTGGTGATGTTAGCTCCTTAAAAAATTAATCCTTACCTGGTGGAAATTAGGATTTTTTTTCTGTTTCGCGTGTATTGCTTTGTTTTGACCCTGTTCTAATGAGGCTGTTTTCCCATTGGCTTTTCTTCAGCTTTTAATATGCTAATTTGCACCATACATAAACTCACGAGCTGTACCCCTATTTTAATACTCTTGAGATTGAAGTAAACTTCTTCAGTTCATTGTTGTCTTCTTTCTTGTATTAACCAAGCGAATAGTACAGTATCATATTTCGTTCCACCGGTATCCAGATTAAGCGTCTATAATCTACTATATTCATAAATCTCATGAGTCACTCCCGATCCTTAATCCTGGTTTGAATCGGATGAGGTATACACCACAATCAAAACAAGTCACACCCAAGTTGTGGTTTATATGTCTCGCATTTAAGTTTTCTTAATGTGACTGTTTTCCCATTCTTCATCATTCTACTTTTCTTGGTTTCTCTCTCCATCTTCATAGTGTTATTATTTTATTTTGTGGTTCACTTTTTGGTGCTTATGTTATGGAGCTACGAGCTCAGTAGTTTAAGGAGATGACTGCCAACCAGTGGGTCACGGGTTCGAACCCTGCTTTACTTACCAGGGTTCGAGCAGTCAGGTAGTATCACTAGTCCATTGCCTACTGCAAGGATGTGGACAAGGTGGCTGAGTACATTTCGTCTCGTTTTCGTCCACTTATGTTGTTTTATGGGTTTGTGTTGAAATAAAGAAAATCCAACTTATTCCGAATAGAATCTGTAAGGAAATTTAAAATGAGTAGTAACAGAACAATCTTTTATGACTGCATCACAGTCAATAATGTATGAATATGATTTTCCCGCACCTGACAGCAAATTCAGCCGTGTCAGTTTTCTAGCGTTCACTTTAGTGATGGAACTATAGTTCTTGACCAAGAAAAGTCGAACCTACCTAGTCACCATCTGGAAACCATCCTAACTAACCACCAGGAACGGAGTACAGATTTATACATTAAACCAAGAGTCACAAAAATTCCGTAAAGGTTAACAATGCTGGTCTAGTGAGTGATTAGAAATGCAACCTACTGGTCATAATCCAACTGTATAATCCGATGATTTATAAACTCATCAATTCATCTAGAAAATGTAGTTTCATGTAATTGCAACAGACATGAAAAGCAAATCGACTCAAATTACATATAATGACACTCATCAATAAGACTATCAACAATTACCTTTTTTGGATCTGTTATATCTCGAGGCAATAGTGCAGATGTGAAACATAAAATCCTAACCTTTGCTACTGTTGGTATATCGTAGTTATAGATATCTTGCATCCGTCCGACTTCTTCTTCTTCTGTTACTACTGTACGAATGACTGGACCATTTGGTCCAAATAAGATTGATAGTGGATGATTGGAATCTAAAACCATGTGACATTCATCTACCACTAGTAGATAAGCACACTGGAAAAAAAATTATAAAAGATTTCATTTAGAATTATACCGCAATATAATAATCGTTTTTTAACAGCACTATATACAAAAAGAAAGCTTCAAGTATAACCTTGTAATATAAGCAAATATGTTTCAACAACTTAATATGGTTTAGTCATATACGTGGTAAGAGCTTATATCATTAGTATAAACAGGTATCACATCAGTACAAAGAAGTAGAAGTTAGTAACTAATCATAATATTGTACACGAGTCAGTGAATTGCATCTATTGTGTACACGTTGATATTACACGTTAACTCCTACACATCTACACTGAGTTCACGCCCATCATGGAATGGTTAATATTCAAGTATCTGAGTCACAACTCCTTCATCAGTACGATAATAAAAAGTATGGAGTGAAGAATTAAATGAATACAACCCGAAGCTACTTTGATAATATAATGGTACCAAAAAGCTGATTTTTAGATTTTGTGAAGAAAAACAATAAAATGCTTAGATCGTTTAATTTTGTAAATATCAATTCTTAGATGCAACGAAACAGCTATCACTATGTAAATCATGAACAAAAGACCATCGATATTCATTTGAATCAAGTAGGAACAGTAAGACCCTTTATTTAGTAAAGATATTGATACTTACTGAATGCTTGCCTGAATTCCAGGCTATTATTTGAGTCACGTTTTAAAAACATAAATTTGGCTAGATGTCTGATGGTGGCTAGCTGGGAAATTCAGGATGCGCATTTCGTCCTATTTGGGAATCGTCAGCTGAGTGTACCTGCATCGCAGTGAGCGGTGTTGTTCCCGCTGAGACTCGAACCCAGTACTCATCGCTGTAAACATCAGAGGTCAAGCAATTCGACCCAGTATAACAATAGATTACGAGTATCAAACAAAAAGTAAACTTGACTACCTACCTAAAATGTTTTGTTTATCATAAGTGCTTGTCAGAACTATAAGCAATGAAATGTGTGATTGAACTGTGAAGAAAAGGACATCGGATTTACGTCAGTGTTTATAGTATATATCTAATAGGAACTAGTTTAATATACCACAGATATCCATCCATCCAAATTAACGAAGGACAAGGCATTACTGCGTAAAGGTCCCACTTGCCACACCTCATATCAGTACATCAAGCAAAAAGGCAGTGAACTGCGAAATGAAGATAAGAAAATTCAGTCAAACGAAATATAAAGTATGAAAAGAGAGAAAGGAAGAATGAGAAGATTGTGAGATTCGGTATAGCGTCGTTAAGATGCGGATAATGTGTGTATACATCTGCGCCACTCACATCGGATCTCACCCATGTGATCATCTAGAGTCACCAACCACTGGTTTTTCTTGTCCCACGGACCCCAACCGGCTAGTATACATCGCCTCACATGGCTCAAACCAAAAGTCGAAGACTTCATACATTGGTGACATGTTTTGGTCTGGCCACCTCGGATCTTTTTCCAGCCTGAACGTACTTCGGCCAACATTCTGTGGTGAGGCAATCGGCGACTAGGTATACGTAACACGTGTCCCAGCCAGCCATCTCAAACGATGAAAGTTCACAACCGTGTTAACTGATTTACCTCTTCTCCCTAAAACTCTACACCTGACTTCTGTGTTACTCACGTGGTGACGCCAACACCATAGATATTTGGGACTCACGGCACGACACATGAGTATCGAAAAGTGAAAATCACTGTGTAATAATAATAATAATAATAACGAATCCAATGGAACGCATTCATCAACCTTGTGCATGTTCGTGCAGCAGGCAATGAGTCATAGCTACTGTGTGAGGTTCAGTGATACTACTTGGCCGCCAAAACCTCAACTTCACTAATCGCTTTCAAATAATTTTATATCCAGGAAGAAATGCGACAGTGTCAATACGGTTTATCAGCTCAATGAGATAAATCAAGTTGAAAAATGAAAGTAGTTTGTAAATAGACATTTTCTTTCAATTATTTTAGAGAATATTCACTCAAATAGATAAAAAGCGATTTCCTCAGATACAGAGGATTACAGAGATGGTAGAAAATACTTGTAGCTGAGCATATAAATGTTCAGAATTAGTTGTTCTCTTTAAATTTTCGGCTGACAAACATTCCAACATTTTGCTAAACAGTTATAATCTCTAATGAACAATCAAGTTTCTTCACTTCTTTGTAAAGTTTGATTGGTAGTGTTTTCTAGTATGGCGTTGGAGTGTTTGCTATCCAAAAGCTCTGGTATAGAAAAAAAGCTCAACCAGCAAAGATGAAAACAATCTGTCAGTTAGTTCACTGTAGCTGGACACAACTTTCGTTAATTTATGCACCATTTTGCCGAAAACGAATAATTCTTGAAATCGCAAATTACAAATGAAGATAAACAAAAACATGAGGAAAAGCTAAACTGTTTGAATACACTTTTTAAGAACAACACTTGACCCTCCCCCCTTTGTGAACAACGTCAAAAACGAGTGTTCAAGGCAAATATTGAATGTCCTAACAGTTATGGTGAATTATTTGTATTTCTGGTGCATCAGGCAACTACAAAGCTTACCTGATGTATAAACTTCACAAAAAAATTGATCGACGATAACATGACAATGACTGGAATCAACCAAGGAGATAATAGAATCACATCGTATTCTCGTAAATCAGTTAACCAGTTCATGAAATCTATTCGAATATGTTCTTCATCAGATTTAAAGTAACAACAAGATAATCCGGTATGATGGGTGACAAAATTATCAATTGAACTCATTTTGGCATCTAAGTGAAGAAAATTAAACGCATGCTTAAATACAAACTAACCCTCAGTGAAGTAAATCACTTGTTTACCCGGATTATCAAAACGCATTTCACGGATCAGATTCACGACGAAAAACATTTTATTCAATTCATTTGATGAACATATGATTGTGTTTCTCTCGTAGGCAGCACTTAGTAGATCTAACTACACAAAAGATAATGAAAATAACGTGTTATTAAAAGTAATATGTAATAAACTGAAGTTGTTAGCAGGAAAACAAAGTTGAAAGACTAACTGGGGAAATTAGAACACATATATAGAATATGATAATAATGATAATATATAGAATAAAAATCTATACTTATTCTGTGGTTCGAAGTATATCGTTCAAGAGTAAACTTCAAAAAAACATTACTTGAAATAAAGAAACTTTTATGCAAACTTGATGTCTTACATTCCCGGTTTGTACTGTTTTTTTTATATGGATAAACAGTAAACAAAAACACATTCAGTGCGCTGATGGATTGTTGACAAAAACGGTGGTTTTTAAACACAACTGTTTTAGAATTCAACTCTGCAAAGCGAGATTTACGAAGACTAGTATTAGATGTAAATTTAAGGGTGTTAATGATAATTCCCGATAAGTTGTACAATTTTGTTGCACGCATGCTCAAAAAAGTATGCTTTGGAATCATCTTTGGAATAGGAAATCTACATAAAATGTCTCAATGAAATGAGAGTATTTTCAATATCTCTTTCTAAAGATTATCCTAAAGCTAGTGTAATTCCGACAGTGCTACAAGTTCTTTAAAGAAAAACATACCAACGTAGACAAGTATCAGTAACGTGGGGATTGATGTAATAGAGTACGGGATCATTGTTTTATATCTCAATATAGTGGGGAAAACTCAACGACAAAAAAGAACTGGTAGTGACAGTTTCATTGACGAAAAATTAAGCAAATTAATGGATTAAATAAAAGACACATAGTAAGTTAGAGACTTGGAAGGAAATGATGCGTATAAGCTTTAGTGCTATTGTGACAGATTTTGGACTGCATCATTTAGAGTTTTTAACCCCTGGTCTTAGTAGCTTCGTGAAATATGACATAAAACAAATGAACTGCTTCGATAACAGCAATATTTTACATGCCCATTTAGTTCGTGAACTACAGCACTGTCATATTCAAAGTGTAAAGAAAATAAAATCATAAAATGTGAATTACTTCAGATACGAGTATCTACATGATAAATAACTTTTCGTTAGTGTTTCATTGACTTGTGCTTTCGACGCTAAACCTTGCTCTACCTACTTAGGTTCGGATAGCCCAGTAAAGATGAGACCCAAAACTTAATTCACAAATTTACACCACATTACAGAGTTGCATTGACTTACATAAGCGCATTGGTCAAGAAATTGAAATACTGGCCAAAAATCATGCACAATTGAGTGCTGTTAAAATATTAAGTAATATTATATACTGCAAACCACTGTCAGATGAAACCAAGCATACTGATAATCAACAACATGAAGTTGGTTTTCAAGCACAAAAGTAATAAAAATGTTAAAGCTCGAAATAAGTAATAATTGCTGTAATAGCATCAAAATGCATCTCAAACTCTAAATGGTATATTGATATTTTTACGCATCATATGTATCACCTTTTGGATAAACAAAAAACTACTATGAAAGAAAGGCCGTAGGGTGCTCAAAAAAAACAGACCACGAAATGTGTTATAAAAAAGATGGAAAGGCAATTTTGCATTCATTGCCAAGAAACTATAGGCTGCTTAGTGGGTTTACTCATATCCCCTATTAATTGGATAGATAATATCCATTCACACATAAAGTTCCCTTCAAAAACGTTAGTCATAGAAGAACAAATTTTTCAGAATATGGTGAATTCGTTGTATCTCGTCACCTTGTTGAATGCTTATAGGTTATACAAAATTTTGAAGGCAACCAATCGTATGAGATTTCCGGAACAACGGCTTCCGTTCGAAACTATGAAATCACTTAGTCGAGTAGCAACATTACGCTGAAGAATCACTAGACAGGTGACGGAAACTAAGTTTTATAGAGGTGTTATGAAGAATAGCTTATGCCCTAGACAAGTTCTCAAGCTTACGAGATCTTACGAGTCACCACCCTAGTCAAGAAATCAAAAATGAGTCACAAAGTCTTAAATAGAACCTACAAAAGTGTTTTGAAATCACAAACTTATTTGTAGTTATGAGACACTGGTTGACAATGTGAATGTCACAAACTTTATACAGAATCTATAAGTAAAAGTATCTGGATCAACGTTAAAAACCTTAGCCAACTCAGTGATGAAAATAATTTACGAAGAATTTCCGGGAGATCCTAAAATCAGATATTTAAATTTTTCAGTATCAAACTCCATAAACCTCAAAATGAAGCTGTTTCTTGTTTTTCAATCCTACGCCCTACATAAAACAGTAAACAAAATCGACACAATCTATCTGAAGACTTGCTTCAACAGTTGTAAGAACATACACAAAGAGTGAGGATAAACACAGCTGGTTTCAGTCAAGATTGGTAGATATAGCTAACCAGTATTATATATCATCGTTATCGGTCGGAAATTATCACCGGAAACCCTCATAAAGCTGTAAAATCCTTTTGAGGATATGACCTGGTGGCGCTTATCAAAGGAGATAAAGAAAGGCATAGAAATGAATCCATTCAAAAAACGCAGTCTATCCTAGAGGCTAAATCTAGATTTATGCCTAGGAATTGGAACAAAGACAGGACCTGCTTAATAGGGAATAAAATAAAAAGCAACCAAAGGAATTACTCAAGAAACTTATTGATAGTCACACAAAAGAATGAAACCTCAACAATCACGTTTTTTACTGATATATAGACAAAGTTTTACGAACCCAATATAACACCTAGATCTATTATGACTATGATCAACACCTTAATTCACGTTCAGTTTATGACCTTGTATTTACATTACCGACTTATCACATGCACACAATTTTCTAGACTTCAATTTTTGATTTGTCGCGTACAACAAAATGACAATCTAATTACATAAACAATGGATAACTTTGATTTGAATGTCAACAACCTATTTCATTCGAAATTCCTTAGTCTGTATCATTTCTCTCATTATTTTTCACCAATGGAATATTTTCCTCTTAATCACTAAGGCATCTAGATTGCATTTTTTTGTATATATTTTATGGTATTTATAACCTGTACGTAGTTGTAAAAGGAGAAGGAAATACCGTGAATTTATCGTACTCTACAAAATATGTTGTTCCTAATTTACTGAGATAGTTATTTATGTTATTTCAAGTCCTATTCATTTCAACCATCTGATTACCCAATTCTTGCTTCATAATGAGAAATATCCCTTTTCTGACAATATATGGAAAAATAGGTAGAATAGTCATAAGATTTTCTGTATATCTAGCGTTGTTTCCTACTCTAGCGTGAAAAGATAATGAAAGTTTTATGATAGTCACTGTAGTTACAGTCCATTTTTTTAAATTTAAATATACGAGTAACGAAATTCAAAGAGACAGTATGTATGAAACTAGAGAACTGGGAGCGAAAATCCAAGTAAATAGTTTCGAAATTTTGTATTCTTTTCCTGACATCCCAACATTTTAATTTCTTTTGTTACTTTATTGATGTTCTGCTTCAGAGTTATGTCCAGCTGATCAACACCACCCATTCAGATAAAACCAAATAAGTGATGTCAGATCTTCCTACCTTTTCACAACGTACAACACTTTTAAAAAGTAACACTTAAAGATTGCTGTTCGAAAGGCAGAAGCACGTTATCACAAGGAAGATCTCGGCAGAAACGTCTGGTGCTAACTAGCGAAATTGAAAGTCCGAAAAGTTTACTAGCTCTACGAGTTGATATTATGATATAGGTTGGTTAGTATCCTCGTATAACAACGCTGCATTTTTCAGTCTTAAAAAAATTTTGCGCAGGTTCCAAACTCCCTTCTTTGATTGCAGGGAGAAAACATGGTATCCTTCAATAATTTTGGGACTGAGATTTGAAACAACTTGAAAGTGTCAACCTTATGTAGTTCATAATTGCTTAAACGGATAGCAACAAACAAAAGTATCCCCACTCAAACAACGATGAGTTAGTTACCTCCATAAATCTCACGAAGGTTATCACAGTACTTGATAAGAAAGTGAATTTTAACATTCGAACGGTACGTTGTTGGTACTATTGCTTTTGGTTTGTTACGGAATGTACATCTTATACGCTAATAGTACGCTAAAAGGGATGTAATTCACGTGAGTACGTGAGTAATGTCAAAAATTCTGATGTGGTTTACATAAATACATCACTTCGGCTACTATCCAGTTTCGACAAATGTAAGGGAATCAAATAATATGCATGATATTTTGCTGCGTCGATGCTAGTTAAACCATGATTCTGAAAAGCCTGAGTGACAGATTTAAGCTAGGAAACAAGCAGGTTATTCTATAAAATGATTTTAAAAATCAGACGAAACTGGTGCTAGCTTCAATCGTTTCTGCGATTTTGGCACGTGTAATGACACAAAATAGTGTGAATCTCACCAACATTCTGTTCCTGTAACTGGGATGTGGCATTCTTTCAAGAGTTGAAATTCTAATGAGTGACCAAACTCCCGGAATGGCACTAGATGGTTGAGTCAACCGATATGAAAGTACCACACAAGTTCAACAAACGGTGAATTTGGCGTTACCGTTATCTGCGGAAATACACGTTTTATTGCAAGAACTCGGATTTCAAGTGGTTTTACAGACTGCGTTAAACGGAGACTGTATAGAAGCTTTTTTGTGTTGTTGGTTGGAACATGCTTCAAAAGAGCTGCACTAGTTTAAACAATTACATAAGCTTACTCGTGCTAGAGACAAGGAATGCAAGCCGTAAAGGTACCAAGGTACATGACGACAGACTAAAAGAGAAACTTCGTCAAAACTTCGATATTTTAAATTGCTGCTCTCTGTAACACCACAAAGCGAAAAAAAAATGAATGCAAAATGATTGCATACTTGAGACTTTTACTACTAGTGATGAATACAAATGCACCAAGATGATCGGATTTACGTCGTTAATAATCATGGACTTTAGAAAGCTGAAGAATTCACTCTTTCTAAGAATCATGCATTAGACCCGGATTAAATACATTTTTTTAATATTTACACTGGTTTCGGTAATATACATCGTGTATAAGATTGAGTTCGGAGACTAAACACCAAGTGAAGTAAAACCCTCCGACAATATAACAAACCACCATAAATCATTCTGTGCACAAGTTTTACATGAAGGTATAAAAACTTTAACAGATTCTTCCAGTTTCAAAACATCAATATGGTGTATGCATAAACACCAACTTTGAAGTTTGACTTGACTTTTATTTTATGGCTGCCAAGCCACAAAACATACTGACGACAGAATGGACAGTTTGGAAAAAACCCAGAAAGCAATTCACGTGTACTTTATCCTAGGTCAACACTTTCGCCGGCCAAGTAGGGCAATGTTGGGCCACTTACTATGGCCAAATGAAGGCCAAGTGTAGGGTTTGCGATATTTTTCCGTCTGGCCTTAAGTTATATAACTTTCAAACATTTAAGAACACTTTCAGGCGCATTTAGAAGCTTTAATAAAAAACGAAGTTTTGAACAGCTCTGCATATCTCAAAGTCAGAGTATTTTCGCTCGGAAAACAAAATATGTGGCTGACAGACTTACCTGTTGGGTGGTTGGTTATCACCTACGTACTGCCGCTAGATCAAACAAAATATTAGGCCTTGAAAAGCAAGTCAGTTTTCAGTTGCAAGGATAGTAGAACAGACGGCCTGTGTTAATCCTTGCAGAAGATATCTCTGTGAAGATCTGGTTTCTCCTTGAACGCATTGACAGAAGGCGCTGATACTACTTACTGAGGTAAGGAGTTCCAGACCTTGACAACACGATGAGAAAAACGCAGATTCATGCAAAATCCCCATATTCCACAAAAATGAAGGAAGAAACAGGAAGAAATCTAGGTCAATCATAAGTGAGGCGGCCGTTTTGCAGAAAGATATAAGATATATCCCGTGTGTTACCAAATATCCTACTGATTTTCGCTTGTTAAAACATGGGCAGATCTATAGGATACTCAAATGTGGCCCACCGTAAACTTCTTATGTAAAAACTTTCAACCGTAAGGCGCGAAAGAAAGCGAATATTCTGTGTTAATCCTAAAGACAAACATTCGGTCACACGTTTCACCTACATCGAAAGTGTTCGCTACGCGTTGTTGTCAACATCCAACTAAGAGTACATAAAAGATATTTGCTTAGGATACAGAAACCAAACACTTCCGCATACCTGATACGGTCTCGGAAGAAAATGGTCATTTGGGACATTTTCAAGTATTTTCTTCGCAATTTGGTACTTGACATCTCGTCGAAAAACCATTAAAAACCCAAGGTCACCAAAACAGCACAGATCGTTCAACCTTGTAGTTATAAATCGTTTCGGTAAAACAACACTTACGAAAGTTTTAAAGAATTAAGGCTTATGAACTCATGATTTTCGCTCGATTTTTGTTCGGAGTTTTCTTGTTGCAAAAGAAGGTCTGTCTATCCTCCATACGCTTGTATTTGTTTCACGTTTGCACGATCCACAGGCGAATCATTTTCAGCAGTAGGAAATTTTGTAGTTAGTTGATATCTCTCATCACTGTCATATAAACGGAGTGTTTGTTGTTTTATCTGTTGGAAATGAGCTACCAGTATGATATGGTTGATTTAGATTTCAAATACTTCGACTTGTTACCGTACAAAGAACGCTTCACAGAAGCAATACGAAAAAATTTCAATAAGGCTGGGACTAAACAGAAATTAAAGCCGATAAACTAGCTTATAAGCAAGCTTTGCAGGTTAAGAGATACTTTTAATGCAGTTAGGCAAAATAATTTGGTTTATCAAATCCTTTGCAATGATTTTGATGTCAAATACATAGGTCGAAGCAGTCGGCCAGGGTCGATCAGAGTAACAGGGCATAAAAGCTTGGCTACATCAAGACTAGTGAACCCTAAGAGGATAAAGGATTAAGAAAAAGGTTCAGCTATGGCTATGCACGCAGTTACACGATCACACAATTGGGAGGGATAGGCAGATAGTATTAAAAATAACTCAGTTGGATGGGGGGATGACAACCGAATATCTTTCAATCGAACCAAAATCAAATACATGTAATGGGTTTTGATAGCGTTATTTGGAGACGAAGGTCATCTGAGAACTGCGATGTATTCGCACAATATACTTCGAACAATCCGATCACATATTCACCTCTCAGGTCAATTTGTATGCAGCCAAAGTACTGGGCCCCATACTCAATGTATCATGCAAGTATTCACTGAAAGACGCTTTTCAACTTGTCGAGCGTCTTACTGTTGTGAGCATCAGAAGTGAGAAAGTGTGCTCTTTTCGTGTCAGCTTTTTGCTTACAAACGTATCACCAAGGAAGATAGTTAATCTTTGGATTATCTTTCTTTCACTATTTCTCCAGTGCATCTGAACCAGCCACTTTTATTATGTACTGGTAAGACCCACTTCACTTTCGAAGGTGAACACTTTCGGCAAATTGATGATGTCACTATGGCGGCTCCATTAGGGTCGTAATTATCAGACACATGCATCTCGCACATTGAACTGGTATCGTGGGATCTAACCAGTAATGTCGCATTCTGTGGAGGGCGTGCTAATGATATGACGTAGTATGTGACGCGGATGTGGATACCATGGGCCTGTCAATAAAGGCTTAATACCGTGCAAGATCATATCAGCCTTATATGTGAGGAAGAAAATGACCAACTTGTATCTTGCAATTCTCTTGTTTCGGAGAATTATGGATATGTCAGGCGACCAGTTTATGGAAAGCCTATTCGGACGGGACAGTACTTGAATTTCTACAGCATTTTACCAATGAGATATAAATGGGGCTTATTTAGATGTTTATTGAGTAGGACCCAACGCATTTGTATGTATCTAATACAGCGTATGAGGGCGAATTTCTCGCAGACACACTTGCGGAAAGTAGGTATGCATTACAGTTTCAGAATCGTGGTAGAAAACAGCTAACCCCAAAGCCTGTACTTTCCCAAACCTCGAGGAGGAATATGTTTCTTTAAAAACCGTACAGAGGAGGGACGAATAGCATGATATTGGAATAGGCTAAAATCTGTTATCGGTAAAATACACTATGCAACTTGGTTTATCACTGTTCAGACAACGAAGCGCCCGCTTCACCACAAACATCAACCTCTCACAAATGATTTTGTCACATTCCATTGCGTTTAGCAATTTACACGTTTGTGTGGGCACACAGGGAGGAGTAATTATGGCATGCAGACTACAATGGGTGAATGACATGTACCTAAACGGCTTGAAAAACAATTTAACACACAAACTTTGACAAGTGCTGGTGACAGACATCCATCTTCATCACTCATGTTACCATATACGAACAGCCAGGGGTGCGTGCTGGAATTTAGGGGGGCGTTAGACATTCGTGGCTATAGGTCCCCATGGTGTGTACCAAAATCATTTTTGTTTCACTTAGCTTGCCCTGGTTATCCCTATCTGATCTTATTACCAAGACTGGGGTTAAAATATTTCCATATTCATTATATTTGGCCCTTAATTTTTTTAAATTTTCATACCTAAATCAACCCGACAGATAAGTGTGATATGATTGTTCGAAATGTATTATACAAATACATCGCGGTTTTCAGGTAATCTTCGTCCTCTAGTAGCGCCATTGAGATGTGATAGATGGACCAACTGTTTCAAACACGTAGTAGACATGATTCTGGACTGTTGCAGATATACGGAAGTTTTCACTACCCTTATCAGAAAGAAGAAAGAAGAATTTAGACTGCGTGAACTGTCCCATAGTTTTGGAGCTACTTGGCATGAATATGGGCAATAAACAACATCCGAAATGTCATCCAGTAAGTGACACCGTTTCACTGTGTGATGTCTCCAGTAAACAGACTAAAATAGAATGACAATCTGCATCGATTCCTGAGCTTTACTCCTGTATTCATAAAGACACTTCACTTACTCCGAGTGTGCTGTTTGTTAACCATTAACTTTGCGACTGAAACCTGTTTGAAGCGCAGTTTGACCCTCAAAATATATATCTTTATCCACGTGTCCTGTTATGGAATATGACTTTTTGTTTGAAGGGGCTACGCAGAGGGGGTGGCACTATCAGATTATTGTATTACCGTAGAAAGTAAACTGAGTGATAAATATCTCAAAGTTTTTCTTCCGATCTTCATGATCGTCTCGAATATTATTGACTTCGAAGAAAATCTTTCGTTTAAAGTGGCATATAAGGCTACTGAGACTGCCTGTCATGACTCGGCTTAAACTTATACAATTTAATAATCACCGCATTTAATTTATGCATCCTCGCTGCTCCCTGTTAAGCTGCTGGTGGGGTAAGTCCTATGCCTCTGACCCGACAGACTAGCGCTTCAGAGGACGCGGAGTTGAGTCCAGGCAGCTAACCAGCTGCAGTCATTTCATCAGATACTACGCATACGCCCCATCCAAAGACTTCTCATCTTATCTCCCCGTATGAAGACAAGAGGGAGTTATATAAGTCTGTATGCTCGCACCCACAAATATAAGATTTCAACTGTGCCGTACCTCACTCGCAACCTGTGTATGGAAAAGCGTCAGATCTTACTTATCAACTTTGCAGCAGTAAATGACTACTGTCTTCCGCATTCCAACCGTTCATACATAATTATCCTCACTACCAATATTATTCACATAATTCACATTGCTGTGATTGGCGTTTTTCAAAATAATAGTAATAATAATATATTCTGAATAATAAGTTATACGAACACATGCCGTTTGTACAGGCAAAATCTGAACGTTATTTTTGTTTGTGAGTGTGACAGAAGTAAGAAAGGATACATTGGTACATTATACATAGTCTGCCAGGATGCAGTCATTCAACTGCTACTGGTTGAAAATGTTAGATACTAACCCCTTCGCTATATAACGGTAGTGAATAATAACACAGGCCTTATCACCTAGTATGAGCTTTAGGCAGACACCTGTGATTGGGCCTCTGCACTTCAATTAATGAGTCACATAATCAGTAAACGTACGTGGGATATCAAACGCCGAACAATAGTAGGGCCTAAAAGGTCCGAATAGCCAACAAGTTATTGCTGTTCACGGGAAGCTCGTAAAACTAGATTCAAATGATGGTATGGGCCGATGACATAGCTTGGAACCAGTGGCACTCGGTATCATGTAACATGTAGTGATTGTTTGGTTCAGTGCGACTGATAACAAATTCACAGGGATAAATTAAGCTAAAGTTAGGACCCTGTCCAGAAACTGTTCTCATTTTGCAGCCCACGAAGCGTAGGGTCTCATCATTAAACCATTCAATATGTCTTCAAGGTTGGCGCTCCATACGAGGTCAGTTTTGGTTCTTTTCTCTATGAGGTGAGTGGATGCTATTAGTCGGAGGGTCTGCATGTTTGGATACAAACAGCATGTAATGCCAACATCTCTAGGAACAATCCTGATTGGAGCCATAAACTTGAGGTGAACCGTCAAATTAGTGAGTATGCAGCGGTTTCATTGTGAATCTGCCTGCGAGAAAGAAAAAGAAACATGGGTATGGAACAATTTATTGCGTACTTAAGTCAATGAGAAACAAGATGTGGACAGAGTTGCCAAAGAAAGAGAGATCAGATGCAGATTTAAGAGTTTTTGCTGGACAATTATCTGTCTATTCCGTAACAAACTATGGCGAGATAGTAGTCTGACTTTTATGCACGATAAACACAAAGTATAACACCGGAACTATTTGTCTGGACGGCGGGGCGTATCAGTCGAGACGTCTGGTTGGGAATTTAAGAGACAATGAAAAAGTAGTCATCATCCATAAGGGCGCATGCAGAGGCCTTTGAATACGAAGTTTAGGCGTGAAGAAGTGAATTAGTGGGAGCCATAGTGTGTAGAAAGTAAGACAATGTGATGTATGGACGTTTGCCAGGAAGTCTGGGGACAGACTTTTCGGCGGTACAACTAAGTGAATTTGGACGTCGTTTTAGTCAGATGAGTATCCGGTTTACCATGTGGGCCAACCTAGTGGGATGGTACCGGCTATACAACAGGGGGGAAAATGCCTGATACACACCGTTCTCATCGTTCCAAATTTAGAGCTATTTAATTCATTGAATGGACCATAGAGAGAGAGCCCACCCATATTTATTCTTAAGTTACTATCAATTTCACTACCTTGGAGACACTAAGGTCCTACAGAGCCATCTCTGAGTGCCTCTGTCGCAAGGCATCTATCCACAAACAGACTGTAGATATCATCTGAACCCAAAAGCCAGTTGATAAGGCGCTTAAACTGTGACACAGAGGTGCTGCTGCGCACAATTACGGGGAGCCTATTCCAGATCAAGCAGTAA